CTTTAAATGCAGCAAAAGAAGCTTTGTCTTCTGACACCTTACTAACTCACTATGACCCAGGGAAAAGACTTATCTTAACATGTGATGCTTCACCAAATGGTGTAGGAGCAGTTTTATCCCACATAGATGAAAATGGTGACAGACCCATTGCTTTTGCCAGTAGATCTTTGAACCAGGCTGAGAAAAATTATTCTCAGTTAGATAGGGAAGGCTTAGGCATCATTTTTGGTGTTAAGAAATTTCACAAGTTTCTGTTTGATTGGGAATTCACAATCTTTACAGATCATAAGCCATTGCTGGGTTTGTTTGGGGAAAACAAACCCCTGCATAAGCATGCCTCACCAAGGGTTCAAAGGTGGGCTATCACACTAGCCGCATACAATTATGAATTGAAATACAAACCTGGATCTGAGAATAGTGCAGATAGTCTTAGTCGTTTACCTTTAAAAAACCAAAGCCTTAGTTATGTACCAGAAGATGTATTTGTTATTTTCACTATCATGGATAACTCCAATATAAATGTGAATGATGTTAAGAGAGAAACACAAAAAGATGAGTGCTTGATAAAAGTATATGAGTACTGTAAGAATGGTTGGCCTGGAGAGTCAGTTAATGATAATGTGTATCTGAGAAATTATGGGAGAGGGGAAAATGGATGCCAGGTCAAATTGTTCAATGTACAGGACCTGTGTCTTATAAAGTAAAAACAAATAATGGACTTATTGTCCGTAGACATGCAGACCAGTTAAAAATAACTTGTACAGATAATAAGTGTGAATCTATCAATCCCACCAGATCTGACCGGTTCACACCAACTCAGTTTGTTCCACAACCAAGTTCTGTTGATATGAGTGAACCAAGTAGTCTAGAGTCAGAAAATGTAAATTCTGGAATTAATGATTTAGATCCTGGACTTCCTGAGCTAGAGAGTCCAGATGGTCAGAATCTTGAGTCACCAAATCAAAAGCCACTGAGAAGGTCAAACAGGACAATCAAAGTCCCAGATAAGTTAGACCTTTGATTTTAAAGGTTAAGAGGACTTTGACATCATTGTTTTGTATTTTAATTATGTTGTAGCATATTTTGCATTTGTTTGTAAGGATTTAATCTACCAAATGATTCAAATCATATGATGTTTTGAATTGACTTTTGAAGTGTTGTTAATTGAAAGATACTATCATTCACTCTCTTGAGAGCTATGTTATTATTTACTAAGGGTAAAGGGATGTAATATATTGAGCTTTGTGAATTCAAGGGAACTCACTCTTCTTGTATTAGTCTTATATTTTATAATGTTTTGAGTGATGTCCCTTGCATGTGCTTCCTGTTTCCGATTGAGAATAAACGTGGTGTGCATAGAACATGGCTTCCTCGTCAGTTGTGTTATCTATCGAAGTACAAATCTACTACAGTATATAATAAAATCTGGATAAAAAATAACAACCTACAACACTCGTGTTAAGGGTATGGCTAAATGCTTGGTTATTTTAAAACAAAAAAAAATAATTTAAATAAATAAAGATGAAAAAAGCATGAAAAAAACTTTTTTTTTCGCAAAAAGTGTCTCGCTATTTACCCTTAATTCCGCAGGTATGTCTCGCATTATCTTCTCGCATTTTCCCGCCTCGCCATTTCGCTTTTTGCGTCTCGCAATCTCCCAACACCCGTAGGCATCACGTCTTTATTAGATTACACTAGAATACCCGTCATCCGTTGGATAACTGTGGGTTTCGGGGGTCATCCATCAAAAAACATCACGTCTGTCACTCAGAGGCATAGCGACCCTTCCCGGCGCCCGGGGACAAACTTTTCGATTTGAACCCCCCCCCCCCCCCCCCCCGCAAGATTTCGATTTGCAACCCCCCCCCTCAATCTTTTGATGTGCACCCCCCCCCTCAATCTTTTGATGTGCATCCCCCCCCCCCCACTCAAACTTTCGATTTGAACCCCCCTCAACCTTTCAATTTATTTTTCCAAACCATTTTGGCGCCCCAACATATGTCCCCTCCCGGCCCCCCCTTCCCCCCTCCACCTCCCCCCCCCCCCTCCTCGCTACGCTACTGCAGTGTCACTTATCGTCACAAAAAAACAGACCCCACATTCAAAAATATGTTTTTATCTTTTAAAAACACCGAAAACACCGATTTCGGACTATCCCTTCATATACTGACGTCACAGGTGACCTACTCAACTCTACTTCACCTGCCCAGTGTCCCGCCAAGTCTCAGACATGTTTTTATCGTTTAAAAAACGATTCCAGCCGAGCATGTCTCTGACCACACTATCCTTTCATATGCTTAGGACAAAGAAACAGATGAACTCTACTTCACCTGCCCTGTATCCTTCCAAGTTCAGATAGGCAATTTTATCATTCACATCTAAAAAAAAAATTGAAAAAAAAATATTATTGACATATTGGTCTAGAACCTGTGCCACCCGCATGAGAGCCGGCTACACTACCAACTTAGCTATTTACTCGTGACGTCACAAATGAATTTTTATACTATACTTTGAGTCTCCTTATGCAACTTGATTTACGCGCATAGATCTAGATCTAAGTCTAGTAGTAGTAACTTTCAAATTAAATTTTTTCTTAAATTAGCCAAACAAAGATTTATATAAAATAATTAAGGCCTGAAATAGATTTTAGATGTATTAAGGCCTGAAATAGATTCTAGATGTAGAATTTACATTAAGTCTAGATCTAGAATTTACATTGAGTCTAGTGACCTAGATCTAGGCTAGATTCATAACTAATTATCTTTCCTTCGACAGCTGATCTTTAGATCTAGAGAAATTTATTGTAACGACTTGCACCCCCCCCCTCAAACTGAAAAATGCAGCTAAAATGACATTTTAATTTGTTTTTATAACCAATTTTGGCGCCCCCTAAGGTCGGCGCCCGGGGACATATGTCCCCCCTGCCCCCCCCCCCCCCCCCATCGCTACGCCTCTGATTTTAGATAACTGAAAAAAATTGGGCATATATATTACAAACTTCGCAGCAACTTTACCAATTTCTACAATTCTATGTTGTTTAGTTTAGAAAATATAGGTTCTCAAAAATGGCACTTTTTGAAAATCAGTTTTTTTTACCAAATTTTGCTATTTTTAAAAATCGCATAACTTTTTTATTTATTGAGATATTTTTATAAAACTTGTGGCATAGTGCTTACAATTAAAAGTTCTTTCATGACATACTCACTCCAGAAGTCTGCAATGAATAGTTAATTTCAGTTTGGACTACCTAATTACACTCTCGTTTTACACCTCAGTAGTTCATCATATACGGAGTTTAGTTGACTTATTTTAATCGGGCAAAAATAATAAATTCAGATTTATCAAAATCTCATTGTTCTATGCGTAATCGAGTCGGAAAAGCTGGGCTTTCAGTTCTGTCCGTATGTTTTACACATTTTTCGTTGTTTTTTTCTAGTTGCGCATTTTTCTGTTTGCACTTCCCCCCCCCCCCCCCCCATTAACATACTTGGCTACCCTACAGTTCATTATACACAGCGCTGACATGTGCTTAGCATCCAGTCCAACACTAAATGATCTCAGGATCAATCCAGTCCAACACTAAATGATCTCAGGATCAATCCAGTCCAACACTAAATGATCTCAGGATCAATCCAGTCCAACACTAAATGATCTCAGGATCAATCCAGTCCAACACTAAATGATCTCAGGATCAATCCAGTCCAACACTAAATGATCTCAGGATCAATCCAGTCCAACACTAAATGATCTCCGGATCAATCCAGTCCAACACTAAATGATCTCAGGATCAACCCAGTCCAACACTAAATGATCTCAGGATCAATCCAGTCCAACACTAAATGATCTCAGGATCAATCCAGTCCAACACTAAATGATCTCAGGATCAACCCAGTCCAACACTAAATGATCTCAGGATCAATCCAGTCCAACACTAAATGATCTCAGGATCAATCCAGTCCAACACTAAATGATCTCAGGATCAACCCAGTCCAACACTAAATGATCTCAGGATCAATCCAGTCCAACACTAAATGATCTCAGGATCAATCCAGTCCAACACTAAATGATCTCAGGATCAATCCAGTCCAACACTAAATGATCTCCGGATCAATCCAGTCCAACACTAAATGATCTCAGGATCAACCCAGTCCAACACTAAATGATCTCAGGATCAATCCAGTCCAACACTAAATGATCTCAGGATCAATCCAGTCCAACACTAAATGATCTCAGGATCAACCCAGTCCAACACTAAATGATCTCAGGATCAATCCAGTCCAACACTAAATGATCTCCGGATCAATCCAGTCCAACACTAAATGATCTCAGGATCAATCCAGTCCAACACTAAATGATCTCAGGATCAATCCAGTCCAACACTAAATGATCTCAGGATCAACCCAGTCCAACACTAAATGATCTCAGGATCAATCCAGTCCAACACTAAATGATCTCAGGATCAATCCAGTCCAACACTAAATGATCTCCGGATCAATCCAGTCCAACACTAAATGATCTCAGGATCAATCCAGTCCAACACTAAATGATCTCCGGATCAATCCAGTCCAACACTAAATGATCTCAGGATCAATCCAGTCCAACACTAAATGATCTCAGGATCAATCCAGTCCCTACACACTAACCCTCAGTGCTTGACCATCACTTACATACCCACTGAAGAATTCATTCCAAACATCTAGCAAATACACAAAAAATGAACAAATCTAATAAGGTGGAATCACAAAATGTCTTTTAAAATTGACCTTTGATTTCAAATTTAAATCATCTGAAAATCACTGATTTAAATTAACATCTTTCTTGTTTTTTTTTTAAATAAAATTTGTGTTTACAATTTTTTTCTTACATAAACTCAGGGAGAGGTATTGAGGTTCATGTCTGACTTGTATGCAGTGTGTCTGCATTGAGTCACCAATGCAGAAATCTTGTTTTTGTAATTTATGATATCATAAAACTGACCTAAAAATACTATAAAAAGGGAATTTGTAGTCAATATATAAGTTTTTTTAATCAAACAATCTGACTACATCAACAATTCCAGCATCATAAATACATAGCTAAAATAAGCAATTTGATGTTTAAAAGTGTGCACTACATGTCCATTCAGGAGACCATAATGATATAAAACTTATACACTTTTATTAAAATAAAACATTCTTACAATGCTTAGTAAATCCATTTCAGAAGACAATAAATCAAGAGCATTTGAGTAAAATAAAGTTTCCGCTTAAAATGCTTAGTTAAATGCATGTTATTAAAATCAGGAGTCCTATAGCATTTTGCGAACCATATAGTTTAAAATTCCACCATGACGGAAGTAGGTCAGCTCCACTTCAGTGTCAAACCTCATTTTAGTTTCAAATGTCCGGCCATCATTCAGCTGAGACAAGAAATGGAAAAAATAATAATTTTAGAAGAAATAGAAATATGGGGAAAACAACAAGCTTTAAAGGTAATTTAATTATACATCTGGGATGTTAGCTACATACAAACACAACAGAATGTCAGGTAAAGAACTCACCTGCACCAACAGAATGTCAGGTAAAGAGCTCACCTGCACTAACAGAATGTCAGGTAAAGAACTCACCTGCACTAACAGAATGTCAGGTAAAGAACTCACCTGCACCAACAGAATGTCAGGTAAAGAACTCACCTGCACCAACAGAATGTCAGGTAAAGAACTCACCTGCACTAACAGAATGTCAGGTAAAGAACTCACCTGCACCACCAGAATGTCAGGTAAAGAACTCACCTGTACTGTTACAATCATGCCAGGCAGAAGGTCATCAGGTAATTGTATGCTGAATTTCTCTTGTCCACTTAGCCCCAGTGTGTCAGCACTCTGACCTTCCAAATACTGAAGCGGTATGATGCCCATACCCACTAAGTTGCTGCGATGTATACGTTCATAGCTTTCAGCCAGCACAACCCTCACACCCTACAAGTTTTTCATTTGGATAGCTCAGAGTTAGAGGCAGGCCTACAAAAGTTAGAATTGGGCCTCTACAAATTTAACTTATCGCTAGGCTAATGTAAGTTATCTGGGTCTATAAAAGTTAAAACTAGGCTTATGAAAGTTATAACTAGGCTTATAAAAGTGTTAACTAGTTCTATGAAAGTTATCTAGGCCTATTAAAGTTTTGATATGGCCTGTACTAAATGAAAAATACCAGAATCCAGGGCCCTTTAGCAGCCCAATCTCTTGAGGATCCAGAGCCGTATTCCTTGCCAGCTAGAATAATTAGAGGGGTTCCATCTTTCTTGTAAAGCTGGGCAGCATCAAAAATGTCCATCTGTAACAACACATTGGGGCAACTGGTTTAATACAGCCATACTGGGCCTAGGTTATAGAGGTGGGCCTAGGTTATAGAGGTGGGCCATACTGAGCCTAGGTTATAGAGGTGGGCCATACTGGGTCTAGGTTATAGAGGTGGGCCTAGGTTATAGAGGTGGGCCTAGGTTATAGGGGTGGGCCATACTGGGCCTAGGTTATAGAGGTGGGCCATACTGGGCCTAGGTTATAGGGGTGGGCCATACTGGGCCTAGGTTATAGAGGTGGGCCTAGGTTATAGAGGTGGGCCATACTGAGCCTAGGTTATAGAGGTGGGCCTAGGTTATAGAGGTGGGCCATACTGGGCCTAGGTTATAGAGGTGGGCCATAAGGGGCCTAGGTTATAGAGGTGGGCCTAGGTTATAGAGGTGGGCCATACTGGGCCTAGGTTATAGGGGTGGGCCTAGGTTATAGAGGTGGGCCATACTGGGCCTAGGTTATAGAGGTGGGCCATACTGGGCCTAGGTTATAGAGGTGGACCATACTGGGCCTAGGTTATAGAGGTGGGCCATAAGGGGCCTAGGTTATAGGGGTGGGCCATACTTGGCCTAGGTTATAGAGGTGGGCCATACTGGGCCTAGGTTATAGGGGTGGGCCATACTTGGCCTAGGTTATAGAGGTGGGCCATACTGGGCCTAGGTTATAGAGGTGGGCCATAAGGGGCCTAGGTTATAGAGGTGGGACATAAGGGGCCTAGGTTATAGAGGTGGGCCTAGGTTATAGAGGTGGGCCATACTGGGCCTAGGTTATAGAGGTGGGCCTAGGTTATAGAGGTGGGCCTAGGTTATAGAGGTGGACCATACTGGGCCTAGGTTATAGAGGTGGGCCATAAGGGGCCTAGGTTATAGAGGTGGGCCATAAGGGGCCTAGGTTATAGAGGTTGGCCTAGGTTATAGAGGTTGGCCATAAGGGGCCTAGGTTATAGAGGTTGGCCTAGGTTATAGAGGTGGGTCATACTGGGCCTAGGTTATAGGGGTGGGCCTAGGTTATAGAGGTGGGCCTAGGTTATAGAGGTGGGCCATACTGGGCCTAGGTTATAGAGGTGGGCCTAGGTTATAGAGGTGGGCCTAGGTTATAGAGGTGGGCCATACTGGGTCTAGGTTATAGAGGTGGGCCATACTGGGCCTAGGTTAGAGAGGTGGGCCATAAGGGGCCTAGGTTATAGAGGTGGGCCATACTGGGCCTAGGTTATAGAGGTGGGCCTAGGTTATAGAGGTGGGCCTAGGTTATAGAGGTGGGCCATACTGGGCCTAGGTTATAGAGGTGGGCCATACTGGGCCTAGGTTATAGAGGTGGGCCATACTGGGCCTAGGTTAGAGAGGTGGGCCATAAGGGGCCTAGGTTATAGGGGGGGCCATAAGGGGCCTAGGTTATAGAGGTGGGCCATACTGGGCCTAGGTTAGAGAGGTGGGCCATAAGGGGCCTAGGTTATAGGGGGGGCCATAAGGGGCCTAGGTTATAGAGGTGGGCCTAGGTTATAGAGGTGGGCCATACTGGGCCTAGGTTATAGGGGTGGGCCTAGGTTATAGAGGTGGGCCATACTGGGCCTAGGTTATAGAGGTGGGCCATAAGGGGCCTAGGTTATAGAGGTGGGCCATACTGGGCCTAGGTTATAGAGGTGGGCCATAAGGGGGCCTAGGTTATAGGGGGGGCCATAAGGGGCCTAGGTTATAGAGGTGGGCCTAGGTTATAGAGGTGGGCCATACTGGGCCTAGGTTATAGAGGTGGGCCATAAGGGGCCTAGGTTATAGGGGGGGCCATAAGGGGCCTAGGTTATAGAGGTGGGCCATACTGGGCCTAGGTTATAGAGGTGGGCCATACTGGGCCTAGGTTAGAGAGGTGGGCCATAAGGGGCCTAGGTTATAGAGGTGGGCCTAGGTTATAGAGGTGGGCCTAGGTTATAGAGGTGGGCCTAGGTTATAGAGGTGGGCCATAAGGGGCCTAGGTTATATAGTTTAAATGTTATTGGTTGAAATTCCTATATTTGCCTTACATGACCCCCATAGTCTGCCTGTTGGCCTACAACTAACGAACGTGGCACTTGGCAGATGTGTTTAAATGGATGTATGCCAATGATCACAATTTCATGGAAGTCTGTCTAGTCCAGTGGTTCCCAACCTTTTTCGAGTGGCGACCCCCTTTTTTAAAAAGTAAGTGACCCGCGACCCCATAGAATTAAAAAGCCGAAATTAGTATGGAAATTAATAAGCACTAAAATAAAATTTTCTAGTAGACTTTCAATATGAACTACTCTTGATAACTGTTTTAATAGCATGAGTAAAATTGCATACTATTCATATAAACCTTCGTGGTTAACTTTTTATTAATTTTTATGTTAACGCCAACCTATGTCATTATAATTATCTTAATTTTGTTTTTAATCGAAGAATAGTGTTGAAAATATATTCTCGAAAAGTCAATCAATTTTACGTTTAGGTATGAATGGTGAATACTACACCGAAATTGTGTCTGCAGTTTTTCATCTTACTCTGAATCATTCTGCAAATCAAAGAATTCATCTTGTAATTCATCGGGGATGCTGGCAACATCAAAGGAAGAAGAGAATGGATAATGCATAAATGCAGATTCTTCTTTTTTCAGCTCAGAGAAATAGCGATGCAGTTCGTTTTCAAGAGATTCAAGATGCCCAGAAATCGCTTCTTTCAAAATTTTAATTATCTCACAATCAGATTCATCTACCACACCGCAGAGTTTCTCAAATTTACAATATTTCCAAGATTTATTTTCTTTACCGATTTTGCAGTTTTGATAAAATTGCCCCGAGATTATCATGGAAAGTTATAATATTCGTTCATTTTCCCTGAAGCTTCAGGTTAAGCTTATCTTGATGTTACAACACATCTGCTAGGTATGATACTCTCTCCAACCACTCTATGTCGTTTTAAGTATACCAAAAAGTCTTGTTTACTTTGCACTTCAATAACAATTTGATTTCAGATTTCAATTCAAAAACACAATTAACAACATTTTTGCAGCGTACTGTAGTGTAGAAGAGCAGAACCTCGTGATCTACATTAATGTTTTTGCTCAGTTCTTTGAAGGTTCCAGATTTTATATAATTTACGACTTATACTAGCAATGGACTCTTGATGTCGATTGGTTAGGGAAGTGGTTAGGGAGCTAAATCTTTTCTGTTTTCTGAAAGCCCGATTTTGAGCTAAACATAGATGGCGCGCCATCCGTACAAACCCCCACAGCCGTTCTAACCCATTTTAATCATCCAGTTTTAAAAAAAGGTATTTATTTTCTCCATGCTATCTTCACAAAAGAGCAACTCTTCTTTGCTATCATCCGCATGAATATAGACACAGACCAGCAACTGCGAACACGAACTCACGTCTGTTGATTTATCAACTTGAAAAGCAAACAATTGTTAAAGCTTAACTTCAATAAAAATGTGTTATTTAACATTTACGTACATGCAGCGTTTGGTGAGATTTTCTCCTATTGTTTTTTTTTTTTTTTGCTTGGCATTTTCTATCGCGACTTCATGTGATGCTTGCACTAATCCTAGTGAAAACTTCCTGTTCGATCAAGTCTCTGGCGTTTGCAACTAGCTTCATAACGACGAAAGAACTCCATATATTTTTTTTTGGTGTGTTCCGAATGACTCGTCTCAAATGAGTTTTAGTTTTGAAGATTTCATAGATTCGGGACTGAGAACAACTTTGTACAGTGCGCTTTGTTTCTTCTCTATTACATTTCCAGTGATGTTAATGAAGCCGAAGTTCAAAAATTCTTCTAAATATTTATGTTTTGTTTCAAATTACTAAGGTTTAGTATACCAGTTGGCGACCCCCCAGAAAGACCTTTGCGACCCCCAGGGGGGTCGCGACCCCCAGGTTGGGAACCCGTGGTCTAGTCTAATGCCTATAAATACATATTGTCCAAATCTAACTTTCTGTGTACAGGTTAAATTTAAACATTTTTTTTATTGTGATAACTGATACAGAAATAGTGTTGCAAAAAATTATCCAAAGAGAAGATTAATAAATAGATGGGGTACTGACGAGGTTAATGAACAGATAAGGTTAATGAACAGATAAGGTTAATGAACAGATAAGGCTATTGAACAGGCAGGTACAAAGAAGTTAAATGAAGATGGTGAGTAGTAAAAAGCACTAACCTCTTCACCTGTGGGGTGGTACACTGTCCTTGCCCCTGGTTTGTTTAAAAATTTATTGACTAGTCTAATATTAGCAAATGTTCCACGAGCCATAACTTCATCATGGCCTCGTCTAGCACCATAAGAGTTAAACTCTCTAGGGACTAGCCTGGAAAAGGGTGGTTGACATTAGACAAGTTACCTTCTAGCTATCACATGCTAACTTCTAGTTACGTTAAGTTACCCTCTACCTAGAAAAACGTACCCTCTAGCTAAACAAGATACCCTCTAGCTAAACAAGATACCCTCTAGCTAGAAAAAGTTACCCTCTTCCTAGAAAAACTTACCCTCTAGCTAAATAAGATACCCTCCACAACTCTAGCTAAAAAAGATACCCTCTAGCTAGAACAAGTTACCCTCTAGCTAAACAAGTTACCCTCTAGCTATAACAAATTACCCTCTAGCTAAACAAGATACCCTCTAGCTAAACAAGATACCCTCTAGCTAGAAAAACCCTCTAGCTAGAACAAGTTACCCTCTAGCTAGAACAAGTTACCCTCTAGCTAAACAGGGTACCCTCTAGCTAGAACAAGTTACCCTCTAGCTAAACAAGTTACCCTCTAGCTAGAACAAGTTACCCTCTAGCTAAACAGGGTACCCTCTAGCTAGAACAAGTAACCCTCTAGCTAGAACGTTACCCTCTAGCTAGAACAAGTTACCCTCTAGCTAGAACAAGTTACCCTCTAGCTAAACAAGATACCCTCTAGCTAGAACAAGTTACCCTCTAGCTAAACAAGATACCCTCTAGCTAGAACAAGTTACCCTCTAGCTAAAACAAATTACCCTCTAGCTAAACAAGATACCCTCTAGCTAAACAAGATACCCTCTAGCTAGAACAAGTTACCCTCTAGCTAGAACGTTACCCTCTAGCTAGAACAAGTTACCCTCTAGCTAGAACAAGTTACCCTCTAGCTAGAACAAGTTACCCTCTAGCTAGAACAAGTTACCCTCTAGCTAAACAAGATACCCTCTAGCTAGAACAAGGTTCCCTCTACTTAAATAGGGTACCCTCTAGCTAGAACAAGTTACCCTCTAGCTAGAACATTACCCTCTAGCTAGAACAAGTTACCCTCTAGCTAGAACAAGTTACCCTCTAGCTAGAACAAGTTACACTCTAGCTAAACAAGTTACCCTCTAGCTATAACAAATTACCCTCTAGCTAAACAAGATACCCTCTAGCTAAACAAGTTACCCTCTAGCTAAACAAGTTACCCTCTAGCTATAACAAATTACCCTCTAGCTAAACAAGATACCCTCTAGCTAGAACAAGTTACCCTCTAGCTAGAACAAGTTACCCTCTAGCTAAACAAGTTACCCTCTAGCTAGAACAAGTTACCCTCTAGCTAAACAAGTTACCCTCTAGCTATAACAAATTACCCTCCAGCTAAACAAGATACCCTCTAGCTAGAACAAGTTACCCTCTAGCTAAACAGGGTACCCTCTAGCTAGAATAAGTTACTGTTACCCTCTAGCTAAACAAGTTACCCTCTAGCTAAACAAGTTACCCTCTAGCTAGAACAAGTTACCCTCTAGCTAGACAAGTTACCCTCTAGCTAGAACAAGTTACCCTCTAGCTAGAACAAGTTACCCTCTAGCTAGACAAGTTACCCTCTAGCTAGAACAAGTTACCCTCTAGCTAAACAAGATACCCTCTAGCTAGAACAAGTTACTGTTACCCTCTAGCTAAACAAGTTACCCTCTAGCTAAACAAGTTACCCTCTAGCTAAACAAGTTACCCTCTAGCTAGAACAAGTTACCCTCTAGCTAGAACAAGTTACCCTCTAGCTAGACAAGTTACCCTCTAGCTAGAACAAGTTACCCTCTAGCTAAACAAGATACCCTCTAGCTAGAACAAGTTACCCTCTGGCAGCCAGATATCTAGCAGCTGGGCTGTTTCTTGCAATGCTACCAGCTGGAGAGATGTGGTCAGTGGTAACAAAGTCTCCAAAGTTCAACAGAACAGCAGCGTTAATTATTGGCTTCACATCGGGGACAGTTTTTTCCTGTGGACAGAAAGAAATCCTGTCACTGTTTGCAGCATTCAATACAATCAAGGCTGAGAAGACAATAGTGGAGTAAAGCCTTTTTTACCCACCACTTTTACAAACCTTGGACACAAAATATTACAGACAATTTTTATATTTCTGACAATTTCTGACTAGCTTAAACTATTTGGCTCCTAGGCCACATGTCTTACTCCTCCAAACCTAACAAAAGGAGCAGTACTCTTATAACCTAAACATAAGCTAATGTCTTTCATTTAAAAATAGCAATTAAAAATATTCATCATTATCAAACATACAAAATACATCTTTAAAAACATAAGTACAAAAACACAATTCTTTCAATATAAAGAAAGTTTTTGTTGCATTGAGCTGAACAAAAAGAAACTAATTTATAACTGCAACAACAACAAACCAGCTTCATCATAATGGACGTAGTAAAGCAAAGCACTACAATTATTTTTATTAGTGATTCCAATCTTTATAAGTATCCAAACTTACCATAGCTTGAAAGAATGGAGGGGACTTGATGTAAGTAGATTTGTGACTTGTAAACTTACCATAGCTTGAAAGAATGGAGGGGACTTGATGTAAGTAGATTTGTGACTTGTAAACTTACCATAGCTTGAAAGAATGGAGGGGACTTGATGTAAGTAGATTTGTGACTTGTAAACTTACCATAGCTTGAAAGAATGGAGGGGACTTGATGTAAGTAGATTTGTCATCCCAGGGGTACAAGCTGCTGGCTGGAGCCTCTAAGCTTGTCCATCTCTTGCTGCCCTCCTGTGGATTACCACCATGATATATATCTTACATCATGTTATATATCTTACATCATGTTATATATCTTACATCATGTTATATATCTTACATCATGTTATATATCTTACATCATGTTATATATCTTACATCATGTTATATATCTTACATCATGTTATATATCTTACATCATGATATATATCTTACATCATGATATATATCTTACATCATGTTATATATCTTACATCATGTTATATATCTTACATCATGTTATATATCTTACATCATGTTATATATCTTACATCATGTTATATATCTTACATCATGTTATTTATCTTACATCATGTTATATATCTTACATCATGTTATATATCTTACATCATGTTATATATCTTACATCATGTTATATATCTTACATCATGTTATTTATCTTACATCATGTTATATATCTTACATCATGTTATATATCTTACATCATGTTATATATCTTACATCATGTTATATATCTTACATCATGATATATATCTTACATCATGATATATATCTTACATCATGTTATATATCTTACATCACGATATATATCTTACATCATTTTATATATCTTACATCATGTTATATATCTTACATCATGTTATATATCTTACATCATGATATATATCTTACATCATGATATATATCTTACATCATGTTATATATCTTACATCATGTTATATATCTTACATCATGATATATATCTTACATCATGATATATATCTTACATCATGTTATATATCTTACATCATGTTATATATCTTACATCATGATATATATCTTACATCATGATATATATCTTACATCATGATATATATCTTACATCATGTTATATATCTTACATCATGTTATATATCTTACATCATGTTATATATCTTACATCATGATATATATCTTACATCATTTTATATATCTTACATTATGATATATCTTACATCATGTTATATATCTTACATCATGATTTATATTTTACATCATGTTATTTATCTTACATCATGTTATATATCTTACATCATGTTATTTATTTTACATCATGTTATATATCTTACATCATGTTATATATCTTACATCATGTTATATATCTTACATCATGTTATATATCTTACATCATGTTATATATCTTACATCATGTTATATATCTTACATCATGTTATATATCTTACATCATGATTTATATTTTACATCATGTTATTTATCTTACATCATGTTATTTATCTTACATCATGTTATTTATTTTACATCATGTTATTTATCTTACATCATGTTATTTATTTTACATCGTGTTATATATTTTACATCATGTTATATATCTTACATCATGTTATATATCTTACATCATGTTATATATCTTACATCATGTTATATATTGTACAACAGTTCATTCATCCTATCTTAATTTAAGCTGGATTACACTCATCTGGGCATACAACAGTCAAGTTGCACTAATCCAGTCATACAACAGTCAAGTTGCACTAATCCAGTCACACAACAGTCAAGTTGCACTAATCCAGTCATACAGCAGTCAAGTTGCACTAATCCAGTCATACAACAGTCAAGTTGCACTAATCCAGTCATACAGCAGTCAAGTTGCACTAATCCAGTGATACAACAGTCAAGTTGCACTAATCCATCGATACAACAGTCAAGTTGCACTAATCCAGTGATACAACAGTCAAGTTGCACTAATCCAGTCATACAGCAGTCAAGTTGCACTAATCCAGTGATACAACAGTCAAGTTGCACTAATCCAGTGATACAACAGTCAAGTTGCACTAATCCAGTGATACAACAGTCAAGTTGCACTAATCAGGGCATAAATTGCAGTGAATAAATATAACACACAAAAAGTTTTGGATGATGAGATATCATGAAAAGGTTTCTTAAGCTACCCATTTTCATATCATTAGCAAAATAAAAAATTTCTTATGTTTAGCGTATTTAAAATATAGCAGGTACAACATACTAAAACTTACAGTAACTTTACAATAGACATCTTGAAACATGGCAGGTACAACAAAACTTACAGTAATTTTAGAATAGACATCTTGAAACATGGCAGGTACAACAAAACTTACAGTAATTTTAGAATAGACATCTTGAAACATGGCAGGTACAACAAAACTTACAGTAATTTTAGAATAGACATCTTGAAACATGGCAGGTACAACAAAACTTACAGTAATTTTAGAATAGACATCTTGAAACATGGCAGGTACAACAAAACTTACAGTAATTTTAGAATAGACATATTGAAACATGGCAGGTACAACAAAACTTACAGTAATTTTAGAATAGACATATTGAAACATGGCAGGTACAACAAAACTTACAGTAATTTTAGAATAGACATCTTGAAACATGGCAGGTACAACAAAACTTACAGTAATTTTAGAATAGACATCTTGAAACATGGCAGGTACAACAAAACTTACAGTAATTTTAGAATAGACATCTTGAAACATGGCAGGTACAACAAACTGTCTCTCCACAGCCTGGATCTCATCTCTAGTTGGCCAAATGTCTCGCAGGTACACAGGGCTGCCATCTTTGCCAACACCTGCAACAGCCAACCACACAACAGCTTTAAGGATACAAGATACACATTTTCGATTTCTTAATTCGGTACTTATACATTTTATCTATCTAACCTGAACATTTCAGACTTCTACAGCCTACGGTTATCCTTTTATGTGATGTGAAGCATGGTACCCCCCCCCCCCCCCCCCCCCGGCAAATTTTCATACTACTACGCGGACATGTACTAGATGGGATAGCTGATAAGCATTCACTTAGGCCTTGTAGGTGTGAGCGGCTGGAGTGTTGGCATTATTATTTATATGTAACTTAAAAGGCGAATGTATCGTTTCTTTTCATGTTGTAAACTGTTCGTACTTTTTAGTTGTGTAGTCCCGTATTATGGCGCCGCTGTGTAACTGTTTATGTCCCTGTTTACGACTAGTTTGTGTATATTTTGTTTAGATTGTTGACACTGTTTATATTAAGTGTCTTTTTGTATAATTCTGTCGTACCTTTCGTGGCGTGTTGTTTGTTATCTGTGAATTAGGGACTATTTGTTTACGTGTAGTGTGTGAAGTGTGTGGAAGTCAGTTTCCAGAGTGGTGGTTGATTGCTTTTGGATGTGGTGCGGATGAAGGGAGGAAGTCTGTGTGTCAGAGCCTGGACCATCCTTGATATCAAGAGTCAGAGCAGCACCATCAAATAGTCAAACTTCGTAAAAATATTTCTTATAAGCCTGGTAAGCTAGCTACTTTATTTATTTTCCTATTGTTTTATGTTCGTTGGCCATGAGCTAACATTTTTTGTGCCTGTATGTCTCCTTATCACCATTGTGGTTTTTGCCAGACCACGTGGAAGCAGACAGATTCTGTCTAGGTTGTAATATCTATTTTTTATTATGATGTTTAGTATCTGATTTTTTACTTAGTTGTATCCCCTGGGCTTGTGTTAAGCCAGGGATAAGGTTCATTGTTGCCTGACTCACAGTTACAGTTCATTCCTGACAGTCGGGTTTGGTTATGTTACTTGTAATCTGGTTTACACATTTTGTATACCATTATAGTGGACTTTCACTTCCTGTGGTGATCTTTGTTGATCGCCAGGAGAGTGTTTGGTTTATGCTAAGCACTATGGATGTGCAGATAACATTACGAGATTTTATTTTATGTGAGCCTTGTATATAACCTTTTTCTATTTTAATTGATTTGTCTATTTTTCCTCTTTCTAGGACGTGTTTTGTTCCGTTGGGTTTTGTTTTGTATATGTAGTTTATCCAGATCTATTCCTTTTCATTTAAATTGTTGGTTCCAATTTTCTTGTAAAATAAATCTCATAAATTGTTGAAGTTTTTGTTTTATTTTTTAGTAGTTTCTTAGACTAAGGTTAAGAAAAAGATTTAACCAGCGTGGGTTTCACCACGGTTGCACTGACCACATTAGTTAGATAAGCCTAGAAGGGTAGATGGTGTAGTCATCCCCCCTATCAAGGCTTACATACTGAAACAGTGCTTGACCCTATCTACATAGAAAATTCTGTCTAAAACTTAAATACATAAATCAATGCGTATTTTATTAGTCAAATGGTTCTTCCACACATAACGTTTTTTTCTGTTTTCTATAATTATGTTAATTTGTGCAGTCCAATGCATATGTATTTGCATTAATTATGTTAATTTGTGCAGTCCAACGCATATGTATTTGCATTAATTATGTTAATTTGTGCACTAGCAGCATGTAACCCAGCCATTAGTACAATTTTTTATTTTATGTCTTTTAGCAAATAGAAAATATATATAAGTTATAACCCTAACCACAAGCATAGTTTCCCTATCACTAGCACTCAAGGGGAGAATAATGAGAAGTGCCACACAGATTTTACCCCTTAACAAAAACTGGCTTTTTCTCTATATCTGTTGAGAATGATCCTAAACTTTTCCAGTCACTAAACTTTGCTATTGTTCAAGGTTTGATATTGTTTTAAGTCATCATATTGGCCAGAAATGGGACAGGAAAAAGGAGAAGTGGAAGATTTATGTAATTTAGTTTAAAAAAATGACAAAGTACTTGACTGTAAAGATGAAACTATTCCATAAAATTTTAAAATGACAACTTAAAGTGATACTAAACACCTATATTGTCCCATCAAGTCCCTTGTGAGTTGTGTGACCAAGCCCCTAACCCCCCCAATGTAAGTTGTGCATGGAAGTAAATACCCACCTAATGGCTCATCATCAAAGTGTTGTGAGTTGTGTGACCAAGCCCCCCCCCCCCCCCAATGTAAGTTGTGCATGGAAGTAAATACCCACCTAATGGCTCATCATCAAAGTGTTGTGAGTTGTGTGACCAAGCCCCCCCCAATGTAAGTTGTGCATGGAAGTAAATACCCACCTAATGGCTCATCATCAAAGTGTTGTGAGTTGTGTGACCAAGCCCCCCAATGTAAGTTGTGCATGGAAGTAAATACCCACCTAATGGCTCATCATCAAAGTGTTGTGAGTTGTGTGACCAAGCCCCCCAATGTAAGTTGTGCATGGAAGTAAATACCCACCTAATGGCTCATCATCAAAGTGTTGTGAGTTGTGTCACCAAGCCCCCCAATGTAAGTTGTGCATGGAAGTAAATACCCACCTAATGGCTCATCATCAAAGTGTTGTGAGTTGTGTGACCAAGCCCCCCCCCAATGTAAGTTGTGCATGGAAGTAAATACCCACCTAATGGCTCATCATCAAAGTGTTGTGAGTTGTGTGACCAAGCCCCCCCCCCCCCCCCCCCAATGTAAGTTGTGCATGGAAGTAAATACCCACCTAATGGCTCATCATCAAAGTGTTGTGAGTTGTGTGACCAAGCCCCCCCCCCCCCCCCCCCCAATGTAAGTTGTGCATGGAAGTAAATACCCACCTAATGGCTCATCATCAAAGTGTTGTGAGTTGTGTGACCAAGCCCCCCCCAATGTAAGTTGTGCATGGAAGTAAATACCCACCTAATGGCTCATCATCAAAGTGTTGTGAGTTGTGTCACCAAGCCCCCCAATGTAAGTTGTGCATGGAAGTAAATACCCACCTAATGGCTCATCATCAAAGTGTTGTGAGTTGTGTGACCAAGCCCCCCCCCCCCCCAAAGTAAGTTGTGCATGGAAGTAAATACCCACCTAATGGCTCATCATCAAAGTGTTGTGAGTTGTGTGACCAAGCCCCCCGCCCCCAATGTAAGTTGTGCATGGAAGTAAATACCCACCTAATGGCTCATCATCAAAGTTGATGTCCACTGTGCCAGCTAAAGCATAAGCAATGACCAAAGGAGGTGAAGCTAGGTAGTTAGCCCTGGTCAGTGGGTGGATGCGTCCCTCAAAATTTCTGTTTCCAGATAGCACACCACACACCACTAGGTCACCCTGTACACAATTCAAAAGGAACACTGTATCTCATCCACTGTCTCATCAACTATATCTCATCGACTGTCTGTCTCATCAACTGTATCTCATCCACTGTCTGTCTCATCAACTGTATCTCATCCACTGTCTCATCAACTGTATCTCATCCACTGTCTGTCTCATCAACTGTATCTCATCCACTGTCTCATCAACTGTATCTCATCCACTGTCTCATCAACTGTATCTCATCGACTGTCTCATCAACTGTATCTCATCAACTGTATCTCATACACTGTCTCATCAACTGTATCTCATCCACTGTCTCATCAACTGTATCTCATCCACTGTCTCATCAACTGTATCTCATCGACTGTCTCATCAACTGTATCTCATCCACTGTCTCATCAACTGTATCTCATCCACTGTCTCATCAACTGTATCTCATACACTGTCTCATCAACTGTATCTCATCCACTGTCTGTCTCATCAACTGTATCTCACCAACTGTCTCATCAACTGTATCTCATACACTGTCTCATCAACTGTATCTCATCCACTGTCTCATCAACTGTATCTCATACACTGTCTCATCAACTGTATCTCATACACTGTCTCATCAACTGTATCTCATCAACTGTATCTCATCCACTGTCTCATCAACTGTATCTCATCAACTGTCTGTCTCATCAACTGTATCTCATCCACTGTCTGTCTCATCAACTGTATCTCATCCACTGTCTCATCAACTGTATCTCATACACTGTCTGTCTCATCAACTGTATCTCATCAACTGTATCTCATCCACTGTCTGTCTCATCAACTGTATCTCATCGACTGTATCTCATACACTGTCTCATCAACTGTATCTCATCCACTGTCTCATCAACTGTATCTCATACACTGTCTCATCAACTGTATCTCATACACTGTCTGTCTCATCAACTGTATCTCATACACTGTCTCATCAACTGTATCTCATACACTGTCTCATCAACTGTATCTCATACACTGTCTCATCAACTGTATCTCATACACTGTCTCATCAACTGTATCTCATACACTGTCTCATCAACTGTATCTCATACACTGTCTCATCAACTGTATCTCATACACTGTCTCATCAACTGTATCTCATACACTGTCTCATCAACTGTATCTCATACACTGTCTCATCAACTGTATCTCATACACTGTCTCATCAACTGTATCTCATACACTGTCTCATCAACTGTATCTCATACACTGTCTCATCAACTGTATCTCATACACTGTCTCATCAACTGTATCTCATACACTGTCTCATCAACTGTATCTCATACACTGTCTCATCAACTGTATCTCATACACTGTCTCATCAACTGTATCTCATACACTGTCTCATCAACTGTATCTCATACACTGTCTCATCAACTGTATCTCATACACTGTCTCATCAACTGTATCTCATACACTGTCTCATCAACTGTATCTCATCCACTGTCTCATCAACTGTATCTCATCCACTGTCTCATCAACTGTATCTCATACACTGTCTGTCTCATCAACTGTATCTCATACACTGTCTGTCTCATCAACTGTATCTCATCCACTGTCTCATCAACTGTATCTCATACACTGTCTCATCAACTGTATCTCATACACTGTCTGTCTCATCAACTGTATCTCATCGACTGTCTCATCAACTGTATCTCATCCACTGTCTGTCTCATCAACTGTATCTCATCGACTGTCTCATCAACTGTATCTCATCGACTGTCTCATCAACTGTATCTCATCCACTGTCTCATCAACTGTATCTCATACACTGTCTCATCAACTGTATCTCATACACTGTCTCATCAACTGTATCTCATCCACTGTCTGTCTCATCAACTGTATCTCATCCACTGTCTCATCAACTGTATCTCATCCACTGTCTCATCAACTGTATCTCATCCACTGTCTCATCAACTGTATCTCATACACTGTCTCATCAACTGTATCTCATACACTGTCTCATCAACTGTATCTCATCAACTGTCTGTCTCATCAACTGTATCTCATCGACTGTCTGTCTCATCAACTGTATCTCATCCACTGTCTGTCTCATCAACTGTATCTCATCGACTGTCTCATCAACTGTATCTCATCCACTGTCTGTCTCATCAACTGTATCTCATCCACTGTCTGTCTCATCAACTGTATCTCATCCACTGTCTCATCAACTGTATCTCATCGACTGTCTCATCAACTATATCTCATCGACTGTCTCATCAACTGTATCTCATCGACTGTCTCATCAACTGTATCTCATCGACTGTCTGTCTCATCAACTGTATCTCACCGACTGTCTCATCAACTGTATCTCATCCATTGTCTCATCAACTGTATCTCATCAAATGTCTGTCTCACTCAATGTTAGTGTCTATGTCTGTCTCACTCAATGTTAGTGTCCATGTTTGTCTCACTCAATGTTAGTGTCTATGTCTGTCCCACTGAATGTGTCCAGTCTAAAAATTGTGACCATCAATGAAAGAAAAATGTCTGTCCCACTGAACGTGTCCAGTCATGTGACCATCAATGAAAGAAAAAGAGAACCAACCTTCTCAATGGCCTCACCAACTTGGTCTGGGAGGGGCCCACTATTTCCAATACACGTCATACAGCCATAGCCAACAATATTAAACCTAAAGAGAAATTAAGCTAAAGCCATAGCCAACAATATTAAACCTAAAGAGAAATTAAGCTACAGCCATAGCCAACAATATTAAACCTAAAGAGAAATTAAGCTACAGCCATAGCCAACAATATTAAACCTAAAGAGAAATTAAGCTACAGCCATAGCCAACAATATTAAACCTAAAGAGAAATTAAGCTACAGCCATAGCCAACAATATTAAACCTAAAGAGAAATTAAGCTACAGCCATAGCCAACAATATTAAACCTAAAGAGAAATTAAGCTACAGCCATAGCCAACAATATTAAACCTAAAGAGAAATTAAGCTACAGCCATAGCCAACAATATTAAACCTAAAGAGAAATTAAGCTACAGCCATAGCCAACAATATTAAACCTAAAGAGAAATTAAGCTACAGCCATAGCCAACAATATTAAACCTAAAGAGAAATTAAGCTACAGCCATAGCCAACAATATTAAACCTAAAGAGAAATTAAGCTACAGCCATAGCCAACAATATTAAACCTAAAGAGAAATTAAGCTACAGCCATAGCCAACAATATTAAACCTAAAGAGAAATTAAGCTATAGCCATAGCCAACAATATTAAACCTAAAGAGAAATTAAGCTACAGCCATAGCCAACAATATTAAACCTAAAGAGAAATTAAGCTACAGCCATAGCCAACAATATTAAACCTAAAGAGAAATTAAGCTACAGCCATAGCCAACAATATTAAACCTAAAGAGAAATTAAGCTACAGCCATAGCCAACAATATTAAACCTAAAGAGAAATTAAGCTACAGCCATAGCCAACAATATTAAACCTAAAGAGAAATTAAGCTACAGCCATAGCCAACAATATTAAACCTTAAGAGAAATGTAGCTAATTGAATTGATATGTAAGTATCTTGTGGGTTGTACTGACCCTAGTTTTTCGAGGTATGGAGTGACGCCACTTTCCCGCAGGTAGTAAGTAACAACTCCACTGCCAGGTGACAAAGATGTTTTGATGTATGGTGACACTGACAGTCCAGCCTCAACAGCTTTCTTAGCAACCAGACCTGGGGGGAAGGACCATAGCTAGTAGGATTTATATAGACTGGACTCAATCTTGTATAGATGTTACTTGACTCAATCTTGTATAGATGTTAGTGGACTCAATCTTGTATAGATGTTACTGGACTCAATCTTGTATAGATGTTACTGGACTCAAGTAATCTTGTATAGATGTTACTTGACTCAAGTAATCTTGTATAAATGTTACTTGACTCAATCTTGTATAGATGTTACTGGACTCAAGTAATCTTGTATAGATGTTACTTGACTCAATCTTGTATAGATGTTACTTGACTCAATCTTGTATAGATGTTAGTGGACTCAATCTTGTATAGATGTTACTGGACTCAATCTTGTATAGATGTTACTGGACTCAAGTAATCTTGTATAGATGTTACTTGACTCAATCTTGTATAGATGTTACTTGACTCAATCTTGTATAGATGTTAGTGGACTCAATCTTGTATAGATGTTACTTGACTCAATCTTGTATAGATGTTAGTGGACTCAATCTTGTATAGATGTTACTGGACTCAATCTTGTATAGATGTTACTTGACTCAATCTTGTATAGATGTTACTGGACTCAATCTTGTATAGATGTTACTGGACTCAAGTAATCTTGTATAGATGTTACTGGACTCAAGTAATCTTGTATAGATGTTACTTGACTGAAGTTATCTTGTATAAATGTTACTTGACTGAAGTAATCTTGTATAGATGTTACTTGACTGAAGTAATCTTGTATAGATGTTACTGGACTCAAGTAATTTTGTATAGATGTTACTTGACTGAAGTAATCTTATATAGATGTTACTTGACTGAAGTAATCTTGTATAGATGTTACTGCACTCAAGTAATCTTGTATAGATGTTACTGCACTCAAGTAATCTTGTAGAGATGTTACTTGACTGAAGTAATCTTGTATAGATGTTACTTGACTCAAGTAATCTTATATAGATGTTACTTGACTCAAGTAATCTCATATAGATGTTACTTGACTCAAGTAATCTTGTATAGATGTTACTGCACTCAAGTAATCTTTAAAAGATGTTACTGCACTCAAGTAATCTTGCATAGATGTTACTTGACTCAAGTAATCTTGTATAGATGTTACTTGACTGAAGTAATCTTGTATAGATGTTACTTGACTCAAGTAATCTTGTATAGATGTTACTTGACTGAAGTAATCTTGTATAGATGTTACTTGACTCAAGTAATCTTATATAGATGTTACTTGACTGAAGTAATCTTGTATAGATGTTACTTGACTGAAGTAATTTTGTATAGATGTTACTTGACTGAAGTAATCTTGTATAGATGTTACTGGACTCAAGTAATCTTGTATAGATGTTACTTGACTCAAGTAATCTTGTATAGATGTTACTTGACTCAAGTAATCTTGTATAGATGTTACTTGACTCAATCTTGTATAGATGTTACTACACTCAAGTAATCTTGTATAGATGTTACTTGACTCAAGTAATCTTATAAAGATATTTCTGGACTGAAGTAATCTTATATAGATGTTACTGCACTCAAGTAATCTAAACTGAAGTAATGTTGTTAAAGGTCCCTAACAAAAACAGAAAGGCCTACTTGTACTCATGCTACAGACATCACCTGATTCAAATGTTTCCAGGCCTTTACTAAACTATAGCAATGTTGTTATTTGCCCCTAACATGACTCAAGAGATAGATTACCTGCCCCTAACATGACTGAAGAAATAAATTACCTGCCCCTAACATGACTGAAGAAATAAATTACCTGCCCTTAACATGACTGAAGAAATAAATTACCTGCCCCTAACACGACTCAAGAGATAGATTACCTGCCCCTAACATGACTCAAGAGATAGATTACCTGCCCCTAACATGACTCAAGAGATAGATTACCTGCCCCTAACATGACTCAAGAGATAGATTACCTGCCCCTAACATGACTCAAGAGATAGATTACCTGCCCCTAACATGACTCAAGAGATAGATTACCTGCCCCTAAGATGACTCAAGAGATAGATTACCTGCCCCTAACATGACTGAAGGATTGCTGGTGTTGGTACAACTGGTGATAGCAGCAATGACAACACTTCCATGCTTGAGACTGTACTCCACATCCTCATAGACAAATGGAACGCTGGTCTTAACTTTGTCTGCAGCTATGGCAAAACCCTAAAACATTAATTATGACCATTATTAACTGGCTACATCATTCAACTAGAAGAATTTGTCTACTGAACTTAAGAGTGTCTCTATATATAATGTGTCTACTGAAGTTAAGAGTGTCTCTACATATAATGTGTCTACTGAAGTTAAGAGTGTCTCTATATATAATGTGTCTACTGAAGTTAAGAGTGTTTCTACATATAATGTGTCTACTGAAGTTAAGAGTGTCTCTACATATAATGTGTCTACTGAAGTTAAGAGTGTCTCTATATATAATGTGTCTACTGAACTTAAGAGTGTCTCTACATATAATGTGTCTCTATGATTATTTAAATGTTTCCATTGAAAAATGGTTGTATCTAACATGAATGACATACCTTGAAGCCAACTTTGTTGGTCAAGCAGGTGTTAAAGTCTGACTTCATGTCAGTCACTGGCACTTTGTCATGAGGACGTTTGGGCCCGGAGCAACAAGGAACAACAGTGGACAAGTCCAGTTCAACAACCTAGAAAACACACTTCTTTTAGACTATATTTGTATAAAACCTTTTTTATAAGCTCAAAAAGTGACTGCTGGAAGTAGAATGTTGTACTAAATGTGACTCTTGTATATAATGACAGCCTGGTAATGACAAAGCTTTGATACTGAACACATACCATCCTATAGACACTGAACACATACGATCCTATAGACCCCTTGCAAACAGGTGCCTCAATCATGTGATACTGACATGGACAGCTAGGATAGTCTACTGAGAAGGTCTGTTTGTGCTAGTCTATTGTCAAAATCTCTTCAGTTTATCTTAAATAGCAACAAAATTTTGAGAAACATGAACCAACCAGGATCCTTATATTGTTTTGGTAACTAGCTCATAGAAGTTATAGATTGCAGTATTAGTAGGCCAAAACCTGAACATATACGATCGCTGATCAGCATCATGAATTGATGGGGATGGCAACACTATTGAAGATAGTGAACCCTACTACCTGAGAGAATTGATGGGGATGGCAACACTATTGAAGATAGTGAACCCTACTACCTGAGAGAATTGATGGGGATGGCAACACTATTGAAGATAGTGAACCCTACTACCTGAGAGAATTGATGGGGATGGCAACACTATTGAAGATAGTGAACCCTACTACCTGAGAGAATTGATGGGGATGGCAACACTATTGAAGATAGTGAACCCTACTACCTGAGAGAATTGATGGGGATGGCAACACTATTGAAGATAGTGAACCCTACTACCTGAGAAAAGTGTGGATCCTCCTCAGCGTTGGTGTAGTCTCTGTATAAACTGTTGGCTTTAAGGTACTTTTCTATGACAGTTATTTTGTCTGGATCACGACCTGAAAAACAAAGCAATTCACTCACTGGCTCACCTGTACAATCACTCAATGGCTCACCTGTACAATCACTCAATGGCTCACCTGTACAATCACTCACTGGTTCACCTGTACAATCACTCACTGGCTCACCTGTACAATCACTGGCTCACCTGTACAATCACTGGCTCACCTGTACAATCACTCACTGGCTCACCTGTACAATCACTTACTGGTTCACCTGTACAATCACTTACTGGTTCACCTGAACAATCACTCACTGGCTCACCTGTACAATCACTCAATGACTCACCTGTACAATCACTCACTGGCTCACCTGTACAATCACTCAATGACTCACCTGTACAATCACTTACTGAAAAACCTGTACAATCACTTACTGGTTCACCTGAACAATCACTCACTGGCTCACCTGTACAATCACTCAATGGCTCACCTGTACAATCCCTCACTGGCTCACCTGTACAATCACTCACTGGCTCACCTGTACAATCACTCACTGGCTCACCTGTACAATCACTCAATGACTCACCTGTACAATCACTTACTGAAAAACCTGTACAATCACTTACTGGTTCACCTGAACAATCACTCACTGGCTCACCTGTACAATCACTCAATGGCTCACCTGTACAATCCCTCACTGGCTCACCTGTACAATCACTCACTGGCTCACCTGTACAATCACTCACTGGCTCACCTGTACAATCACTCAATGACTCACCTGTACAATCACTCACTGGCTCACCTGTACAATCACTCAATGGCTCACCTGTACAATCACTCACTGGTTCACCTGTACAATCACTCACTGGCTCACCTGTACAATCACTTACTGGGTCACATGTACAATCACTCACTGAAAAACCTGTACAATCACTCACTGGCTCACCTGTACAATCACTCACTGGCTCACCTGTACAATCACTCACTGGGTCACCTGTACAATCCCTCACTGGCTCACCTGTACAATCACTCACTGGCTCACCTGTACAATCACTCACTGGCTCACCTGTACAATCACTGGCTCACCTGTACAATCACTGGCTCACCTGTACAATCAGGCACTGGCTCACCTGTACAATCACTCACTGGCTCACCTGTACAATCACTCAATGGCTCACCTGTACAATCACTCACTGGTTCACCTGTACAATCACTCACTGACTCACCTGTACAATCACTTACTGGGTCACATGTACAATCACTCACTGAAAAACCTGTACAATCACTCACTGGCTCACCTGTACAATCACTCACTGGCTCACCTGTACAATCACTCACTGGATCACCTGTACAATCACTCACTGGCTCACCTGTACAATCACTCACTGGCTCACGTGTACAATCACTCACTGGCTCACCTGTACAATCACTCACTGGCTCAAATGTACAATCACTTACAGGGTCACCTGTACAATCCCTCACTGGCTCACCTGTACAATCAATCACTGGCTCACCTGTACAATCAGGCACTGGCTCACCTGTACAATCACTCACTGGCCCAATCAGCTATACACAGAAATTAGTGATAATTTTTTTGTACCTGTCTGTTTTAAGTAGTCAATTGATTTTTCATCCACTGCAAAAAAGCCAACAGTGGCTCCATATTCTGGACACATGTTGGATATGGTGGCCCTATCAGCAATGGACAAACTGGTTACTCCAGGGCCAAAAAATTCAACAAATTTGCCAACAACACCCACCTGACGTAGATGCTGAAAATAAAATATTGTGATGTTTTGTGTGGCCAGAAACTGCCCCATTACTGTGTATGTAAGACAGCAATATCTATTGTCCAGTGACTTATTCCTGCTAACTAAAGAGAGATAATCAGACACCGGTCTTATATTGTCCAGTTACTTATTCCTGCTAACTAAAGAGAGATAATCAGACACCGGTCTTATATTGTCCAGTTACTTATTCCTGCTAACTAAAGAGAGATAATCAGACACCGGTCTTATATTGTCCAGTTACTTATTCCTGCTAATTAAAGAGAGATAATCAGACACCGGTCTTATATTGTCCAGTTACTTATTCCTGCTAACTAAAGAGAGATAATCAGACACCGGTCTTATATTGTCCAGTGACTTATTCCTGCTAACTAAAGAGAGATAATCAGACACTGGTCTTATATTGTCCAGTTACTTATTCCTGCTAACTAAAGAGAGATAATTAGACACCGATCTTATATTGTCCAGTGACTTATTCCTGCTAACTAAAGAGAGATAATTAGACACCGGTCTTATATTGTCCAGTTACTTATTCCTGCTAACTAAAGAGAGATAATCAGACACCGGTCTTATATTGTCCAGTGACTTATTCCTGCTAACTAAAGAGAGATAATTAGACACCGGTCTTATATTGTGGAATAACTGAACATTTTCACTGTGGGTTCGTTTCTTTGATATTACTGTTACATAAAATAGTCGACCAAGGTAAACCACTACCAGCATAGGGTCAAATAAAAAGTCTAGAGTGTTTTCCTTTGAGACAAAAAAAAGGGGAGAGCAGCATGGGTAAAGACTGTATGTTATGGTGTAAGTGATCTATTCCTGCTAATAGAACTTGTAAGTAGTAAAAAGTAGGTTACTAGCAGTTTTTGTTTTTTCTTCAAACCAAATGTGAATATTTTTATTAAATCGGAAAAAAAAGTGAAGTTGCTTCCACTGTTGTTATTTTGAATCGTAAACAATGATAATGATAGACTACAAGATGTAGGGTAGCTTAAAAGAAAAATAAAGCCTACGTTTAATTGTAATTATTTTTAAAGAAAGAATTTTTAGCCTATTTATTTGAACCCGCAACAAGTTGCCCTAAAAGCATGCACATGTATTTATTCCCATATATATGAACAAAACAGCATTGAAAGTTTCTACAATTGTTGCATTTTTGGAAAGTTTAATGATTTTTAAATCTTGAAGCTGGGCCTAATAATAATTAGCCGCCATGTTTTTTTGTTATCAATGGGAATGCCGTTCACAACAATTGATTTAGTTCAAAAACTATGATCTCTCTCGGGCTAACGAGACTTGAATTTAAGTGAGAGAGAATGAGAACTTAAGCTGAACTTACAAGGAGTATTAAGGACACCCATACAGGCTTTAGTAAGTGATCTATTCCTGCTAATTTACCCATACGGGGTCTAGTAAGTGATCTATTGCTGCTAATTTACCCATACGGGGTCTAGTAAGTGACCTATTGCTGCTAATTTAGGACACCCATATGGGGTGTAGTAATTGACCTATTGCGGCTAATTTAGGATACCCATACGGGGTCTAGTAATTGACCTATTGCTGCTACTTTAGGCCACCCATATGGGGTGAAGTAAGTGACCAATTCCTGCTAATTTAGGACACCCATATGGGGTGAAGTAAGTGACCTATTCCTGCTAATTTAAGAGAGCTGATCTGGTGTTTGCTACCGTTACCTTGGTAATGGTGAGTACCACATCAGTGGAAGTGACCAATGGGTGGAGGCTGCCAGTTATCTTGTAGCCAACAACTTCTGGAAGGACCATAGAAATAGCCTGGCCCAACATCACTGCCTCAGCCTCAATTCCACCTACACCTATAGGTCATCAGAGAGAGACTAGTCATCACAGGTCTTCAGAGAGAGAGACTAGTCATCACAGGTCTTCAGAGAGAGACTAGTCAGCACAGGTCATCAGAGAGAGAGAGACTAGTCACCACAGGTCATCAGAGAGAGACTAGTCAGCACAGGTCATCAGAGAGAGACTAGTCATCACAGGTCATCAGAGAGAGAGACTAGTCATCACAGGTCATCAGAGAGAGACTAGTCAGCACAGGTCATCAGAGAGAGAGACTAGTCATCACAGGTCATCAGAGAGAGAGACTAGTCATCACAGGTCATCACAGAGAGACTAGTCAGAACAGGTCTTCAGAGAGACTAGTCATCACAGGTCTTCAAAGAGAGAGAGACTAGTCAGCACAGGTCTTCAGAGAGAGACTAGTCATCACAGGTCATCACAGAGAGACTAGTCAGCACAGGTCATCAGAGAGAGACTAGTCATCATAGGTCATCATAGAGAGAGACTAGTCATCACAGGTCTTCAGAGAGAGACTAGTCAGCACAGGTCATCAGAGAGAGAGACTAGTCATCACAGGTCATCAGAGAGAGAGACTAGTCATCACAGGTCATCACAGAGAGACTAGTCAGAACAGGTCTTCAGAGAGACTAGTCATCACAGGTCTTCAAAGAGAGAGAGACTAGTCAGCACAGGTCTTCAGAGAGAGACTAGTCATCACAGGTCATCACAGAGAGACTAGTCAGCACAGGTCATCAGAGAGAGACTAGTCATCATAGGTCATCATAGAGAGAGACTAGTCATCACAGGTCTTCAGAGAGAGACTAGTCAGCACAGGTCATCAGAGAGAGAGAGACTAGTCATCACAGGTCTTCAAAGAGAGAGAGACTAGTCATCACAGGTCATCAGAGAGAGAGACTAGTCAGAACAGGTCTTCAGAGAGACTAGTCATCACAGGTCTTCAGAGAGAGACTAGTCAGAACAGGTCTTCAGAGAGACTAGTCAGCACAGGTCATCACAGAGAGACTAGTCACCACAGGTCATCAGAGAGAGACTAGTCATCATAGGTCATCATAGAGAGAGACTAGTCATCACAGGTCTTCAGAGAGAGACTAGTCAGCACAGGTCATCAGAGAGAGAGAGACTAGTCACCACAGGTCTTCAAAGAGAGAGAGACTAGTCATCACAGGTCATCAGAGAGAGAGAGAGACTAGTCAGCACAGGTCATCAGAGAGAGAGACTAGTCACCACAGGTCTTCAGAGAGAGAGACTAGTCACCACAGGTCATCAGAGAGAGACTAGTCAGCACAGGTCATCAGAGAGAGAGAGACTAGTCATCACAGGTCTTCAAAGAGAGAGAGACTAGTCATCACAGGTCATCAGAGAGAGACTAGTCAGCACAGGTCATCAGAGAGAGAGACTAGTCATCACAGGTCTTCAGAGAGAGAGACTAGTCATCACAGGTCATCAGAGAGAGAGACTAGTCAGCACAGGTCATCAGAGAGAGAGACTAGTCATCACAGGTCATCAGAGAGAGAGACTAGTCATCACAGGTCATCACAGAGAGACTAGTCAGCACAGGTCTTCAGAGAGAGAGAGAGACTAGTCATCACAGGTCTTCAGAGAAAGAGAGACTAGTCATCACAGGTCATCAGAGAGAGACTAGTCATCACAGGTCTTCAGAGAGAGAGAGACTAGTCATCACAGGTCTTCAGAGAGAGACTAGTCAGCACAGGTCATCACAGAGAGACTAGTCACCACAGGTCATCAGAGCGAGAGAGAGACTAGTCATCACAGGTCTTCAGAGAAAGAGAGACTAGTCATCACAGGTCATCAGAGAGAGACTAGTCATCACAGGTCATCAGAGAGACTAGTCAGCACAGGTCATCAGAGAGAGAGACTAGTCATCACAGGTCATCAGAGAGAGAGACTAGTCACCACAGGTCATCAGAGAGAGAGAGAGACTAGTCATCACAGGTCTTCAGAGAGAGACTAGTCAGCACAGGTCATCACAGAGAGACTAGTCATCACAGGTCATCAGAGAGAGAGACTAGTCACCACAGGTCATCAGAGAGAGAGAGAGACTAGTCATCACAGGTCATCAGAGAGAGACTAGTCATCACAGGTCATCACAGAGAGACTAGTCAGCACAGGTCATCAGAGAGTGAGACTAGTCAGCAGTCATCAGAGAGAGACTAGTCATCACAGGTCATCAGAGAGACTAGTCAGCACAGGTCATCAGAGAGAGAGACTAGTCAGCACAGGTCATCAGAGAGAGAGACTAGTCATCACAGGTCATCAGAGAGAGAGACTAGTCATCACAGGTCTTCAGAGAGAGAGACTAGTCATCACAGGTCTTCAGAGAGAGAGACTAGTCATCACAGGTCTTCAGAGAGAGAGACTAGTCATCACAGGTCTTCAGAGAGAGAGACTAGTCATCACAGGTCATCAGAGAGAGAGAGACTAGTCATCACAGGTCATCAGAGAGAGAGACTAGTCATCACAGGTCATCAGAGAGAGAGAGACTAGTCATCACAGGTCTTCAGAGAGAGACTAGTCAGCACAGGTCATCAGAGAGAGATTGATGTGTAGGACCAGATGTGTAGGACCAGACATTGATGTGTAGGACCAGATGTGTAGGACCAGCTGTGTAGGACCAGATGTGTAGGACCAGATGTGTAGGACCAGATGTGTAGGACCAGATGTGTAGGACCAGATGTGTAGGACCAGATGTATAGGACCAGACATAGATGTGTAGGACCAGATGTGTAGGACCAGATGTGTAGGACCAGATGTGTAGGACCAGACATAGATGTGTAGGACCAGATGTGTAGGACCAGATGTGTAGGACCAGATGTGTAGGACCAGATGTGTAGGACCAGATGTATAGGACCAGACATAGATGTGTAGGACCAGATGTGTAGGACCAGATGTGTAGGACCAGATGTGTAGGACCAGATGTGTAGGACCAGATGTGTAGGACCAGATGTGTAGGACCAGATGTGTAGGACCAGATGTGTAGGACCAGATGTGTAGGACCAGATGTGTAGGACCAGATGTGTAGGACCAGATGTGTAGGACCAGATTGTAGGACCAGATGTGTAGGACCAGATGTGTAGGACCAGATGTGTAGGACCAGACATGGATGTGTAGGACCAGATGTGTAGGACCAGATGTGTAGGACCAGACATGGATGTGTAGTACCAGATACTGATGTGCACTTACCCCAGCCCAGGACACCAAGCCCATTGATCATTGTAGTATGTGAATCTGTGCCCACTAGGCTGTCAGGGTACAAAAGCTGACCATCACTGAAAACAACGCGAGCCAAATACTCCAGGTTGACTTGATGAACAATGCCAGAACCAGGTGGGACAATCAACATATTTTTTAATGCTTGAGCTCCCCACTAAACAAAAAGAAAACATATTTTTTAATGCTTGAGCTCCCCACTAAACAAAAAGAAAACATATTTTTTAATGCTTGAGCTCCCCACTAAACAAAAAGAAAACATATTTTTTAATGCTTGAGCTCCCCACTAAACAAAAAGAAAACATATTTTTTAAGGCTTCAGCTCCCCACTAAACAAAAAGAAAACAGATTTTTTAATGCTTGAGCTCCCCACTAAACAAAAAGAAAACATATTTTTTAATGCTTGAGCTCCCCACTAAACAAAAAGAAAACATATTTTTTAATGCTTGAGCTCCCCACTAAACAAAAAGAAAACATATTTTTTAATGCTTGAGCTCCCCACTAAACAAAAAGAAAACATATTTTTTAATGCTTGAGCTCCCCACTAAACAAAAAGAAAACAGATTTTTTAATGCTTGAGCTCCCCACTAAACAAAAAGAAAACATATTTTTTAATGCTTGAGCTCCCCACTAAACAAAAAGAAAACATATTTTTTAATGCTTGAGCTCCCCACTAAACAAAAAGAAAACATATTTTTTAATGCTTGAGCTCCCCACTAAACAAAAAGAAAACAGATTTTTTAATGCTTGAGCTCCCCACTAAACAAAAAGAAAACATATTTTTTAAGGCTTGAGCTCCCCACTAAACAAAAAGAAAACATATTTTTTAATGCTTGAGCTCCCCACTAAACAAAAAGAAATTATATTTTTTAATGCTTGAGCTCCCCACTAAACAAAAAGAAAACATATTTTTTAATGCTTGAGCTCCCCACTAAACAAAAAGAAAACATATTTTTTAAGGCTTGAGCTCCCCACTAAACAAAAAGGAAACAGATTTTTTAATGCTTGAGCTCCCCACTAAACAAAAAGAAAACATATTTTTTAATGCTTGAGCTCCCCACTAAACAAAAAGAAAACAGATTTTTTAATGCTTGAGCTCCCCACTAAACAAAAAGAAAACATATTTTTTAATGCTTGAGCTCCCCACTAAACAAAAAGAAAACAGATTTTTTAAGGCTTGAGCTCCCCACTAAACAAAAAGAAAACAGATTTTTTAATGCTTGAGCTCCCCACTAAACAAAAAGAAAACAGATTTTTTAATGCTTGAGCTCCCCACTAAACAAAAAGAAAACAGATTTTTTAAGGCTTGAGCTCCCCACTAAACAAAAAGAAAACAGATTTTTTAATGCTTGAGCTCCCCACTAAACAAAAAGAAAACAGATTTTTTAAGGCTTGAGCTCCCCACTAAACAAAAAGAAAACAGATTTTTTAATGCTTGAGCTCCCCACTAAACAAAAAGAAAACAGATTTTTAAATTTCTTGTAATTTAGCTTTTATTTTATTTAAAGTAAAGTTCCCTTTCAAACACGTCTATGGGGCAAGTGAAGTAGAGTTCACTTGTTTCTGTGAACTCGGCATATGAAGAGATAGTGTGGTCAGCACTATGCCCAGCTGCCTTTACTTTCCCTAACGTGAGTTAGGTACCCATCAGAGTTGGGTGGACTCACAGACGATCTACTGACTTGAACCTAGATTCGAACTCCAGACGTACGGGTTAGCAGTCCAGCTCTCTACCGCTAGACCACTCCGCCCCAGTTTATTTTATTTAGCTTGCTCAATATATTGTTGTGTGGCTCTAAATCTTAATTTGACCCACTTCCCATATTCTGATTGAGTTGAAATTTGGCACAGTGGCAGATCTTGGATGACATAAATATTTTAAATTATTTAATCTCATTTTAAAAAATTACTAATTTCAATAATAAAAGGGGAAACCATAAATAAGAAAAAAAACTAGTGATCAGAAGACCATTGAGGGTGAACTCTGTTCAGCTCACAGACAGCTGATTTCATAGACCATGAGGTAATTAGGGGCAGGTAACTCTATGTTAGAGATCACAAGCTACTAAAAATAAAAAGGAGCAAACATACCTCACATAAAAGACAGAAATTTACAGGGAAAAGGCTTTTATTATATTCACAAATTACAAAAATAAAATCACGCCTGAAAAATGTATTAAAACGTAATACATTTTTTCATTTGTGATTTTTTTTTACAGTAAAAATTAAATTTTGTTTATTGTAGCTTACTAAAACTATATGCTGATATTACTGAAGATAAGAGCCTGGGCACTTCCTTACGGAAAATCCATTCCCTTTCATAGGGAGTTCATTGGTTTACGTTGACTCTGATTCCATCCTGCTTTTCTTTTTTGGATTTGTTTCCATAGCTTTTGTCCAACCAAGAACAAACTACAAGGAAGCAGTTGTTTGATTTTGGAGATGTCTCTCCTAAACAAGTGGCTGTCCCCAGAAAACGAGCCTCATCTGCAAGAGGGTTCAAACTCAAACTTTTCGGTTTAGCAACCATGAGCTTTACCGACACAACCATGGCCAACCCCTAAGTTGTAAATAATATAAGACCTCTGTTCAATTATCATCATTGATAGTTATACCAGCACATAGTTTTAGTAAGGCTACACCAAATTAAGTTTATTTTTAACTTTTTTAGTGTTTTTTTTTTTTCATTTCTGGTTTTGTGAATATAATAAAAGCCTTATTTTTTAAAAATTATTTTAAGTTTATTAATTCTTGAGTTTCCTACTCAACAAATTCAACATATTTTTACTTTCTCGTATACGATGTACAGAGGAAGTATTGTAATGGTTCAAAAATCTAAATTGAGATTTTCACAAATCAACGTTATGCAATTTTTTCAGTATGTCTCTGTGTGTACATGTGTGTATGTATGTGTGTATGTCTGTGAACTCAATAACTTGAGTACCATTAAATCTAGGTTGATGAAATTTCAAATACAAGTATTATATTAATTGTAGTTCTGTATCAACTTTTCAGCAAGTTCCAATAACCAGAAGTGGAACTTATTCTACTTTTGGTTTTTCAAAAGCCTAAAACTTGAGTAATGTTTCAGATAGATAAACGAAATTTCACATCTAAATAAAAGATCTAGTTGTCTGTCTTCTTTCAAATTTTGAGTAGTTTCCATTAAACGGAAAGAGAAATTTACACTATTTCCGATTTCTCAAAAAAATCGCAAATGAATTTATAAAGTGCTAATATACCGCAATATTGTACACATATTGTTTGCCATTCACTTGGTGTGCTATTCTTTTTTCTATGAGATTCTATTCTATTTTAAAAAGTTTAAGTAATTAAAAATGGATTAAAAATCAAGTCTTACTAGACATGGCATTTATTATTATTATTTTTATAATCATTATATATGCAAGGATTTATTGTTTCTGAAGAAAAATGTCTAGGATATTTTAATTGTAATGAAAACTATAAGCATACCTTACAAAACAAAAACCTTTCTTTATTCCTCTCAAATTCTAACTCCTGATTCTGCTCCAGAGCATCAGCACTGAAAGAAATAAAAGATTCAGTTTTTGGAGTTTTCTAGCACCATAACACATACACCAGTCACAATGTGATTTTGTGATTTTAAAAAAGTTACTATTTTGAACAATTTTCTAATACATTGATTTCTAATTGAATTTTGGTTCAAGTGTCTCTATGGAGACAATATAAGAGCATCTAGGTTGCATAAATTTCTATACAAAATAAGTGTATATACATAAGATTGAATAATAAATTAATTAAAACATGACTAATTAAAGAAATCCAGGTTATAGACCACTAGATCATAGAGTTAGTGTTCCTTAATCAAGTCAAGATGACTGCTAATAATGGGCAGATAACTGTTGTGCATCAAGTTTTTAATGAGGAAAATTAATATAATATATGACAAGCTACTGATTGGGTTTAAAGCAAATCATTATAGTGAGTAGGGGTAGAATTTCTTAAATTTCTTACAGGCATCTTTTTGGAAGGCAGTGCCCATAACAGCCCCCCCCCCCCCCCCCCTTCCCACTGCCCTGAAGAAAGATGACTGAAAGAAATGAAGACCATCTTTGAAAGAATAAGTGCAGTATTTATAGCTGCTACACAATAGGTGTAGTATTTTGGATCTAGCAGTTTTGACATTTGTAAATTAGCTAATTATAATGAAGGAGAAAAATATTAGTAAAAGACAAATGCACTACAAATAAGAAAGTAGCTTTTGAAGTAAAATTCTATTGAAAAGATTCTTAATTCTATGAATAAACAATCTTTTTACCCTAACAGCTGAAAGTGATTTTTACTGTTTTATTATTTTGTACATGTAAAATCAAGGGGATTACAGCAGTATACTTGTTGTAATATAAAAATACTATTTACATTGATTCCTAGCAACTAAGGGGATTACCCAATCAAGGATCTATAGAACATAACTGTACTGATTCAATTTCAAGTAGCTTTGATTAATTTCTTCTAGGATGTATAGAAGATCAGTGTTAAGAGTTTAACGTTTTGAATTGTTTGCAATTTGCTAAATTAATGGACAATTGGCTGCTAATATTAGCAAAGAACCTCTTCCTATGACTTTAGACATTCCTAAACAAAGCAAGACATTTCTATAGGACTTGAGACAGGACAGAAACAACTATTGCTACCCAAGAAGTAGAAAAAGGTGGAACAAGAAAAAATCATGCTGAAATGTGTCATGTTGGAACCAATTTTCATATACAGCATTTACTTCATGTTATGATTTTAATTATAGATCACATTAACTCAAAAGATCAACAAATAATAAAGGAAAAAGAATGTTCATAAAGATGAATGTGAGTAGAAATAACTTCTTCAATCAGTGTAAACACTTGGTTACAGTGCTCATGTTTTCAACAGCTCACAAACTTATAAATGAGAAAGAAGAAAAAGTTAAAAAACACACTAGATATAACCAGTACAGACAGTTTGTGCTTATGGGACAGGGTGCAAGATCATGTTAGTGTTGAGACAGGGTGCAAGATCATGTTAGTGTTGAGACAGGGTGCAAGATCATGTTAGTGTTGAGACAGGGTGCAAGATCATGTTAGTGTTGTGTTAGGGTGCAAGATCATGTTAGTGTTGGGACAGGGTGCAAGATCATGTTAGTGTTGTGTTGGGACAGGGTGCAAGATCATGTTAGTGTTGGGACAGGGTGCAAGATCATGTTAGTGTTGTGTTAGGGTGCAAGATCATGTTAGTGTTGTGTTAGGGTGCAAGATCATGTTAGTGTTGTGTTAGGGTGCAAGATCATGTTAGTGTTGTGTTAGGGTGCAAGATCATGTTAGTGTTGTGTTAGGGTGCAAGATCATGTTAGTGTTGGGACAGGGTGCAAGATCATGTTAGTGTTGTGTTGGGACAGGGTGCAAGATCATGTTAGTGTTGTGTTGGGACAGGGTGCAAGATCATGTTAGTGTTGTGTTAGGGTGCAAGATCATGTTAGTGTTGTGTTAGGGTGCAAGATCATGTTAGTGTTGTGTTAGGGTGCAAGATCATGTTAGTGTTGTGTTAGGGTGCAAGATCATGTTAGTGTTGTGTTAGGGTGCAAGATCATGTTAGTGTTGTGTTAGGGTGCAAGATCATGTTAGTGTTGTGTTGGGACAGGGTGCAAGATCATGTTAGTGTTGTGTTAGGGTGCAAGATCATGTTAGTGTTGTGTTAGGGTGCAAGATCATGTTAGTGTTGGGACAGGGTGCAAGATCATGTTAGTGTTGTGTTGGGACAGGGTGCAAGATCATGTTAGTGTTGTGTTGGGACAGGGTGCAAGATCATGTTAGTGTTGTGTTGGGACAGGGTGCAAGATCATGTTAGTGTTGTGTTGGGACAGGGTGCAAGATCATGTTAGTGTTGTGTTAGGGTGCAAGATCATGTTAGTGTTGTGTTAGGGTGCAAGATAATGTTAGTGTTGTGTTAGTGTGCAAGATCATGTTAGTGTTGTGTTGGGACAGGGTGCAAGATCATGTTAGTGTTGTGTTGGGACAGGGTGCAAGATCATGTTAGTGTTGTGTTGGTGTGCAAGATCATGTTAGTGTTGTGTTAGGGTGCAAGATCATGTTAGTGTTGTGTTAGGGTGCAAGATCATGTTAGTGTTGTGTTGAGACAGGGTGCAAGATCATGTTAGTGTTGTGTTAGGGTGCAAGATCATGTTAGTGTTGTGTTGAGACAGGGTGCAAGATCATGTTAGTGTTGTGTTAGGGTGCAAGATCATGTTAGTGTTGTGTTAGGGTGTAAGATCATGTTAGTGTTGGGACAGGGTGCAAGATTATGTTAGTGTTGTGTTAGGGTGCAAGATCATGTTAGTGTTGGGACAGGGTGCAAGATCATGTTAGTGTTGTGTTGGCCAAGACATTTCATGCTATGACCATATTTTATATTCACATACAGCCCCAACTTTAAGTGTCGGAAACTACAGAGGATATGGTAAGTACGAGTTTGGTGGTGTACTGGAATAAATAACCCTAACTAACCCTTTGGTCTCTTGGCAATGGAATGGGCATGTTGTGTGTAAGATGGGGAACTGGCTATGTGGACAACTCAAAGGGATAGGGGGAAGTCCACGTGTGGTTGAAGAGGGCGTGGTCTGAAGGCGTGGTCCAAGTCCACCACCAGGGTTGGGTGTATGCGTAGGCTGGGCTGGAGTGCTGTGGAAGTAAGGAAGATAACTGTTGGCAATAGCTTCAACACAAACTGCTGGATGTCACACAAACTGCTGGATGTCACACAACATCACACAAACTGCTGGATGTCACATAACATCACACAAACTGCTGGATGTCACATAACATCACACAAACTGCTGGATGTCACATAACATCACACAAACTGCTGGATGTCACACAAACTGTTCAGTCACACAAAGTCATGCTAGCCACTTGATGTCACACAAATTGTCACACAAATATAATGTAAAAATATTTCAGACAAAGAATAATGCAGATTTTTAAAATTTTTACAAGACATTTCAACTTTAGAAGGTGAATATGAAAATCACCACCAATTAACAATGCAAAATTAATGTGGAATAAAAATTTGTTAATGCTTGGTTAATACTAAGACTAACCCTAACAAAGATTTAGTGGTATGGCCAGACAACAATAGAACTAAAAAACTCTGACATGACTACCTTTGTAAAATCGTGACAGACACATTACCTAAAACAACTGTAACAAGACTGACTACCTTTGTAAAATTGTGACAGACACATTACCTAAAACAACTGTAACAAGACTGACTACCTTTGTAAAATCGTGACAGACACATTACCTAAAACAACTGTAACAAGACTGACTACCTTTGTAAAATCGTGACAGATACATTACCTAAAACAACTGTAACAAAACTGACTACCTTTGTAGAATCGTGACAGACACATTACCTAAAACAACTGTAACAAAACTGACTACCTTTGTAGAATCGTGACAGACACATTACCTAAAACAACTGTAACAAAACTGACTACCTTTGTAAAATCGTGACAGATACATTACCTAAAACAACTGTAACAAAACTGACTACCTTTGTAGAATCGTGACAGACACATTACCTAAAACAACTGTAACAAAACTGACTACCTTTGTAGAATCGTGACAGACACATTACCTAAAACAACTGTAACAAAACTGACTACCTTTGTAAAATCGTGACAGATACATTACCTAAAACAACTGTAACAAAACTGACTACCTTTGTAAAATCGTGATACTATATAAGGGATACTACTACACTGCATTGTGGGTAAGGGATACTACTATAGCCAGTGTTGAAAACAGGCGCAGCCACCGGCGCCCCGGCTATTGCATGAGCCGAAGCGCCTCAGGCTGCCCTATGACCACTGTGGCGCATACGTTTATTTTTTAAAAGGCTATACACTAAAGATAGGATGGAAAACAATAATTGTTGACTATATAAGATCAGGCTTGTCCTCTGGCACCCAGGAGGGTGCGATTTAGTGCCCTGGGCTTTCCGGTGAGAGCAATGGCGCCTATGTTCGTTTTAAACAGAGCGATAGATACTAAGATAGGGTTTTAGAGATGTTCACTAAACATAATCAGGCATGTGTTGGCCTAAACATAATCAGGCATGTGTTGGCCTAAACATAATCAGGCATGTGTGTTGGCCTAAACATAATCAGGCACGTGTGTTGGCCTAAACATAATCAGGCACGTGTGTTGGCCTAAACATAATCAGGCATGTGTGTTGGCCTAAACATAATCAGGCATGTGTGTTGGCCTAAACATAATTAGGCTCGTGTGTTGGCCTAAACATAATCAGGCACGTGTATTGGCCTAAACATAATCAGGCATGTGTGTTGGCCTAAACATAATCAGGCATGTGTTGGCCTAAACATAATCAGGCATGTGTTGGCCTAAACATAATCAGGCATGTGTGTTGGCCTAAACATAATCAGGCACGTGTGTTGGCCTAAACATAATCAGGCATGTGTGTTGGCCTAAACATAATCAGGCATGTGTGTTGGCCTAAACATAATCAGGCATGTGTGTTGGCCTAAACATAATCAGGCATGTGTTGGCCTAAACATAATCAGGCATGTGTTGGCCTAAACATAATCAGGCATGTGTGTTGGCCTAAACATAATCAGGCATGTGTGTTGGCCTAAACATAATCAGGCATGTGTGTTGGCTTAAACATAATCAGGCACGTGTGTTGGCCTAAACATACTCAGGCACGTGTGTTGGCCTAAACATAATCAGGCACGTGTGTTGGCCTAAACATACTCAGGCACGTGTGTTGGCCTAAACATAATCAGGCACGTGTGTTGGCTTAAACATAATCAGGCACGTGTGTTGGCTTAAACATAATCAGGCATGTGTTGGCCTAAACATAATCAGGCACGTGTGTTGGCCTAAACATAATCAGGCACGTGTGTTGGCTTAAACATAATCAGGCACGTGTGTTGGCCTAAACATAATCAGGCACATGTGTTGGCCTAAACATAATCAGGCACGTGTGTTGGCCTAAACATAATCAGGCATGTGTGTTGGCCTAAACATAATCAGGCACGTGTGTTGGCTTAAACATACTCAGGCATGTGTTGGCCTAAACATAATCAGGCACGTGTGTTGGCTTAAACATAATCAGGCACGTGTGTTGGCTTAAACATAATCAGGCATGTGTGTTGGCCTAAACATACTCAGGCATGTGTTGGCCTAAACATAATCAGGCACGTGTGTTGGCCTAAACATAATTAGGCTCGTGTGTTGGCCTAAACATAATTAGGCTCGTGTGTTGGCTTAAATATACTCAGGCACGTGTGTTGGCACACCAGCAGGGTATTATTTGGCGCTGTGAGCTATCCTGTGAGCACTATGGCACCTATGTTTGTTTTAAGGAGCACCCTACAAGATTGACAAGGCGGCACACAACATTCGATGAGTAAACCGAGCCTGGGGCCCTGCGGTAGTGTAATAGGGGGTTCACGAGAGAGCGCCTTCCCTGACACTTAGTGATATTATGATGAGTGATTAACATACACTCAAGGCAATAGTAGGTGTGATAGACTATGGATACAATGGGGTATTATAGTCGTTCACTAAACTGAATCAGGCGCATCCGCAGATGCCCCTGTAGGATGTGATTTTGCCCCTGGCTATCTTCAGACTTTTTTCTCACCCCACGGCAACACATGGGGACAGGCATGCTAGTTTCTTATAATTGGTCCAGGATAAATCATTTCTTATAATTGGTCCAGGATAAATCATTTCTTATAATTGGTCCAGGATAAATCATTTCTTATAATTGGTCCAGGATAAATCATTTCTTATAATTGGTCCAGGATAAATCATTTCTTATAATTGGTCCAGGATAAATCATTTCTTATAATTGGTCCAGGATAAATCATTTCTTATAATTGGTCCAGGATAAATCATTTCTTATAATTGGTACAAGGATAAATCATTTCTTATAACTGGTACAAGGAGGAAGATGACAAATCATATCTTATATGTCCAAAGAGGAATGATATGTTCCTGTTGAAGGAGAAATTATATGAGACAGGTATGAGGTTTTTCTCAGATGTAACTTTGATGTAGGGACAATGCAAGACCCTCAGTGGGTGTGTAAATGATGCTCAGCTACTGAGGTTATGTGTGTAAAGGAGCTGATGCTCAGCTACTGAGGTTATGTGTGTAAACGAGCTGATGTTCGGCTACATAGGGTTAGTGTGTGTAACAAGTGTGTCAAAAAGCATGCCAAGTACATCAACTAACACAGCGACCAAACAAGGTCACAGGTGGCATGTACAAGCTAGCAGATATCAGAAAGAATGTACTTGAGTAATTAGGTATAATACATGATTAAGATTACACTAGCAGGAGTCAGAAAGAATGGACTGATAAGATGGCCATTGGAGGCAGTGATGGCCAGGGGAGTCAGTGAAAGGAATGGCCAGGGGAGTCAGTGAAAGGGATGGCCAGGGGAGTCAGTGAAAGTGATGGCCAGGGGAGTCAGTGAAAGGGATGGCCAGGGGAGTCAGTGAAAGGGATGGCCAGGGGAGTCAGTGAAAGTGGTTATACAATTTAGAGAAAGCAAACAGTTCAAAAGCTATAATAGCATTATAAATAAAGCATAAAAACTTCAATTAACTATTTACTGGCCGGGGAATCAAAATTATTTTACTTCTCCTATGGTAGACACTGGAGCTCCTTTCTTTTCAATAGTTACATTATAGTGATAGAACAAAGTAAAGAAAACTTATTATTTCCCGCTTCCGCCAATATCTTCAGAATCTGGTTACCAACATTATAGTGATAGAACAAAGTAAAGAAAACTTATTATTTCCCGCTTCCGCCAATATCTTCAGAATCTGGTTACCAACATTATAGTGATAGAACAAAGTAAAGAAAACTTATTATTTCCCGCTTCCGCCAATATCTTCAGAATCTCGTTACCAACATTATAGTGATAGAACAAAGTAAAGAAAACTTATTATTTCCCGCTTCCGCCAATATCTTCAGAATCTCGTTATCAACTAGACTTCCGCTACTAACCGCAAGTAAACATACCATACAAAGTAGGGCAAGTAAATATACCATACAAAGTAGGGCAAGTAAACATACCATACAAAGTAGGGCAAGTAAACATACCATACAAAGTAGGGCAAGTAAACATACCATACAAAGTAGGGCAAGTAAACATACCATACAAAGTAGGGCAAGTAAACATACCATACAAAGTAGGGCAAGTAAACATACCATACAAAGTAGGGCAAGTAAACATACCATACAAAGTAGGGCAAGTAAACATACCATACAAAGTAGGGCAAGTAAACATACCATACAAAGTAGGGCAAGTAAACATACCATACAAAGTAGGGCAAGTAAACATACCATACAAAGTAGGGCAAGTAAACATACCATACAAAGTAGGGCAAGTAAACATACCATACAAAGTAGGGCAAGTAAACATACCATACAAAGTAGGGCAAGTAAACATACCATACAAAGTAGGGCAAGTAAACATACCATACAAAGTAGGGCAAGTAAACATACCATACAAAGTAGGGCAAGTAAACATACCATACAAAATAGGGCAACCGCTGGAACAATGGACTACACCACATAAAAAAATTCTCGGGCGAGTGCATACACTTGTAAAGGGTTAACAGACATGCCTACCCCTGTCAGCCAAAAGTAGGAACAGTCATGCCTAAAAAGAGGAATTTGAAGCCAAAAAGAGGAAAATACACGCAGATGCTACTACTTTACTAAGACAAAAAAAATAATTAAAAATCAGTCTAATGACATTAGAAGGCTTCTAGTTATATATAACTAGTCTCTAGGCTACATTTCAATACTGCTTAATGTCAATTTAAATTAAATTTTTAAAAGTTAACCAGTAACCTGAGACATCCCCCCCACCCCAATAAAAACCATAGCTTTGACATAACATGATTGATTTTATTATTCCTGCCTTGCTATGTTCAAGGCTATATGAACAACAAATGCTGAAGGCTTCGTATGTAAAATAAAATATAAGTTAAGAGTAAAGACCTAGATCTACCTAGTTACTTCTTACTAAGTTCTTAGCCTTAGCAGTTATAACTTTTACAAGATAGATCTGTTACGTATCTAGTACTATCTTTTAACTAGCATCAAAATCTAGAAATTAGCGTGTTAGTCATGATTTTATTGTATTTTTCTCCCTACATGTTATTTAAGGCATAATTTATATCTACAATTCAATTGCAAATACTAAAAAGAATGTTCAGAAGCGAGATTGTCCACATTATCTATTAGTAGATCTAGCTCTAGTATTAGATGATACTTGTAAATATTGTAAGTAAACTAGGAAATGGAAACGTGAGCCAAAGGGAGGTCCACATTATCTATTAGTAGATCTAGCTCTAGTATTAGATGATACTTGTAAATATTGTAAGTAAACTAGGAAATGGAAACGTGAGCCAAAGGGAGATAATCACTTTTCCCAGCTCTTTTTTTTCAATTTGATTTATTACTTTTCTTTATTAATTTTTTTTTCAAAAAAATGGGACAAACTTTGACAAAATGGACGGTGGAAAAGGACACGATTTTTTGTAAACAAAGCAGAACAATTCCGCTTCTGGCGGGATGGCAGACATGTCTGGGTTAACACTAGGCTTAAAAATGTAAAAGCTTCTGTGATGGGGAAATGCTTCAGGCAGGGTGGGCCTCTAGATAAGGGTGTAGCACCAAGCAGGGAATGCCAAGAAAAAACTCACCTGCGAGAGACATCCACCTGTACTGAATGATCTATAACTAAATCTGTTGGGCAGATTGGGTTGATTTTCTCTGGGTCACCATCCAATCGTTTAACAGCATCACGCATGGCAGCAAAGTCAACAACTGTGGGCACACCTCTGGAATGCACAGAAGTCGTCAAGTTAATAAAATATTTAATATTCTTTTTTTAAAAGGTTATTATTTGTTTGGGGTCTAGGAAATTACCATCTAACCCCACCAATTACCCCCTGCCGATAAAACTGCATGACTTTATTACTTTCACTTGATTTGTCTTTTATTTAAAGTGTGTTGGTAAATGCTTGTGAAGGAGCGAATTTTAGAAGCGAATGCCTAAAACGTAAATCTCAAATGTGTTTACACTGTTTATATAGGGCAGGAAACAGATTTGTACCGCATAATGCATATTCGATCTTCACAGTTGATAATCTTCTTAACCCTACATTGTTTGGTGATTTAGTTGATATTGATAGATAGAACAATATCTTTAGAAGCTTCTAGGGCAACATTTTTGGGGAATTCGCTTTTGAAGATATTTTATGCCTTGGCGAAGGACATGATGTATGCAAATCACGATGGAAGGCATCTATTTGAGTTTACATGTGCTTTTAAAATAAGCTAAGGAACACATTTTTTTTATAATAATTTGATTACATTTAAATGGATTTTTTACACTAAGAAATGAATACTGTAATTGATAAATGAAAGAAAAAACTTTTTTTCTCGATATTTCAACTTTTATATAAAAAAAAATCGCATAGAATTACATCGTGGAAAAATTCAGATTTTATTATTTTTTTCAGGAATAAAAACTGTAGGTTTTTTTCTTTAAGGCATGTATTTTGATATCAGTTTAGTGAAATCTATTTAAATTTGTAAAAGCTTTGTTTTATTTTGCCGTAAATATTTTATTTTTATTTTAGCATTTTTGTGTCGTGGTGAATCGATATTCGCTCTAAGCACGCACACGTTGTAAAACTAGACTTATCATTAAAACAAGAGAACTATGAGTACACGGCGAATAATTCTGTTTTTATATGTAAGTTTACTTTTGACTTTAAGCCATTTGTTTTAAATCAAAATTAATTGATAATGTAGTTATTTCAAAGTAAAAAATTTCTGTCTGATATCGGGTTCTAACCTTCACATGACCTTTGCGCCAAGTCTGTTTCTTTGCAATAGTGTCAAGAGCTAATTCTAAAAATAATCAAGTTCTTACTAGTCTAATGTTTATTCTTAGATAAAATTAGGCACAATAGTTGGAACGCATTAGAAATAACAAATTAATATCTCGTTAGAGCTATAGCCAAAAGAAAGTAGAACTTTATAGCTCTGTAAACTATGAATCAAGTGACAGCTGTCATGGAAAGGGGAGCCATTTTACTCTTCTTTAGAGGGTGACCTACTATTATTATATGTTTAAAATTTGGAGATTAGGAAAGTAGCTGAGTATCTGACTAAGCATGCAATATGGCTGGCATGTTTTGAGAAAGGGATCAAGTACACCATAGATTTTTTTTTTTTTTTTAGAACCCAGTGATTTTTTTTAAACGTAAATCAAAATATACTTACATATTAGTTGTGGATTTCAATTTCATTATAGATCTAATCATTAATTTCAGTTTTTAAAAGTGATTTTGCTTCTAGATCTAGCGTATTCTAAAAATTACGTAGTTTTGATTCTATATCTATTTGACAACCGTGTCAGTAAAATGAGGTCGCCACTCCCAGATTCTTAGGTTTTAATTATGTTTGTCATTTGATCTATTATAAGTAGTATTAAAACAAATGCATCTATCATCAAAATTGTTTTATGGGCTAGTTCTAGTTATACATTCTGTTCATTACAAATTCTAATGAAATCATATCAGGCCCTAACAGTGCCTAAAAACCAAGTTCCTACACTGCCAGTCTTTTTATGTCCAGTCCGTTAAAACTTTAAAGAACATATAATTTTGGTAAGCACCACGTGTGGTGAGTGGACATGTACGAGAGATGAATGAAACTTGTTACACCAAAAATGTGCTGCCGCTTTTTATGGGGCTTGCATTGGTAATATTCGCTTTGTTTGTGCGATTCAAAATGTTATGCACAATGGATATATTTATGTTAAACATAAAGATTTAGCAGGAGGTGTGATCAGTTATGAGTGGGAAAAGCATTGGGGAAATTGAACTAGAATTTCTGAATGTAAAGCATTGATCAAAATTAAAAACCACACTGTTGTTGGATTCATGCAACAATTTTGGATTATTTTGAGGATAATTATATAGTGAGATTAAGACGTCAAGGCAGGGCTGTTCCCCTTTATGAGCCTTACATTTGGAACATAGACCACTGAGTGGAAAATGAGTCAACAGTGTTGAGGGTTGACAGCGTTAATGTAAGCTGCAGTTGCTGATGACCATCCTAATATCTGGCCCTTTATCAATATTCTCAAACGCAAGTATGGTTTTCATAAGTGGTCATGGGTCAGCGGCTTGGCGGACATCCAGTAGAACAATAAAGAACAAAATATCATGATATCCATTCACAGATTTTTAACATCGTTAAGGACTGTGCAAACAGAAATCACATGGACTATTTACTAAGGATAGCTTACAATATACCAATTTAAATGTATGTAAGTTTTCCTTCGTTTTCTAATTCAGAAAAGTATATTTTATATTGTTCAATTTTTTATTTTATCCATGTTTGTACATTTAAGTTAATTATATATATATATATATATATATATATATATATATATATATATATATATATATATATATATATATATATATATATGGCGGTGGGTGATGATGACACCTGAGGGCAATTACATAGATGGAGAGTCACAGGATAAGATGTCAGGGGGGGAGGGGGGGGGGGGGGGGTAATTGTTCGGAGTTTGCCAGGGCCACAGAAAAACAACTATTTAAAACTGGGTAAATAGACTATGTGGAAAAGTTCTGCCATCTCCATTACCACAAAAAATAGGATATTTAACTCAAATGTCAAGGCAGTTCTGCTGTATGGAACAGAGACATGGAGAGTCTCCAAAGCAAGCACAGCAAAGATACAGGACAAAGTGCCGAACATAGAACTATGGAGAAAAGCAAGACAGGAGCCTATGGGTGTGCAAATAAGGAGGAAGTGGCGCTGGGTGGGTCACACACTGTGAAAGGCTCACCCAATGCCAAGCACTTGAGAAAGCGTAAGAGAGGGTGTCCAAGACAGACCTGGAGGTGGAGTCTTCTCAAAGAACTAAAGCCAACAGTGATGTCTTGGGAGACGGCAAAATTAATAGCCGGGGATCTGAAGAAATGGAAGGAAATGGTGGAGGCCCTATGTTCCGTCGGGAGCAAAGAGGACTAAGTCAAGTCAAGTAAGTAAGTCAAATAGACTACGTACTGTCCTGAGTAATCAATATCATGTAAAACATGGCTTTGGATGGTCAGCTAACAGTTCTGGGCGAGAAACTGAAAGGAATTGTAGAACTCACGTGAAGTCTTGTAAGATGACCCTTGCAGGTCGGAATGGAATTTCTACTTGAGCCTTCTGCTGTTCCTCCCAGTTTAAAATCCTAAGTACATCTGTTGACAGGACCTGGAAGTTGTCACAGTTTCTCACAGCAGATTCCAGCAAGATTCTGATTGAATAGGGGAGACGACCTGCCACAAACATTATACACTTATTACTAGTTTTTAATTCAGTTAATGGTTGTTATTTGGTTGTGTGTGCATAGCAATTAAATTAATTAAATCAATACCAAGAGCAATAGAAACATGTCAAATAACTAAGAAAAATGAACAATCAAAGTAAATTATTATTATCAATAATAAAACACTTCCTTAACCACCTACACATATTTTGAAAAGCCAGAAAAGCTCAAGCAATTCAAGGAATTGCCAGGACTTCTCAGGAGGAAATTAGAAGTTTCAAGAAAACTTTCTTGGCTAAAAGGTATATTTTTTAATAACTGCCATTCCTCTCTAAATCAGCTATAAGATAATTGGCAAATTTACAAAGAAAATAGATAGGTAAAAATGTTTCAGCAATAATTTAAAAAGAATTAATTAAAATGAAATTAAAAATTGGGTTCCTTTGGAAAATTTTAATCAAAAAATTCAGAAATGAAAAAGTTACACTCTGGATAACAAAGAGTATTGCATAAGTAAAAATGCACTTACTAAGTTTTTCTTGCCTCAGAGCAGGACTGTCTGTAAAATCTTTACCCCCAACTTCTGTAATGGCTTGACAAAATGAGGAGTCTGATAGAAATATTTCATCAACATCTTTATAACTTTCTCCATCAATTGGTTTTATCACTTCAATCTTTCAATCAGATCACTCAACATTCCAGGCATGCTTGTCTAGTTTAGCAGTATGAAATCTGTCTATATAACTCAAAACACAGCCACACTGGCAAGCCATTACATTTTTTTTACAATACTCACCAGAAAGTTCTTCGCCTAGTTCAGCAGTATGAAAGTAGCTGTAAGTCTTATTATCTACCTTGAGTTGTTTCACTAAGAAACTAAAAGGATTTCCTGAAATAAATATGGACATAAACAATTCTCAAGGATAAAAAAAGGGGATGCCAAGAACTCGATATATTGTATCTATTTTTTATAGCAATAAAAGCAGTTTCACACAGTTACCGTACTAATTAATTGTTTAATATAGCTAATATTTTAAATAAAACAAGTTGATGTTACTTTAAAATAACACTGAAAGAATTGTCTAATTGCAATTTAATGTTTACCTTATAAACAACTTTAAAAAAAATTTACAATGTTACAAAAGTGGCAATAAATTTTTATTTTCAACATTAAGCTAATTTAACCTGTACCAATCTAGTCTTGTAGGCCTACTCCTGTTTTCAATTTTAAATTATGTCTTACATTCTTTTAAAGATTATCAAAGCAAGACTGAAAGTCTTCAAATTAAAGAGCCTAGATTTAGATTAATTGTAATTTGAAAGTTTAGGTTCATGTGATGGAAAATAAAATCAACCAGATTAGCTGAAATCACAAAGGGTCTGATATTTTAACCAACATTAACCATTTTGATAGCCAAGCCACCTTGTTATTTATGCTTTTGGAATAGCTGTAGATTATTAGGGGTCATCAATAAATGATTTTTGACAGTTTTTTTATCTCCCCCTCCCCTGTCACAAAAGCCAGACCCCCCCCCCCCTAAGCCCTAAAATGACATCACACCTCACACTTTCTGCTCACCCCTTTCCCCCCCCCCCCCCAATCATGTCACAAAAAAACTACCACACGGATTCCCCTCCCTCCCTTCTTAAGTGTGTGACATATTTATGGAAGACCCCTTATTAAAAACAATCTGTATCATATGTTTTCTTCCACAAACAAGATACCATCAGGTGGGAGTCGAGTTGAGTTCCTATTAATGTTTAATTAAAACAGTAGTCCTATATTGCAGGAACAGCTATTTGACAGTATTTTACTATGTAACTATACTAGCTAGTCTATTTATTTGTCATTTATTTGAGTTTGAGATTGGCTGTGACATCATTTTACTTTCCCCCATTACAAGCAGTACCAAACCCGCACTTGTGGTCATGGTATCATATAATCTGCCGACAGTTTACAGTAATTGATATAGAGTCTAGATCTATGTATTAGCCTAGGTCTATAGTCTATAGAGCATGGATCTAGCAATTTTCATTTAGCAGACGAAATCATACCTGACTTGGTCGCCATCTTGCCCTATAAGAATGATCACGTGACTAATCTTCGTAACTTCGCTCTTTCTCTAAACTCTAGGTTTAAAGACTGAGAGCAGTTTTCCATTGCTATTGCTAGGCCTATCGCAAAAAAAATCTAGGTTTCAACATGCAGACACGTCACAGAGTAGAAGCGGGTTCGCCCCCCCCCCCGGAAAAAAGTCTAATGCCCCCCCCGAAAATTTCAAATGCCCCCCCCCGGAGAAAAAAGTCTGGAAGAAACACTGATCATTTAGACTCTTGAGGGTGATACAAAATCAAAAAATGTGTCTAAACAATGTTTTATTCAGTTAAAAAATTAAATGGTAGGCCTATCTCGAAAAGGTGAATCCAAACCAAAAATGCTGGCATCGTTGGGGTGACACCCACATTCATCCCACTGGGTGATGTCAAGTGAAATAAGGCGCCTTTACATTACTATAATTACTTGAGTTTTTCTTTACTGACTGTTGTGTCTTGTGTTTATTGGTATTTTAGGATGCGTGGCTACATACATACATTTTAATTTAGCTGTTGCATTTTTTTATAATGCCGCGAAAATGTGTTTTATTTATGCACCCATAGGGGTGATCCATAAATGACGTCAGGCTTTTTTTGACGATTTTTACCTCCCCCCCCCTTCCCTCCGTCACAATAAAAAGCCAGCCCCCCCCCCCCCCCCAAAAAAAATAAATGACGTCACACCTCAGCCTACAACCCCTCTCAAAAATGCTGTTAAATTTTTCTTAAAACATCGACATTTTTCCAAAATCCTGTCTGAACTCTGTCAACATAGAGTATTTTGATCAATTCATATTACAATTTATCGAAGCCGTTTTCTAAAACGCGAAATAACGGCTAAACCTCGTTTTCTAACATTGCTTTTTTATAATGCAAAAAAGTGACGTCACACCATCTGAACGCTTTCCCTCCCCCTCATCACACACCGTCACAAAATTACGGACCCCCCCTCCCCCTACGAGTGTGACGTCATTTAAGGACGACCCCATATGGCAGTTGCTAAAAAGATACTACTGGTAGATACCATCAACAGTACATGTGTCATTTTGAATATTTTGATAATCTTCTCCAAGTCTAAACCTGCTTGTAGTCCGACCTCTCACAGTCTGTTGCATGTCTATTGTCTTTGTCCGTATTAGTATTATAGCAAATAAAGCTTTTCAGAGTTTCTTCAGGCATATATATATATATATATATATATATATATATATATATATATATATATATATATATATATATATATATATATATATATATATATATATACATATACATATATATGTCATAGATCCGATCACTGTTGAATTCAAAGATAAAACATCATTGATTTATTATTTCATTTAAACTATAAATAACAATAGATTCATATCCATAGTGAGACAACAAACCACACAAGATATCCACAAGAAATCGAGTTTGAAACTGTTTTATCTCATTTTATACCTGTCTAAAATTGTGAAAAGTGTACTTTACTGTTGTCCGCTTATTGTTTTTTTCTCTAAATGTATTTATATGAATTTGTTTTAAAATGAATTCCCTTTTATAGATTTATCATTCTATAGTATACCTTACCTAAGCATTGTGTGGTCTGGGGGGTATGCTAGTTCCGCCCCTGGTCTGGGGGTATGCTAGTTCCGCCCCTGGTCTGGGGGTACGCTAGTTCCGCCCCTGGTCTGGGGGTATGCTAGTTCCGCCCCTGGTCTGGGGGTATGCTAGTTCCGCCCCTGGTCTGGGGTACGCTAGTTCCGCCCCTGGTCTGGGGGTTCCGCCCCTGGTCTGGGGGGTACGCTAGTTCCGCCCCTGGTCTGGGGGTATGCTAGTTCCGCCCCTGGTCTGGGGTATGCTAGTTCCGCCCCTGGTCTGGGGGTATGCTAGTTCCGCCCCTGGTCTGGGGTACGCTAGTTCCGCCCCTGGTCTGGGGGTTCCGCCCCTGGTCTGGGGGGTACGCTAGTTCCGCCCCTGGTCTGGGGGTATGCTAGTTCCGCCTCTGGTCTGGGGGGTATGCTAGTTCCGCCTCTGGTCTGGGGGTTCCGCCTCTGGTCTGGGGGTTCCGCCTCTGGTCTGGGGGTACGCTAGTTCCGCCCCTGGTCTGGGGGTTCCGCCCCTGGTCTGGGGGGTACGCTAGTTCCGCCCCTGGTCTGGGGGTTCCGCCCCTGGTCTGGGGGGTATGCTAGTTCCGCCTCTGGTCTGGGGGTTCCGCCCCTGGTCTGGGGGTATGCTAGTTCCGCCCCTGTAGGTTTGGTTCAACAGACGACATAATGGCAGGGTCAAAGTCCTTCCCACATTTTTTTCAACGAGCAGTTTAGATTGAACGGGGGGGGGGGGGGGGACTGGTCTACTAGGTCGCGAGGTCAAAGTTCGGGTGATAAAAGAAATGCAAGAGTGTATATACCTTCGAGATGACATGGCATACAAGTGATTTGGCAACCGTTATCGCGATACGGCGTCCTGGCTAGCAGCTCTCCTAACTACCATCAAACATTGTGTTTTATTGTCAGCGACAATACCATTATGGTGTCACATTGTCAATGACATCTGGTCCATTGTGGTGTCACATTTTCAATGACATCTGGTCCATCGTGGTGTCACATTGTCAATGACATCTGGTCCATCGTGGTGTCACATTGTCAATGACATCTGGTCCATCATGGTGTCACATTGTCAGTGACATCTGGTCCATTGTGGTGTCACATTGTCAGTGTCCTTATGTCACCATACCACCGGTAAAACAATAATCTTTAAGAGTACAACAAGCAAGTCCTTGTGTCACCATCTTTAAGAGTACAACAAGCAAGTCCTTGTGTCACCATCTTTAAGAGTACAACAAGCAAGTCCTTGTGTCACCATCTTTAAGAGTACAACAAGCAAGTCCTTGTGTCACCATCTTTAAGAGTACAACAAGCAAGTCCTTGTGTCACCATCTTTAAGAGTACAACAAGCAAGTCCTTGTGTCACCATACCACCAGACACCGTAATGGGAGTATGTGTGGGGGGGGGAGGGGTGGAGGCAGGTTGGTTAGTCGTCCAAATTCTGACCATACAAAAAATGGTCAAAAATGAAGAAGTCATTTGAAGCCCTCGTGATTTGATGTTGTTAGATAAACTACTACACGCTGTCTACAAGGTCGCAGTTAATTCTATCCTAGGGAGGAATGACCTAAATCCAACAACTTTATGATTGCGCATTAGCAGTCACTAGCTAAGGCTGTTGCGTAGAAATGTCGTGTCTAAGATAAGTATACTCTCAAACTACTTCAATGACTTATTGCTCTTCTTTAAATAGTAACCAGGCTTTTATTTAAATACTATAAGGGGCAGATCTAACATGGTAGTGCTTATTTCGGCGAACGGTAGAGGAAATGCGCAACATACTTGCATCCTCTCACATCCGGACGCGGACCTATCTACATGTTTGACTAGACGCGGACCTATCTAGATGTTTGACTAGACGCGGACCTATCTACATGTTTGACTAGACGCGGACCTATCTACATGTTTGACTAGACGCGGACCTATCTACATGTTTGACTAGACGCGGACCTATCTACATGTTTGACTAGACGCGGACCTATCTACATGTTTGACTAGACGCGGACCTATCTACATGTTTGACTAGACGCGGACCTATCTACATGTTTGACTAGACGCGGACCTATCTACATGTTTGACGCGGACCTATCTACATGTTTGACTAGACGCGGACCTATCTACATGTTTGACTAGACGCGGACCTATCTAGATGTTTGACGCGGACCTATCTACATGTTTGACTAGACGCGGACCTATCTACATGTTTGACTAGACGCGGACCTATCTAGATGTTTGACGCGGACCTATCTACATGTTTGACTAGACGCGGACCTATCTACATGTTTGACTAGACGCGGACATCCCAGTTGCAGTTCTTCGAAAAGACTCCGCCTCCAGGTCTGTCTTGGGTAACCTCTCTTCCGCTTTCCCTGGGGGTTCCCTTCAAGCGCCTGGCGTGTCACATTTGGGTGAGCCTTTTGCAGTGTGTGTACCCCCCCCCCAGCGCCAATTTCTCCTTATTTGCACTGTCATAGGCTCCTGGGGGTCGCTGGGGCAAACAAGCCATCCCACCACTACAAGGCGGTAATTGCTAGTTTTTATGATTGCATCTGAAATTGTTAGGCGAAAATAGCCTGCATGCCGAATTTCAGATGTCTAGAGCAATCAGAAGTGGGCTAAAAAAAACGTGTTAAAATAAATAAACCGGGAGTGATCTCCCCTAAACTTTCTCGAATATTCTTATATAAAATAACAGGGGATGGGAACTCGGGCTATAGACATGATTTTTAATCCATTTTAAATACTTAAAGTTTTAAAAATAGAATAAAATCTCGTAGACAAATTAATTGCACACCAAGTGAACGCCAAATAAAAAAGCGCATAATGGTGCGCAATATTATTAGTACTTTTAAAATTTACATTCGTTTTTTGAGAAATCGGAAGTAGCGTAAGTTACTACTTCCAGTCAACGGAAATTACTCAAAATTTAACAGAAGGTAGAGAATTAGATCTTTTACTTACATGTGAAATTTCATTTATCTATCTGAAATAGTACTCAAGTTATAGGCTTTTGAAAAATTCAAAGTAGGAAAAGTACCACTTCCGGTTATCGGAAATCGCTCAAAAGTTGATACGGATCTACGATTTTGATAAAATACTTATATATGAAATTTCATCAACCTAGCTGTAACGGTACTCAAGTTATCGTGTTTACACACACACACACACAGACATACGGACAAGATTGCAAAATTATGTTTTTCCGTATCAGTGAGGTGTAAAACGTCGAGATTTGTAAAAATCTCGATTTTTTTTTTTTTGCACGATTACAATACTTTCTCTATAGGCCTACTTCGTATATACGAGAAAGTAAAAAGACTGTCCGAAACGAATTAACACCTGCTACAAACTTCCCTCTAAACTCAGATTGTTTCTGACACTGCTACTCATTTTTTAAGGAGAATTTAATTGCCGTCGAGTTAAGTTTTAGATAACGACAATCATACATCGTAATTATTAATTTTTTGTCGCGCGCACACACACACACACATGTATATATATATATATACGAGAAAAATGGCCCGTTGAGGAAGGATACACCGGGCGCTAGGTTGATAGTGCTGTCTCTTTTCTCTAAACTAAAACCAACCCACCCCCCCCCCACACACACACCACCCCCCCCACCCCCCACCCACCCCACACACCAGCCCCCCCACCCCACCCACCGCCACCCACCCCCACCCCACCCCCACCCCCCAAAAAACATGTCTACCGTCCCATTCAACGAAATATAATTATATACTTTTTCCAGTGTCCGCCCCCTCCCCGAAAATTTTACCCCCGCCCCCGAAAATTTCAAGTACCCCCACCGCTCTCCGGGGAGGAAAAAGTCTGAAAGAAACACTGGTGTCGCGCTTAGCCACTACGCGAAGAATTGCATTAAAGAAATTGCGAGAAAACCACTTTTTAGATTAGACACTTTAATTAGGCGGTAATTTTATTATAGAGTATCGATGAGGAAACCACCGCCCCACCCACCCCCCCCACTCACACCTCCCCCCACCCCCCCCCCCCACTCCCCCCCCCCCCACCCCCGCTCCCAAAAAAAACATGTCTACCGTCCCATTCAACGAAATATAATTATATACTTTTTCCAGTGTCCGCCCCCCCTCCCCGAAAATTCTAACCCCGCCCTCGAAAATTTCAATTACCCCCACCCCTCTCCGGGGAGGAAAAAGTCTGAAAGAAACACTGGTGTCGCGCTTAGCCACTACCCGAAGAATTGCATTAAAGAAATTGCAAGAAAACCACTTTTTAGATTAGACACATTAATTAGGCGGTAATTTTATTATAGAGTATCGATGAGGAAATTTCTTTTGAGTTGGGGAGGGGGGGGGGCTCAGACGTTCTTACGCGGGGGGTGGGGCTTCGCCCCTACTCGAAGAATTCTATGCAAGAAACTCTTCACGCAAACCATTTAGATTAGACAACATTTCCTTTTTTTCAATGTTTCAATGACGTCATTACATTACTGTGTGCACTCTCTGGTTTGAGATTATGTTCTACTCTACGCTAAATGTGTCGACGTCATATTTCGTTTTTCGAATTACTGTGCAGGTTTTTAAATTGCTTGTGTTTTCTCTAGAGCGTTCTTGTCAGACAGATAGATAGATAGAGAGACAGCGAAACTATTAGTATTAATGGGGGGGGGGGGGGCGGCGCCAAACTGAGAGTTCTTGACTATTTTATTACATGTTAATTTCTATTAATGGACTTTCAGGAAACATGTAAAAAAATGGTATTAATTGTATCATAAATTAAAATAGCAGTATATTATTTCTATTTTAAAATCTATAAATTATGCCCCCCCCCTCTGTGGTCAAAGCCCATCTGTGGTCAAACCCCCTATGGTCAAAGCACCTAGGACCAGCATTATTTACATTTAAGTAACTCAGCTTTAAAATGGTGATCAGAAACGGAAAAAAGCGCAAAAGAAATGTGCAACGGAAAAATGCGCTATTATGGAGAGTGATTAACATACATTAAAGGCTTTCATACAGCATTGAAAATAAGAAAATTAAACTAATTCGCTTTCTTTCATAAAAGCTTAGGTCGCTTAAATACGTTACAGATCGAACAAAGTTTTTACGTGGATTTGTTTGATTTTCTTAATTTGCTGTTGAGGTTTTTTATATTTGTTTTACTTTCTACTTTTTAGTGATTCCTAAATTATGAAGTTGACAAGACTAAAAATATTTGCTTCAATTGACTTTCAGTAGCTCGTTATCTCTGAAAGATGTTTATCTGCCGCATGATAGCAGCTGTCCGTAATCACAGACATCAAGCTGATCTTGCTACCTCCCCTTAGTTGCAAATAGTTAATTATCTGCTGCTAATAACCCTCACTAGATTGGTTGGCTCTACGATTGTAAACATTAGGTGTGAACCACAGCTCAGTAGACTGGTTAGGTGATAGCGTCTAGCTAGTTATCTCCCCTTCTGATATTGAATATAGTAGTCTATCGAGTGATCACTAGCATTTAATTTTAATGTCCCCTTAGTTTTGTAACTGTTTAATAAATTTTTGATGACTTAATTTAACATCTAATTAAATTTAAAAAATAGATATTCATGCATTGTCCTTAAACATAAAGTCGACAGCACTTGGAAAATTTGAACGAAAAAAGCTGCATTAGAAGTTGGTCAAAATTGAGCTACAAGATTTGCCACAGATGTTATGAACTTAGTAAACGCTTGCATGTTACATGTTCTTTGTTCAATTCTTACAACCGTTGTTCCCCACTATTTTGAAGAAGTCAATTTAAAAAAAATATTTAACAACAAAAACAACTTAGTACATACCCACATTCTTAACATAATAATGTGTCAAAAGCTGAATGATGATTAGAGCCCTGCTTATAAGAAAAGATCAAGGTACTGGATATATAAAGGAAAGTCCATTTCATGACATTTGTACAAGTTTAATGATCACCATAGCAACAAATTTGTCCACATCTTACAGCAACATGCTATCCTTATGTCAGGTATAGCCAGACATTAAACTCTACAAGAAAATAGTTGTATAGGCCAGTCCTCACAGTTTAAAAATGAATAAAAAGTACATGATATAAATGGATACAAAATTCTTCATGTTCTGTTTCAATATAGATCTATTGGCATCTGGCTCCTGGGCTGTGGGGGCTGGCTCCAGGTTACACAAGACACATTTTTGTTTCACTCATTCAGTGACTTCACTCACGTGAGTTTTAAAAGATGCATCTTCTATTGGCATCATTTCTAAAGCCTGGTACCACAAAGGTGAGCCAATCAGATGAGTAGATGAGTCAATCTGCAGTCCTATGACTGGTGACACAATACGGTCAGACTTAATGACTGGTGACACATGAAATGACATAGAAAATGTGTGAAGAGTTGGTTGCTGCTTATAAAATATTGTCTGACTACCCAAAAGCCTATCTTTGGCTCCAGTACCCTAGTGCATGCACCCAATCACAGAGTAACATGCACACACTACCAGTTACACAACAGTACAAAAACAGTCAGGCATTGAGCACAGGACTCAAGTGGTGGGAGAGGAAAGACAAGATGCTCACGCATTACTTGAGGCTATCAATCCATCAGCTCATATGGACCAGGCTACCAATCCATCATATGGACCAGGCTACCAATCCATCATATGGACCAGGCTACCAATCCATCATATGGACCAGGCTACCAATCCAACAGATGGACCAGGCTACCAATCCATCAGATGGACCAGGCTACCAATCCATCAGCTGAGATGGAACAGGCTACCAATCCATCAACTCAGATGGACCAGGCTACCAATCCATCAGATGGACCAGGCTACCAATCCATCAGATGGACCAGGCTACCAATCCATCAACTCAGATGGACCAGGCTACCAATCCATCAGATGGACCAGGCTACCAATCCATCAGATGGACCAGGCTACCAATCCATCAGATGGACCAGGCTACCAATCCATCAGATGGACCAGGCTACCAATCCATCAGATGGACCAGGCTACCAATCCATCAGATGGACCAGGCTACCAATCCATCAACTCAGATGGATTAGGCAGATCAGATCACGTCTATGTGGAGAAAGTTTTCTGGTTGTTTACAAGTGACTGTAGAATAAATAAATAAAAACTAGTGCTGGACCCGTGAGGGGTGCAGGCCACCAGAGGGAAGGTCGTGTGTAGCACTTTCTCCCACACAATTACACCATGCATACATCGGAGCAGAGACTAAACTAATGTACAAGACTTCCAAAAAGATTTTTTCTGTGAACTTCCATCTTTCCCACTCAGTTGATGGCCTCCAGACTTTGTAGGGCCCGAGGGATCCTAGAAAAACAAATTTTATAGCCGTTAATCAATACCAAAAGTATCTCAGAACACAAAGCTATTATCCAACATCGTAAGTACAAATACAATATAAAGGACAAGGCTATACAACAATATAAAGGACAAAAGGTTAGGGGTTAGGTGTTAATAGAGCAAGTTGAGATGCTTATCATCACCACAATGTAGGACACTCATTTGAAATTAATAGTCGGGGATCAAATGAAATACAAGAAAATCCCAAAAGGAGCAAATTCCCATTTTTTTTCCTGGCTCTGTGGGAACCCTACACAACAGTGTAGAAAAATAAAATTTGTACCTCCAAAATTTAGAGACAAAAGTTTGTACCTCCAAAATTTAGAGACAAAAGTTTGTACCACCAAAATCTAGAGACAAAAGTTTGTACCTCCAAAATTTAGAGACAAAAGTTTGTACCACCAAAATCTAGAGACAAAAGTTTGTACCACCAAAACCTAGAGACAAAAATTTGTACCACCAAAATCTAGAGACAAAAATTTGTACCACCAAAATTTAGAGACAAAAATTTGTACCACCAAAATTTAGAGACAAAAATTTGTACCTCCAAAATTTAGAGACAAAAATTTGTACCTCCAAAATTTAGAGACAAAAGTTTGTACCTCTAAAATTTAGAGACAAAAATTTGTACCTCCAAAATTTAGAGACAAAAATTTGTACCACCAAAATCTAGAGACAAAAATTTGTACCACCAAAATCTAGAGACAAAAATTTGTACCACCAAAATTTAGAGACAAAAATTTGTACCACCAAAATTTAGAGACAAAAATTTGTACCTCCAAAATTTAGAGACAAAAGTTTGTACCTCTAAAATTTAGAGACAAAAATTTGTACCACCAAAATTTAGAGACAAAAGTTTGTACCAGCAAAATCTAGAGACAAAAATTTGTACCACCAAAATCTAGAGACAAAAATTTGTACCACCAAAATTTAGAGACAAAAATTTGTACCAGCAAAACTAGAGACAAAAATTTGTACCACCAAAATTCAGGAGACCAAAGTTTAGACATTTCTTACAATTTTGCGATCCATCTTGGACTTGATATCCCGTGCCAGTGTAAAGAAAGCTTCCTCCACATTAATGCTGGCTTTAGCACTTGTCTCCATAAACTTGATGCCATGTTCAATGGCCAGCTGGCTTGTTGGAAGGGGGAAGGAAAGACAGACACAAAAAGTTTAAAGTTGTCATTTCTACAGTGATAAATATTTGATAATGGCTTACTAATATACAGGGATAAAATAAAATCAACTATAACCACACAGACAGAAATCTCTGGAACAGGTGAGGCTCAAGTCTGGTACAGGTGAGACAGTGATGTCTGGTACAGGTGAGACAGTGATGTCTGGTACAGGTGAGACAGTGATGTCTGGTACAGGTGAGACAGTGATGTCTGGTACAGGTGAGACAGTGATGTCTGGTACAGGTGAGACAGTGATGTCTGGTACAGGTGAGACAGTGATGTCTGGTACAGGTGAGACAGTGATGTCTGGTACAGGTGAGACATGTCTGGTACAGGTGAGACAGTGATGTCTGGTACAGGTGAGACAGTGATGTCTGGTACAGGTGAGACAGTGATGTCTGGTACAGGTGAGACAGTGATGTCTGGTACAGGTGAGACATGTCTGGTACAGGTGAGACAGTGATGTCTGGTACAGGTGAGACAGTGATGTCTGGTACAGGTGAGACAGTGATGTCTGGTACAGGTGAGACAGTGATGTCTGGTACAGGTGAGACAGTGATGTGATGTCTGGTACAGGTGAGACAGTGATGTCTGGTACAGGTGAGACAGTGATGTCTGGTACAGGTGAGACATGTCTGGTACAGGTGAGACAGTGATGTCTGGTACAGGTGAGACAGTGATGTCTGGTACAGGTGAGACAGTGATGTCTGGTACAGGTGAGACAGTGATGACTGGTACAGGTGAGACAGTGATGTCTGGTACAGGTGAGACAGTGATGTGATGTTTGGTACAGGTGAGACAGTGATGTGATGTTTGGTACAGGTGAGACAGTGATGTGATGTCTGGTACAGGTGAGACAGTGATGTCTGGTACAGGTGAGACAGTGATGTCTGGTACAGGTGAGACAGTGATGTCTGGTACAGGTGAGACAGTGATGTCTGGTACAGGTGAGACAGTGATGTGATGTCTGGTACAGGTGAGACAGTGATGTCTGGTACAGGTGAGACAGTGATGTCTGGTACAGGTGAGACATGTCTGGTACAGGTGAGACAGTGATGTCTGGTACAGGTGAGACAGTGATGTCTGGTACAGGTGAGACAGTGATGTCTGGTACAGGTGAGACAGTGATGACTGGTACAGGTGAGACAGTGATGTCTGGTACAGGTGAGACAGTGATGTCTGGTACAGGTGAGACTAAAGTCTGGTACAGGTGAGACAGTGATGTCTGGTACAGGTGAGACAGTGATGTCTGGTACAGGTGAGACAGTGATGTCTGGTACAGGTGAGACAGTGATGTCTGGTACAGGTGAGACATGTCTGGTACAGGTGAGACAGTGATGTCTGGTACAGGTGAGACAGTGATGTCTGGTACAGGTGAGACAGTGATGTCTGGTACAGGTGAGACAGTGATGTCTGGTACAGGTGAGACATGTCTGGTACAGGTGAGACAGTGATGTCTGGTACAGGTGAGACAGTGATGTCTGGTACAGGTGAGACAGTGATGTCTGGTACAGGTGAGACAGTGATGTCTGGTACAGGTGAGACAGTGATGTGATGTCTGGTACAGGTGAGACAGTGATGTCTGGTACAGGTGAGACAGTGATGTCTGGTACAGGTGAGACATGTCTGGTACAGGTGAGACAGTGATGTCTGGTACAGGTGAGACAGTGATGTCTGGTACAGGTGAGACAGTGATGTCTGGTACAGGTGAGACAGTGATGACTGGTACAGGTGAGACAGTGATGTCTGGTACAGGTGAGACAGTGATGTCTGGTACAGGTGAGACAGTGATGTCTGGTACAGGTGAGACAGTGATGTCTGGTACAGGTGAGACAGTGATGTTTGGTACAGGTGAGACTAAAGTCTGGTACAGGTGAGACAGTGATGTTTGGTACAGGGGAGACAGTGATGTCTGGTACAGGTGAGACAGTGATGTCTGGTACAGGTGAGACAGTGATGTGATGTCTGATACAGGTGAGACAGTGATGTGATGTCTGGTACAGGTGAGACAGTGATGTGATGTCTGGTACAGGTGAGACAGTGATGTGATGTCTGGTACAGGTGAGACAGTGATGTCTGATACAGGTGAGACAGTGATGTGATGTTTGGTACAGGTGAGACAGTGATGTGATGTTTGGTACAGGTGAGACAGTGATGTGATGTTTGGTACAGGTGAGACAGTGATGTTTGGTACAGGGGAGACAGTGATTTCTGGTACAGGTGAGACAGTGATGTGATGTTTGGTACAGGTGAGACAGTGATGTTTGGTACAGGTGAGACAGTGATTTCTGGTACAGGTGAGACAGTGATGTGATGTCTGATACAGGTGAGACAGTGATGTGATGTTTGGTACAGGTGAGACAGTGATGTTTGGTACAGGGGAGACAGTGATTTCTGGTACAGGTGAGACAGTGATGTCTGGTACAGGTGAGACAGTGATGTCTGGTACAGGTGAGACAGTGATGTCTGGTACAGGTGAGACAGTGATGTGATGTTTGGTACAGGTGAGACAGTGATGTGATGTTTGGTACAGGTGAGACAGTGATGTCTGGTACAGGTGAGACAGTGATTTCTGGTACAGGTGAGACAGTGATGTGATGTCTGATACAGGTGAGACAGTGATGTGATGTTTGGTACAGGTGAGACAGTGATGTCTGGTACAGGTGAGACAGTGATGTCTGGTACAGGTGAGACAGTGATGTCTGGTACAGGGGAGACAGTGATGTCTGGTACAGGTGAGACAGTGATGTGATGTTTGGTACAGGTGAGACAGTGATGTTTGGTACAGGTGAGACAGTGATGTCTGGTACAGGTGAGACAGTGATGTCTGGTACAGGGGAGACAGTGATGTCTGGTACAGGTGAGACAGTGATGTGATGTTTGGTACAGGTGAGACAGTGATGTCTGGTACAGGTGAGACAGTGATGTCTGGTACAGGTGAGACAGTGATTTCTGGTACAGGTGAGACAGTGATGTGATGTTTGGTACAGGTGAGACAGTGATGTCTGGTACAGGTGAGACAGTGATGTTTGGTACAGGTGAGACAGTGATGTCTGGTACAGGTGAGACAGTGATGTTTGGTACAGGGGAGACAGTGATGTCTGGTACAGGTGAGACAGTGATGTCTGGTACAGGTGAGACAGTGATTTCTGGTACAGGTGAGACAGTGATGTCTGGTACAGGTGAGACAGTGATGTTTGGTACAGGGGAGACAGTGATGTGATGTCTGGTACAGGTGAGACAGTGATGTCTGGTACAGGTGAGACAGTGATGTCTGGTACAGATGAGACAGTGATGTCTGGTACAGGTGAGACAGTGATGTCTGGTACAGGTGAGACAGTGATGTCTGGTTCAGGTGAGACTAAAGTCTGGTACAGGTGAGACAGTGATGTCTGGTACAGGTGAGACAGTGATGTCTGGTAGAGGTGAGACAGTGATGTTTGGTACAGTTTAGACAGTGATGTTTGGTACAGGTGAGACAGTGATGTCTGGTACAGGTGAGACAGTGATGTGATGTCTGGTACAGGTGAGACAGTGATGTCTGGTACAGGTGAGACAGTGATGTCTGGTACAGGTGAGACAGTGATGTCTGGTACAGGTGAGACAGTGATGTCTGGTTCAGGTGAGACTAAAGTCTGGTACAGGTGAGACAGTGATGTCTGGTACAGGTGAGACAGTGATGTCTGGTAGAGGTGAGACAGTGATGTTTGGTACAGGTGAGACAGTGATGTGATGTCTGGTACAGGTGAGACAGTGATGTCTGGTTCAGGTGAGACAGTGATGTGATGTCTGGTTCAGGTGAGACAGTGATGTGATGTCTGGTACAGGTGAGACAGTGATGTCTGGTACAGGTGAGACAGTGATTTCTGGTACAGGTGAGACAGTGATGTCTGGTACAGGTGAGACAGTGATGTCTGGTACAAGTGAGACAGTGATTTCTGGTACAGGTGAGACAGTGATGTGATGTCTGGTACAGGTGAGACAGTGATGTCTGGTACAGGTGAAACAGTGATGTCTTGTACAGATGAGACAGTGATGTGATGTCTGGTACAGGTGAGACAGTGATTTCTGGTACAGGTGAGACAGTGATGTCTGGTACAGGTGAGATAGTGATGTGATGTCTGGTAGAAGTTATGATGTACATGAAATGTTGAGAATCTCACCTGCTCCCCCCTGTCTTTAGAAACCTGCCGTCTATCTTGTAGATCACACTTATTCCCCAGCATCATTTTCTCCACATCTTTAGAAGCATGCTGTGGACAATTTTTAACATTGTAGAGAAAAGACCTATTGTTATGTCCCATGGCATTATAAATTATAAACACAACATTAGCATATTCTATAGACTAAACATCTTTGACAAATGGAATTGTACAAAAATGAACAGATCACTTTTAAGAAGGACAAAGAAATTAGGCAGTAGTTAGTGTCTTCATTATCAAGTACTGATGACGTCAATGTTATTGTGTATTTTTTCGCACTGGATTTTTATTTTAGTTTACTCAAGAATATTTCGTTTTGTTTTGAAAAATTCCTATATGTCCCATGTGATGCGACGATGGTTCACAGTGCATATTTTAAATTTCCTTGGGTTTTCTCTACAGCATTTCATGTAGAATAGCAAAACTATAAAAGTGATTTGAGCAATAGCAGCATTGAAAGTTGTTACTGGTCATTCATAGATCATCAAATATATAGGGAGAAAGTGCAATAAGCATTTGCATTTATGTCAGAAACTGAATTGATATATATATATATCATATGCATTGCTGTAGTTTAAAAGGTGGCGCCCAACACTTGGGATGCTGTAGTTTAAAAGGTGGCGCCCAACACCTGGGATGCTGTAGTTTAAAAGGTGGCGCCCAACACCTGGGATGCTGTAGTTTAAAAGGTGGCGCCCAACACCTGGGATGCTGTAGTTTAAAAGGTGGCGCCCAACACCTGGGATGCTGTAGTTTAAAAGGTGGCGCCCAACACCTGGGATGCTGTAGTTTAAAAGGTGGGGCCCAACACCTGGGATGCTGTAGTTTAAAAGGTGGCGCCCAACACCTGGGATGCTGTAGTTTAAAAGGTGGGGCCCAACACCTGGGATGCTGTAGTTTAAAAGGTGGCGCCCAACACCTGGGATGCTGTAGTTTAAAAGGTGGGGCCCAACACCTGGGATGCTGTAGTTTAAAAGGTGGCGCCCAACACCTGGGATGCTGTAGTTTAAAAGGTGGCGCCCAACACCTGGGATGCTGTAGTTTAAAAGGTGGCGCCCAACACCTGGGATGCTGTAGTTTAAAAGGTGGCGCCCAACACCTGGGATGCCGTCAGGGGATGGTCTGCCTCACTATCAAGGAGGGGGATTAAGTTACACTCAAGATGTAAGTTATTGTACAAGTTTGTCCATGTAAGTTAGTGTACAAGTTTGTCCATGTAAGTTAGTGTACAAGTTTGTCCATGTAAGTTAGTGTACAAGTTTGTCCATGTAAGTTATTGTACAAGTTTGTCCATGTAAGTTAGTGTACAAGTTTGTCCATGTAAGTTATTGTACAAGTTTGTCCATGTAAGCTATTGTACAAGTTTGTCCATGTAAGCTATTGGACAAGTTTGTCCATGTAAGTTATTGTACACATTTGTCCATGTAAGCTATTATACAAGTTTGTCCATGTAAGCTATTGGACAAGTTTGTCCATGTAAGCTATTGTACAAGTTTGTCCATGTAAGCTATTGTACAAGTTTGTCCATGTAAGTTATTATTTATGTCTCTAAAACTTTGGATCTACAAGTAAAACTTCTCACCTCTTCAATGTTCCTAATCCATGTTCTAATGTTGTCGAAGCTTTTTTCATTTGTGATGTCATACACCAGCATGATGCCCTAAAATGAGGTGATCAACATTCCGTGAGTGTCATGGCAACAAGATCATTTGATTACATGGCAACAAGATCATTTGATTACATGGCAACAAGATCATTTGATTACATGGCAACAAGATTTACAACTCAGGCCCTGGACTACATGGCTTTAAATGATATCATGAGAAGAGAGAAGAAGTGTTGAGAGTGAGCAGCCAGTAGAGCAGTGGAAAAACTTACCATAGCACCTCTGTAGTATGCTGTTGTTATAGTTCAGTGGAAAAACTTACCATAGCACCTCTGTAGTATACTGTTGTTATTGTTCAGTGGAAAAACTTACCATAGCACCTCTGTAGTATGCTGTTGTTATAGTTCAGTGGAAAAACTTACCATAGCACCTCTGTAGTATGCTGTTGTTATAGTTCAGTGGAAAAACTTACCATAGCACCTCTGTAGTATGCTGTTGTTATAGTTCAGTGGAAAAACTTACCATAGCACCTCTGTAGTATGCTGTTGTTATAGTTCAGTGGAAAAACTTACCATAGCACCTCTGTAGTATGCTGTTGTTATTGTTCAGTGGAAAAACTTACCATAGCACCTCTGTAGTATACTGTTGTTATTGTTCAGTGGAAAAACTTACCATAGCACCTCTGTAGTATACTGTTGTTATTGTTCAGTGGAAAAACTTACCATAGCACCTCTGTAGTATGCTGTTGTTATAGTTCAGTGGAAAAACTTACCATAGCACCTCTGTAGTATACTGTTGTTATTGTTCAGTGGAAAAACTTACCATAGCACCTCTGTAGTATGCTGTTGTTATAGTTCAGTGGAAAAACTTACCATAGCACCTCTGTAGTATGCTGTTGTTATTGTTCAGTGGAAAAACTTACCATAGCACCTCTGTAGTATACTGTTGTTATTGTTCAGTGGAAAAACTTACCATAGCACCTCTGTAGTATACTGTTGTTATTGTTCAGTGGAAAAACTTACCATAGCACCTCTGTAGTATGCTGTTGTTATAGTTCAGTGGAAAAACTTACCATAGCACCTCTGTAGTATGCTGTTGTTATTGTTCAGTGGAAAAACTTACCATAGCACCTCTGTAGTATGCTGTTGTTATTGTTCAGTGGAAAAACTTACCATAGCACCTCTGTAGTATGCTGTTGTTATTGTTCAGTGGAAAAACTTACCATAGCACCTCTGTAGTATGCTGTTGTTATTGTTCAGTGGAAAAACTTACCATAGCACCTCTGTAGTATACTGTTGTTATAGTTCAGTGGAAAAACTTACCATAGCACCTCTGTAGTATGCTGTTGTTATTGTTCGAAACCTTTCCTGGCCTGCTGTGTCCCTAAAGAAAAAATTTTTTGGTCTCATCAAACCATTAGAGTCCTTTGTCATTACCACAGTTCATCAAACCATTAGAGTCCTTTGTCATTACCACAGTTCATCAAACCATTAGAGTACTTTGTCATTACCATGGCACAGTTCATCAAACCATTAGAGTCCTTTGTCATTACCACAGTTCATCAAACCATTAGAGTACTTTGTCATTACCACAGTTCATCAAACCATTAGAGTACTTTGTCATTACCATGGCACAGCTCATCAAACCATTAGAGTCCTTTGTCATTACCATGGCACAGTTCATCAAACCATTAGAGTCCTTTGTCATTACCACAGTTCATCAAACCATTAGAGTCCTTTGTCATTACCATGGCACAGTTCATCAAACCATTAGAACCCTTTGTCATTACCACAGTTCATCAAACCATTAGAGTACTTTGTCATTACCATGGCACAGTTCATCAAACCATTAGAGTACTTTGTCATTACCACAGTTCATCAAACCATTAGAGTACTTTGTCATTACCATGGCACAGTTCATCAAACCATTAGAGTACTTTGTCATTACCACAGTTCATCAAACCATTAGAGTACTTTGTCATTACCACAGTTCATCAAACCATTAGAGTACTTTGTCATTACCACAGTTCATCAAACCATTAGAACCCTTTGTCATTACCACAGTTCATCAAACCATTAGAGTATTTTGTCATTACCACAGTTCATCAAACCATTAGAGTCCTTTGTCATTACCACGGCTCAGTTCATCAAACCATTAGAGTCCTTTGTCATTACCACGGCTAAGTTCATCAAACCATTAGAGTCCTTTGTCATTACCACGGCACAGCTCATCAAACCATTAGAGTCCTTTGTCATTACCACGGCACAGTTCATCAAACCATTAGAGTACTTTGTCATTACCACAGTTCATCAAACCATTAGAGTCCTTTGTCATTACCACGGCTCAGTTCATCAAACCATTAGAGTCCTTTGTCATTACCACAGTTCATCAAACCATTAGAGTTCTTTGTCATTACCACGGTTCATCAAACCATTAGAACCCTTTGTCATTACCACAGTTCATCAAACCATTAGAGTCCTTTGTCATTACCACAGTTCATCAAACCATTAGAGTCCTTTGTCATTACCATGGCACAGTTCATCAAACCATTAGAGTACTTTGTCATTACCACGGCTCAGTTCATCAAACCATTAGAGTCCTTTGTCATTACCACAGTTCATCAAACCATTAGAGTTCTTTGTCATTACCACGGTTCATCAAACCATTAGAACCCTTTGTCATTACCACAGTTCATCAAACCATTAGAGTCCTTTGTCATTACCACGGCTAAGTTCATCAAACCATTAGAGTACTTTGTCATTACCACAGTTCATCAAACCATTAGAGTCCTTTGTCATTACCATGGCACAGTTCATCAAACCATTAGAACCCTTTGTCATTACCACGGCTAAGTTCATCAAACCATTAGAGTCCTTTGTCATTACCACGGCACAGTTCATCAAACCATTAGAGTCCTTTGTCATTACCACAGTTCATCAAATCATTAGAGTCCTTTGTCATTACCATGGCACAGTTCATCAAACCATTAGAGTACTTTGTCATTACCACAGTTCATCAAACCATTAGAGTACTTTGTCATTACCACAGTTCATCAAACCATTAGAGTACTTTGTCATTACCACAGTTCATCAAACCATTAGAACCCTTTGTCATTACCACAGTTCATCAAACCATTAGAGTACTTTGTCATTACCATGGCACAGTTCATCAAACCATTAGAGTACTTTGTCATTACCACAGTTCATCAAACCATTAGAGTACTTTGTCATTACCACAGTTCATCAAACCATTAGAGTACTTTGTCATTACCACAGTTCATCAAACCATTAGAACCCTTTGTCATTACCACAGTTCATCAAACCATTAGAGTCCTTTGTCATTACCATGGCACAGTTCATCAAACCATTAGAGTACTTTGTCATTACCACAGTTCATCAAACCATTAGAGTACTTTGTCATTACCACAGTTCATCAAACCATTAGAGTACTTTGTCATTACCACAGTTCATCAAACCATTAGAGTCCTTTGTCATTACCACGGCTCAGTTCATCAAACCATTAGAGTCCTTTGTCATTACCACGGCTAAGTTCATCAAACCATTAGAGTCCTTTGTCATTACCATGGCACAGCTCATCAAACCATTAGAGTCCTTTGTCATTACCACGGCACAGTTCATCAAACCATTAGAGTACTTTGTCATTACCATGGTACAGTTCATCAAACCATTAGAGTCCTTTGTCATTACCACGGCTCAGTTCATCAAACCATTAGAGTCCTTTGTCATTACCACAGTTCATCAAACCATTAGAGTTCTTTGTCATTACCACGGTTCATCAAACCATTAGAACCCTTTGTCATTACCACAGTTCATCAAACCATTAGAGTCCTTTGTCATTACCACAGTTCATCAAACCATTAGAGTCCTTTGTCATTACCACGGCTAAGTTCATCAAACCATTAGAGTACTTTGTCATTACCATGGCACAGTTCATCAAACCATTAGAGTACTTTGTCATTACCACAGTTCATCAAACCATTAGAGTCCTTTGTCATTACCACAGTTCATCAAACCATTAGAGTCCTTTGTCATTACCACGGCTAAGTTCATCAAACCATTAGAGTACTTTGTCATTACCACAGTTCATCAAATCATTAGAGTCCTTTGTCATTACCATGGCACAGTTCATCAAACCATTAGAACCCTTTGTCATTACCACGGCTAAGTTCATCAAACCATTAGAGTCCTTTGTCATTACCACGGCACAGTTCATCAAACCATTAGAGTCCTTTGTCATTACCACAGTTCATCAAACCATTAGAGTCCTTTGTCATTACCACAGTTCATCAAACCATTAGAGTACTTTGTCATTACCACAGTTCATCAAACCATTAGAGTCCTTTGTCATTACCACAGTTCATCAAACCATTAGAGTACTTTGTCATTACCACAGTTCATCAAACCATTAGAGTCCTTTGTCATTACCACAGTTCATCAAACCATTAGAGTCCTTTGTCACTACCATGGCACAGTTCATCAAACCATTAGAGTCCTTTGTCATTACCATGGCACAGTTCATCAAACCATTAGAGTCCTTTGTCATTACCATGGCACAGTTCATCAAACCATTAGAGTCCTTTGTCATTACCACAGTTCATCAAACCATTAGAGTCCTTTGTCATTACCACGGCACAGTTCATCAAACCATTAGAGTACTTTGTCATTACCATGGCACAGTTCATCAAACCATTAGAGTCCTTTGTCATTACCACAGTTCATCAAACCATTAGAGTCCTTTGTCATTACCATGGCACAGTTCATCAAACCATTAGAGTCCTTTGTCATTACCACAGTTCATCAAACCATTAGAGTCCTTTGTCATTACCATGGCACAGTTCATCAAACCATTAGAGTCCTTTGTCATTACCACAGCTCAGTTCAGTAGTACCTGGTAAGTTCTTCCAAAACTAAAGCTTGTAATGTCAGTATTACCTGACAGGAAATTATGTCCTGCTCCCAAAAACAAATTTTACCTACCATATTTGCAGCTTAATCTTCTTCCCATCCAACTCAATTGTTCGTATTTTAAAGTCAATACCTGCAACAACAAAACTTTTAGCATCATCATTCACTTAATATCCACAAACACAACAGCCTATAGAATAACCAGCTCCTCTAGATGTGCTTATCTGAATATTCACTAACTCAATAGTCATTACAAATAAACTATGGTCTATATACATAAATATAAACCTGTAGCAAAGCCTGTTGGACGACAAGTTCAATCTGAAAATAGTGAAATATTGCTTTCCTTTCCCAGTAACTCTTCTGTGTCCTTTGTTCCCCTTTTACTAACTCTAAGGATATTGGTCATTTATAGAACCTTATTTCCACACTCCTTGAATTGCAAGATTCAGATGTCAAATCACACCATTTAATGTGTACACTACAAGAATGTGTAAAGCTATTAGACACACACCATTGTAATGTGTACACTACAAGAATGTGTATAGCAGACACACACCATTGTAATGTGTACACTACAAGAATGTATATAGCTACACTACACACACCATTGTAATGTGTACACTACAAGAATGAATATAGCTACACTACACACACCATTGTAATGTGTACACTACAAGAATGTGTAGAGCTACACCACACACACACTATTTTAATGTGTACACTACAAGAAGCTACTACACACCATTTCAAGAGACACAATGATGTAGCATACAATGTAGCATACAATTTTAAAAAATAAGGAAGTAAATCATCAAGCACATAGGGAAGTTCCTAGTGCCTGTTTCATATAGCTATATAAAATATAAGTTTCCATCCAAAGTAAGATAAGACTTACACTAGGACACTATGTTTGTAACTGTCCAATCAAATCAACCCAACTGTGCAGTCAGCAATAAAATATTAGCTACTCTTTGTCTTATCTCAATCTTTACATTAAACAATTCTCTTCATACTACTAAAGCTTATGGAACCTGACTATTTATATATTCATTTATTTGTTGTCAGAAAATCTTCATTCAATATGTGTAAAACATTAAAATCCATACTTATTATGTAAAGAATCTTGTCTTATTACAATGTTAAGTTTGCACCAAATTTTAATTAAAGACTAGCTGTACCAGCCAGGCCTGGCATTTGAGATAAACTTATCTGAAAAAGGCAGTGACTTATATGTGCTCTTTAGGTCAAATTCTGAGTGATTTTAGCAGTGATTTTAGCAGTGATTTCCAATTTCTCAAAGAAGATCTCTTCTACCTGACAGATTTCTGTAAAACTTTTCACGTAGGTGTAGACATGATATCAAAGCATTGTGACATAAAAACAGATGTTTGATTAACTTTTAAAAAAGAACGTTTCCTTTGATTTGGTAGGCAGTTCTTTTTTCTACACAATTCTATTCTATTGAAAAAAGTTATATTCAGTTGGGGGAGATTGCTATTGCTTTATTTATTAGTTATTTTATTTACAGATCATGGTGGGCAATAGAGAGAACATTTTTTGTATGCCAAAAGGAAGTTAAAAAGCCAAAAAAGCATTAACTACAAAGATTTTAAATGAATCCTTTACTTTAAGCACTAAATAGGCTCAGACATTTGATATGGTGCTTTAACTAATGGGTTTGTTTATTTATATTATTTTCATATTGGTTTAAGTGGGGTAATATTTAATGAGTTGAATTTAACACTAAGCCACCCGCCACGCTCACCCCCCGAACTGCACTGTGGAAATAATTAATGAAAAGAAGAAACAGACCTCCTTTGACAGTTAATTAAAATTAGCCGACCCGCGGCATATCATACGCCGCTATTTTGTTGTTTTATTTTCTACTTTTCAGTAATTCATAATTTGTGAATTTGACAGTACCAATGCAGCCACTGAAGAAAGTATTTGCTTTAAAACACCATCAGTAGGTTGTTAAGGACGATACTACCCCCACTCTCCTTTCCCCCAACCCCTACCCTACAGTGAAAGCAGCCTCCTCTTAGTTACCTCCCTTAAGTTTAAAATCGTTTCAAACTAAATTATCTGCCCCTAATAGCCGTCACTAAACCCGGCTCTACAATTTTAAACATTTAGCAGGAACCACAGCTCACAAGACCATGTAGGGATGGGGTGGTAGGGAGCGCATTACAGCTTGGTGTTTTCTAGCGTCTCCAAGAAGAGAATTATATATATAGATGAAAGTGAGGTGAAGAGAAAAGCAGTGGCAAAAAATTAATTAAGTGAAAGAAACAAAAAAAGTGTTCAGTAGCATTTACGTTAAATTTATGTTCAGTGGTCTAGTTAGGTTGCATAAAATTTACGGATAATTAATTGTGCCTCGTTATTTACCTGTGATTCCACAGGTATGTCTCGCATTTTCTTCTCGCAGTTTACCCCCTCTAGTTAAGTATAAATTAGTCATTGAGTAGTCATTGACATCTAGATCTACTCTAATAAATTATTTAATAGATCTAACTAAAGTAATGATTCATTACTTTAGTAAACTTTAGTTAGGCCTATTTATTAGGGAGGCTCACTAACTTAAAAGCGTCCTTGGTTGCTAACCAGAACATGGCGTAAGGATCGGACCATGACTTCCGGCGAGTTTTTCGACTTAGTTCCAGAGACCTTCTTAGAATTACTTTTAAAAATGTTTATCACGAGTAAAATGGCGGGTTTTCACGTTATAAAAACATGCTATAGGTGGCAAGGTTAAATATGCCAGAAAAGCATTTTCAGAAATTGCTTTGGGGAATGTAGGCTAAATTTAAAGTCGGTGTCATTCAAAATAATATAACTTTTTAAATATAGATCTCCCTCTCACAAAATTGATTTCCAAAGTAAAGCATTATTAGTTTTATCATTCTATGAAAAAATAAATCAAATATCTTCAACACTTTTTTTTATATGATGTGTCCATAAAATGACAACCTAATTTTTTTATTTTTTTTGACCACGTGACCGCTATTTGAATGGATACGTTTACCTGGCATGGTTTTTTATTTTGCTCTTTTGTACAATAAAAAATGTTATAAAATTAAAGAAATAAAAGAATTCAAACATCACTTCTGTCTTGTCTTTTTTAAAATTCTTTTCTGATGACATTCTCTTAAATTTTTTTCCTCTATAAATATATCCCGACGATAGACGGGCCAATTCTACTTTTAGGAACTCTCTTGTGAAAAAAAATTAGATCTATTTCACGGTCACTTAAAAAGTTAAACCTTTCAACTTTTAACCAGGTTGTCATGGATGATCCGTCATATCATAGCTGTGAGTGACAAAACATTTTAAAATTCAATAATTTAGCCTAAACTCGCTACAACCCCCAAATTAGTGCCTAGGGGATAAAGTATGGACGTTTTTTATTCAGTTGTCATGTTTAAATTGAGAATTGAGTAGATTTCACATATAGTAAGAAAAACTACTATTTATTAGAGTAGAATGTAGATCTAGATCTAGAGTAGATGTCACGGTCACTGACTAATTTATACTTAACTAGTAGGCCTAACTACTACTAGATCTAGCCCTAGTGATCTAGAATCTAGTTTAGATCTAGAAGATCTGGCTAGATCTAGAGTAAAGTTCCACGCGCGGTCACACATAGCGGAAAATTCCAAATTCCCGATTTTCATCGGGCGCTATTTTATAACCGTTTCACACAGAAACAAACCGAAAGCACTGTATTACTCCGCTGCCATTCTACTGTAATATGTATGAGTCATTTTGTATTCCTACGCATAGTATTTAAGATATTCATGTTTTAGTGACGTCCCTCCTTGCGATATTTTTTTTCCCTTTTTTTTTTGCCTGCGTACGCAAGAACCTGCTTGCCAACGAGCGTATTGTATACGTTTTGATCCAATTTTAATAATTGAAATAAATATTTTACACACTTAAACGTGTTGTTGATTGTATTATTAATTAATAGATTGCAAAAATAATAATTAAAAACATGTTAATTAAATTAATTAAAGACATTAAAAGTTGACCCAGTGATGACTCAAGGGACGCAACTATAATAATCATAACAAAGGGACGTAACAACCACTAAAAGACATAACGTAACATTTGCTTAGATATGCTTGTATGTAGAGACACAAACTAGATTTAGAAGAAGTAGATGATCGAAATAATTTAAAACAGCAGAAAAAAATAGAAAGTATACAGATTCTAGGCTTAGTTTGAAATATAGAGCATCTAGAACTAGGCTAGTCTAGCTCAAGTCGTTGGTTACGCAGCGATGTGAAACCACCGTAATCGACACCCAAGCTGCGGCCACCCCTATTTACCTATCAGGTTGCTTTATTAGCCTTATCTATCGTATGTACAGTGTCCCGCATATATTGTAGAAGCTATTTATAGTTAACCTAGTTATAAAAAGCTTTGATTGATTGGTTTTATTCATCTCATCCGGGACCTAGTGTTTTTCATAGGGGGAACTAGAACCGCCTACGACGTCATACCTCGAAACTTTAAAATTTAAAAACTCGACTTCCAGAAGGAGAAAAACAAAAGAATTTGACCTGGATATATTTAGAAATGGACAGGTTTACAGCAGATATCGGTAGTTTCGTATAAAACATCAAAACAAATATTGTACGAAGCGATAAACAGGCGATGATCGCACCGGTGTTTTAACCGCGCGTGGAACTTTACTCTAGAGATTACTCATCATTACCGAGAGAGACAGGCTGAGGATCTAGATCTCTAGATTAGCTCTAGATTCTAGATCTAATAATTTACTTCATCCTAAACATTAGTAATAATAAATTCTATTACCTATTGTTGAAATAAATGTTGAATTGAAAGCATCTTCTGAAAATCTGAACAAAATACATGTTTTACCGACTGCCGAGTCACCTATTAATAGTAGCTTAAACAAGTAATCATAAGTTTTCGCCATTTTGGCAAGGCAGCGGAAACACCCTCATTTACATACGAAGAGCTGGAATAAGGTCACTTCCGGGCTCAACAAGTGGTTGTTGGTAAATGTTGGTAATGCACTAAAAAGAAAGAAAATAAATTATAAACTACTATTTAAATAACTATAAAGAAAAGCGTGGGTCACTTTAGTATCTATTGGATACCTTTACTAATGTTTAGGAAGAGACCCACGCTTTTCTTTATAGTTATTTAAATAGTAGTGTATAATTTATTTTCTACTTTTTTGTGCATTAGTACTTAAAAGCTTGTTATTAAAACGCTTTTTTTATGAATTTTTTTTTCAGTACTTTACATTTACATGTTTTATTTACAATAGAGTTACATGACTAAAAACATTGCGCGCCTACTGAACGTGATGGCGCAGCCATTGAACGTGATGGCGCAGCTATTGAACGTGATGACACGTGTGTTGTGGTTGGATAGACATGCCTACTAATTCGGTCCAAATTTTAATTAATTCATAAAAAATTAATTAGGCATCCAATTAAGTTAAATTTAATTTTAGATTGCATTGTCTTCATGTCTTGACCCACGTGCCAACTGTGAATGGTATCTGTCAAGTAGAAGTGTCCGAATTTTCACTCCTGCGTTTAGATCTAGACTGACGACAGACAGATTGTCGACAGACTGTCGACAGAGGAAGTGAGTTAAATAAAAGCTTGTAAAAACGTTTTAATAACAAGCTTTTATGTAATGATGCACTAAAAGTAGAAAATAAATTATACACTACTATTTAAATAACTAGAAAGAAAAGCGTGGGTCACTTAAGTACTTTAGTACCTAAAAAGATACCTTTACTAATATTTGAGAAGAGACTCCACGAAGGTAAACATAGCGTGAACCACAGCTCACTAAGACCATTTAGGGGTGGGGATGGTAGGGAGCTCGTTTACAGCTTGTTTTCTAGCGTCTCCCAGAAGAGATTATATATATAGATAGATTAGTTTTACGACCTATTTGATTGCTAATCCTTTAAAAAAGCATGTTTTTCATCCTTGTCTACAATATGTTTGAAGGAAGTAGGTTTTAAAAAAAAACGTTCTCTATCATTGCATGGTACAATTTTGTCAACTAAAATTGTTATACTTAACTGCATGGACAATTTAATTGGCGGAGCTAATGAAAACGTGTCTATTCTTGTATAACAATTAACATCACACAATAGACAAAGGTCTGACCCATCACGATTCGTCACAATGCAATATACTACACGCTACAGTCGACCCAGTAAATAACCAAACGACAGCCCTATATTAAGTTATATTTTATTTTAGAAAGTTTTGTGCAAACATTTTAAAATTCATTGTAATGTTAACAAGACCACCCGTTATCCTTTGGATAACTACAGGCCAAGTGTTAGTTCATAAGTAAAGTCATGCTTTCTTTGATGCTTTCTATTTTCTTCCTCCCCACTGTCACACATCGTCACAAAAAGCCAGACACTCACATCTATAAAGACGTCACATCTCAGCCAACAAGTTTTTGTCTTTTGAAAGACATGGTGCTGACCACACTTTCCCTTCATATGCTGAAGTCATAGAAACAGGCGATCTCTACTCAGAGGCGTAGCGACCCCTCCCAGCGCCTGTGGTGAACTTACAATATGGCACCCCCATACACACACACACACATATATATATATATATATATATATATATATATATATATATATATATATATATATATATATATATATATATATATATGCTACAGTCTGGGAAAAATGTATCAATTACTACTGTGTATGATTTTCGTTCACTAAAACTTTATTCGACGCCAATTACACTCCCGTTAAAATATGTTATCCTTTTAAAAAAAGATAAGTCATGTCAGAAATAAAATAATCATCATCTGAGTTTAGATGGAAGTTCGTAGCTAATTTGTTTAGAGCTAGAATAGTGTTTTATGTTCTATCATTGGAACACCGTCTGTTTTGATATGATACATAGATACATAGATGATACATAGATGATATATAGATGGATTATAAGTTTGTTAGTATAAGGTCATACAAGTCAGTGGCGTAGCCAGGATCGTCTCAAGGGGGGGGGGGGGGTCCAATTTTTACCCGGGGACAAACTTTTGATTTGCACCCCCCTCAGACTTTTGATTTGCACCCCCCCCCCCTTAAACTTTCGATTTGCACCCCCTCATACTTTATATATATATATATATATATATATATATACACCGAGGGGACTATGGGGGGGGGGGGGTTATGAACCCCCCTGCCTACGCCACTGATACAAGTCAGTGGCGGAACGAGAAAAAAAGGGCCACCCCGCAAAAAAAATTCTGGGCCCCCTTATATATATATATATATATATATATATATATATATATATATATATATATATATATATATATATATATATATATATATATATATACAAACACAGAATATAAAAAGTCTTTATTTTTTCAATTTAAACAAATTACATGTTATGTGTGTGAGTGCATTAGTCAGTTTTGCTGTAATACTGCCTACCTTTAATACTTAGCCGCTCAAAAGAATATAAAACATGAAAGCTGTGTATGTGTAATGGTTTCTCGTGTTATGTTTATTTTTGTTTTTTTTGTATATATATTATTTGTTTTAAATATATTTCCTATTTATGCTATGTCATTCTTTAGTATGTATTTTATAAAAATAATAATCAAGAAAAGGAATTGCTTTTTCATTTGTTTAGTATAAATATATTTAAAGGAGCTTATGTGCACCCGTATTTAATTATTTAAAAAAGGGAAATAAGTCTTGGAAGTGTTTTGAACATTTGCCTATCTTTCACACTACAGCTCAGGCATATAGTTTTTTAACGCAACATGTGTTAGCTACTGTATAACATCACTACAGTAATAGATCTGTTTGTTATTTACAAAAGCTTTAACCGTCAAGTAAAAAATGCAAGAAAATTATTTTTTTTTAACTATAAAGAATTTATTATGGTCGGCTATGGGCCCCTAAATGGCGTGGGCCACCCCGCATTGCGGGGTCTGGCGGCACTGTAGTTCCGCCCCTGATACAAGTCATACACAATAGCAAATTATCAGAAACATTTTTTGTACACATTGGAATACGACATTAGTATTTCGTTTACTAGTTGATTGTATAAAGAAACAAGCTAGAGGAAACAAACTGGAATCCAACGGACACAAAAGCTCGAAGTCTTAGATTTCGCAGATGTGCACTGTCTCCTCGCACATAGTCAACAACAAATTGTACTGGTTTAAGAAGCAGTAATAACCGGTGTAATTGTAGTGACACCGCCCATGACGTTCAGATTAGAATCAGCAGCGATAAAATGCGTTTTAACATTCTAAGCCAATGTGGAATTAAAATGTAATGTCAAAAACAAATTCAATCAGGATCTACAGCTCAATGTAAAGTCTCTGAACTAGGTGGTTACAGACAGTGGAGAATTAAATAAGAATAACGAAAAGGTGGTGGTTCGGTACGATAAATCAGAAGGGCAGTAAATATCAATAAGCAAGTGCGTGAATGCGCATATGAAATTTGTGGTTAAGAACCACTGCTTCAGAGTGTAGTTTGTAGAAGGTGCAAGGTTATTTGGTCTACTTTTGGTCGTGTCTTTAGAACAATTTAGATAATTATAGTATATTACAGTTATAAATTATCAGTTAGGTTGAACAAAGTAAAAAAGCAGCAGAGTTTCTTGTGTTTGTATTATAATACTATTGCCACATATTGAGGACAAAATATGTGAAGTTATTGTATTAATAACTAGATTAAATGGTCAGTTTAGGGAGAAATACAACGGGTGCTAGGTTGATAGTGTTGTCTTTTCCCTAAATGGAAACAAATACCAATATCACTAACTCAATTTTTGATTTTCATGGGGTAGGCTCAGAGGCGTAGCGACCCTTCCCGGCGCCCGGGGACAAACTTTTCGATTTGAACCCCCCCCCCTCAAGATTTCGATTTGCACCCCCCTCAACCTTTCAATTTATTTTTCCAGTCCATTTTGGCGCCCCCTAAGGTCGGCGCCCGGGGACATATATCCCCTCGCTACGCTACTGGGTAGGCTCCAGAAAAAACTTCTTAATTAAAACGTTTTATTGATTTATTTGTGTATATCTTCGTTGATTTATTTGTGTATATCTAAGTTAGGGTACTTAAAGGAGCATATTTGCAAGCACCAGGGACTTTTTTGAAAATATGGTTGCCATGGCAACGGCGGCCATCTTGAAAAAAACAACAACCTTTTGTGGAGTTCTAAAATTTCATAAACATATATATCGGCAATATTATAATCATTGATCCTTCTTGTACTAACACTAATAGAGTCAGCTGGCTAGTTTTTGTAACAGAAAACACTCTAGAAACATTTGTTTTGCATTTTCAAAATTTGGTTTGGCAAAATTCCATTGAAATTAACAAAATTTAGTGGTATTTCACCATAAAAATCTTTGAAAATTTGAAAAAAATATTTACAAAAACTAGCCAGCTGACTCTATTATTGTTAGTTCAAGAAGGATCCATGATTATATGGGCGGTTTATATGTTACTTTACGACATTTTAGAACTCCACAAAAGGAAGTTTTTCCAAGATGGCCGCCATTGCAATCATATTTTCAAAAGAGTCCCTGGTACATGCAATGTTTTCCCTTAAGTACCCTAACTTATATCAGGGGTCTCCAGACTGAGGGCCGCATTGACTATCAAATTTCAGTTCGGGGGCCAGAGTTTCTTCAAGGCATATCTTCGGTGTTATGGAGCCCCCCCCCCCCCCCCCCCCCCGATAAAATGTAATTTATATAGAAATATATACAAATTGCAAGTGCTGCCTCCCCCTCCCCCCCCCGAGAAAAAATCTGAAAGAAACACTGTCGGGGTCCGACAACACACTCGAGGTCCAAGTTTGCTCTCAAGTTATTCTTCACGTATTCTAGATCTTTGGTTGAGCCCATGTGACTTTATTAAATTTGCCATCTTCACCACATGATTCAGTACACTGCTAATGTCCATATATTTAGCACTCAAACCTTGCTGATGAATAATAGAGTACAGGAGCATTGGTTGTAGAATATTTTTCTCATTCGCGTGTCCAACCAAGCCTTTTTTTATGCCACTAATGTACTTTTCCCCATCAACAGTCAGGTAACTGAGGCTAGTTCAGTCCAATTTATAATCAGCAAATGTTTTCTTTAAGAATATATCCTCTCCGGTAACAGTGCCATACATATTATGTAGGGAAGCCAGCTCTTGTGTTATGTTCATGTCTTCATCCACACCCCTAATGAACACAAGCAGTTGAGAGGTGAAACATATGTCCAGCGACTCATCCATTGCAATTAAAAAATCGCGAAACTTGCTTGCATTTTTCGCTATTTGAGTCACGATGTTTTCGCCAATGTCTACAACACGGTGGGCAAAGGTATGCCCCAAAGCTACATTTTCAAATTGTTTTGAATTTTCTGGGCAAAGTTCCTCAGCCACCTCTGACAGACATTTTTTCCGTGGACAAAATGATCTCCGCGGGCCGGTTGAGAGGACCTTGCGGGCCGCAGTTTGGAGACCCCTGTTATATATATATATATATACACAAATAAATAAAAAAGGCTTATAAATGAAAAAAGTTTTTTCCCGGTGCCTACCCCCTTAACTGGAAAAGAAAAACGTCATTGAAAACTGATTTGTATCCATAAACAGTATTTTAATCAGCCATTTGACTTGAAATAAAACACATGATAATGTCAATCTTAATCTTTTAATTTTTTATATATTGTAATGCTTACAATATATATATTACTTTTCCGGCACTTTTCTGTATATCTCCATTCACTATTTAAATTAGACGATCAAATTAGGCTTTTATTTCTATAATCAGTGCCGTCATTAGTATCATTTTCGGCATTAGATCCTTAATTAGATTTTTTTTTATCCAACAATCAATGACGCCATTCTTCTTTTCTTGTCTAGACGCGAAATGTAGACATTACCACAATACTTTATCTGGTAACCTTGATCTATAAATAGTTACTACACATTCATAAAAAAATATAGTCGTAGTCAAACTCCAAACCGGAAACAGAAAAATGCGCAAGAGAAAATTGCTTACTCAGAAATTTTCGCACACAGAAAAATGCACAATAGACAATGCCACCCAGATCTGTCTATGAGTATGACAATGTGCGTATGTATATTTATGCATGCCTGTTAAGTTTGTATGTGATTACGTATATATTTTCTCATTTTTGCATATTTTAATTTAAAAAAAAGCCACCGCTCTTTCTAAAATGTATAGAAACATAAATTGCTAAGATTTTCCGATCATATATTATAAACATAGATGCATTGACCAAGGGGCATCAACCATAGATGATTGGCCCACACGGTGTTTGACAACAGCGAAGGGTTGTCCACTGGCAATTTGTAAACCAGGGTTGTGTAATCACAGATGATTGGACAAAATGTGGTTCGTACGACTACGCCCACGACTGTCTGTCTGTGGGCCTACTTTGGAGACCGCGGCACAGGGCTTGTCGAGTCGTAAAGCTCATGGTTGCTAAACCGAAAAGTCTCCAGTTCGAACCCTCGGGCAGATGAGGCTCATTAGCCACTCTTCTAGGAGAGACAACTCCAAAATTAAACAACTGCTGCCTTGGTTGGACAAAGGCTATGGAAGCAAATCCAAAAAGAAAAGCAGGCTGAAATCGGAGTCATTGGCCTCAATGGCGCATAACCAGTTGACACGTAAAGCTTAATTGTGTTGAAGGCATGGTCGAGTCGGCAAAAAGCACATGGTTGATAAATTATAACAAAGTCTCGAGTTCAAACCCACTGGCAGATAAATCTCGATCCCCTTCAACACTAAACATTAAGAACGAAGAAGCAGAAGAAGAAGGAGACCGCGGCAACAGGCACAGTAGTATACATAGGCCTATATATAAATTATATATATATATATATATATATATATATATATATATATATGTTTATTTATTAATTATAGACAGATATTTAATTTTAAGGTCTTAAAAATTGTTTATAAAAAAAAACCTCAAGTAATCATTGTTCTTTTGTACTTGTTTTTAACTAATTAGATCTAATTGTTATTTCAAATACTTTTCTAAGATTGCATGTGTGGGGGCACACCATTTATATTTTTTAAATCAAATTAACAAAATAAGTTAATAAGCAAAATAATATATTTTAATAATAATGAACAAATAATTATAAAATGTGTACAAGAAATATGAAAACATGAGTTGGTCCATCAGTTGGTCCAGTATAACTTAGAGCTGTCCACTTTAAGGGAATGATGGGACACTACCAACAGACAAAGGGAATGATGGGACACTACCAACAGACAAAGGGAATGATGGGACACTACCAACAGACAAAGGGAATGATGGGACACTACCAACAGACAAAGGGAATGATGGGACACTACCAACAGACAAAGGGAATGATGGGACACTACCAACAGACAAAGGGAATGATGGGACACTACCAACAGACAAAGGGAATGATGGGACACTACCAACAGACAAAGGGAATGATGGGACACTACCAACAGACAAAGGGAATGATGGGACACTACCAACAGACAAAGGGAATGATGGGACACTACCAACAGACAAAGGGAATGATGGGACACTACCAACAGGCAAAGGGACCCTATCTGATGGATCAAATCTTATGGCAAGGATCACTTTCTTGCAAAATCACCTAAACAAGAAGGAGAAAAATCCAGAACTTTTATCAGCATTGCACTTAGAATCCACAAGTTGGAAGCTTTCACCCACAGTTTTTTTACAGTAGACAAAAAACAAGCGTTCAGATTTGGTTAGTAGTGTATCCAGATCAAACTTGAGCCTGGTAATAAATCATAGTTAAGCTAAGGGTAACCAAGGTCTATTTGTTCAGCTTAAAAGAATAAACTCATTTGGATAATTGAACTAGGGTTGAGACTAATTAATGACTAATTAAAACTGATGTAACAACTCACTCATTGATGAGAGTAAAAACTTGACCACAGTCCAAGCAGTTAAAAAATTCTTCCCTGCACTCTGTCAGAACAGTGGCACACATGAACACTTCAAAGGTGTATTCTTTCTGTGTGGTCAGTCCAGTGGTTCTCACATCACCACCTAGGGCACAACCACATATGGTTAGGGTTAGGTGTATTCTTTCTGTGTGGTCAGTCCAGTGGTTCTCACATCACCACCTAGGGCACAACCACATATGGTTAGGGTTAGGTGTATTCTTTCTGTGTGGTCAGTCCAGTGGTTCTCACATCACCACCTAGGGCACAACCACATATGGTTAGGGTTAGGTGTATTCTTTCTGTGTGGTCAGTCCAGTGGTTCTCACATCACCACCTAGGGCACAACCACATATGGTTAGGGTTAGGTGTATTCTTTCTGTGTGGTCAGTCCAGTGGTTCTCACATCACCACCTAGGGCACAACCACATATGGTTAGGGTTAGGTGTATTCTTTCTGTGTGGTCAGTCCAGTGGTTCTCACATCATCACCTAGGGCACAACCACATATGGTTAGGGTTAGGTGTATTCTTTCTGTGTGGTCAGTCCAGTGGTTCTTACATAACCACCTAGGGCACAACCACATATGGTTAGGGTTAGGTGTATTCTTTCTGTGTGGTCAGTCCAGTGGTTCTCACATCACCACCTAGGGCACAACCACATATGGTTAGGGTTAGGTGTATTCTTTCTGTGTGGTCAGTCCAGTGGTTCTCACATCACCACCTAGGGCACAACCACATATGGTCAAGGTGGATTGTACATCTGGTGCTATTTTAAGTCAAATGTCTGGTGCTAATTTAAGTCAAATGTCTGGTGCTAATTTAAGTCAAATGTCTGGTGCTAATTTAAGTTAAATGTCTGGTGCTAATTTAAGTCAAATGTCTGGTGCTAATTTAAGTCAAATGTCTGGTGCTAATTTAAGTCAAATGTCTGGTGCTATTTTAAGTCAAATGTCTGGTGCTAATTTAAGTCAAATGTCTGGTGCTAATTTAAGTCAAATGTCTGGTGCTAATTTAAGTCAAATGTCTGGTGCTAATTTAAGTTAAATGTCTGGTGCTAATTTAAGACAAATGTCTGGTGCTAATTTAAGACAAATGTCTGGTGCTAATTTAAGTCAAATGTCTGGTGCTAATTTAAGTCAAATGTCTGGTGCTATTTTAAGTCAAATGTCTGGTGCTAATTTAAGACAAATGTCTGGTGCTAATTTAAGTCAAATGTCTGGTGCTATTTTAAGTCAAATGTCTGGTGCTAATTTAAGTCAAATGTCTGGTGCTAATTTAAGTCAAATGTCTGGTGCTAATTTAAGTCGAATGTCTGGTGCTAATTTAAGTCAAATGTCTGGTGCTAATTTAAGTCAAATGCCTGGTGCTAATTTAAGTCAAATGTCTGGTGCTAATTTAAGTCAAATGTCTGGTGCTAATTTAAGTCAAATGTCTGGTGCTAATTTAAGTCAAATGTCTGGTGCTAATGGTAGACTAAAGGTCTGGTTCTAAAGTTTGTCAAATGGTGACTTATTGTCCTGATGACCTACTGAACCAGTGACCTACTTTGATATACGTTCCTGATGGCCTATTATTCTGATGACCTAAAGACCTGTAGGTGACCTAAAGACCTGTAGGTGACCTAAAGACCTGTAGGTGACCTAAAGACCTATAGGTGACCTAAAGACCTGTAGGTGACCTAAAGACCTGTAGGTGACCTAAAGACCTATAGGTGACCTAAAGACCTGTAGGTGACCTAAAGACCTGTAGGTGACCTAAAGACCTGTAGGTGACCTAAACACCTTTAGGTGACCTAAAGAAAATTAGGTGACCTAAAGACCTGTAGGTGACCTAAAGACCTGTAGGTGACCTAAAGACCTGTAGGTGACCTGTACTGACCTGTAGGTGACCTGTACTGACCTGTATTTTCAAATTCCCTCCTCTCCTCCCTCATGACGGCCCTCTCAGCCTCTAAGCTGGTCAGCTCAATGTGGTGGCTGGACAGGATCTCAAAACATCGCAGGGAATCATTGTAATTAAACTCTCGTTTAAAGCCCAGCAGGAGCCACCTGATTAAACCATGATAATACCAGATGGTAAATATGTAGAAACCCTAGTGACAACCCCCTAGACCCAATGACAACCCCCATCCCATGACAACCCCCTGTACCAGTGACAACCCCTATACCAGTGACAACCCCCATTCTCATGACAACCCCCTGTTCCTGTGACAACCCCTAGACCCAATAACAACCCCTAGACCCAATAACTACCCCTGTGACAACCCCCTGTACCTGTGACAACCCCTAGACCCAATAACAACCCCCTGTACCAGTGACAACCCCCATACCCATGACAGCCCCCCGTGACAACCCCCTGTACCTGTGACAAAAGAAAAGATTCCCCAGGTCTAGAGTCTCAAGATGTGACAACCCCCTGTACCTGTGACAACCCCCAGTGACAACCCCCGTGTGACAACCCCCTGTACCTGTGACAAAAGAAAAGATTCCCCAGGTCTAGAGTCTCAAGATGTGACAACCCCCTGTACCAGTGACAACCCCCAGTGACAACCCCCGTGTGACAAACCTCTGTACCTGTTAAAAAAGAAAAGATTCCCCAGGTCTAGAGTCTCAAGATGTGACAACCCCCTGTGACAACCCCCTGTACCTGTGACAAAAGAAAAGATTCCCCAGGTCTAGAGTCTCAAGATGTGACAACCCCCTGTGACAACCCCCTGTACCTGTGACAAAAGAAAAGATTCCCCAGGTCTAGAGTCTCAAGATGTGACAACCCCCTGTGACAACCCCCTGTACCTGTGACAAAAGAAAAGATTCCCCAGGTCTAGAGTCTCAAGATGTGACAACCCCCTGTACCTGTGACAACCCCCAGTGACAACCCCCTGTGACAACCCCCTGTACCTGTGACAAAAGAAAAGATTCCCCAGGTCTAGAGTCTCAAGATGTGACAACCCCCTGTACCTGTGACAACCCCCTGTGACAACCCCCTGTACCTGTGACAAAAGAAAAGATTCCCCAGGTCTAGAGTCTCAAGATGTGACAACCCCCTGTACCTGTGACAACCCCCAGTGACAACCCCCTGTACCTGTGACAAAAGAAAAGATTCCCCAGGTCTAGAGTCTCAAGATGTGACAACCCCCTGTACCTGTGACAAAAGAAAAGATTCCCCAGGTCTAGAGTCTCAAGATGTGACAACCCCCTGTACCTGTGACAACCCCCTGTACCTGTGACAACCCCCTGTACCTGTGACAAAAGAAAAGATTCCCCAGGTCTAGAGTCTCAAGATGTGACAACCCCCTGTACCTGTGACAACCCCCAGTGACAACCCCCTGTACCTGTGACAAAAGAAAAGATTCCCCAGGTCTAGAGTCTCAAGATGTGACAACCCCCTGTGACAACCCCCTGTACCTGTGACAAAAGAAAAGATTCCCCAGGTCTAGAGTCTCAAGATGTGACAACCCCCTGTGACAACCCCCTGTACCTGTGACAAAAGAAAAGATTCCCCAGGTCTAGAGTCTCAAGATGTGACAACCCCCTGTACCTGTGACAACCCCCAGTGACAACCCCCTGTGACAACCCCCTGTACCTGTGACAAAAGAAAAGATTCCCCAGGTCTAGAGTCTCAAGATGTGACAACCCCCTGTGACAACCCCCTGTACCTGTGACAAAAGAAAAGATTCCCCAGGTCTAGAGTCTCAAGATGTGACAACCCCCTGTACCTGTGACAACCCCCTGTACCTGTGACAAAAGAAAAGATTCCCCAGGTCTAGAGTCTCAAGATGTGACAACCCCCTGTGACAACCCCCTGTACCTGTGACAAAAGAAAAGATTCCCCAGGTCTAGAGTCTCAAGATGTGACAACCCCCTGTGACAACCCCCTGTACCTGTGACAAAAGAAAAGATTCCCCAGGTCTAGAGTCTCAAGATGTGACAACCCCCTGTGACAACCCCCTGTACCTGTGACAAAAGAAAAGATTCCCCAGGTCTAGAGTCTCAAGATGTGACAACCCCCTGTGACAACCCCCTGTACCTGTGACAAAAGAAAAGATTCCCCAGGTCTAGAGTCTCAAGATGTGACAACCCCCTGTGACAACCCCCTGTACCTGTGACAAAAGAAAAGATTCCCCAGGTCTAGAGTCTCAAGATGTGACAACCCCCTGTACCTGTGACAACCCCCAGTGACAACCCCAGTGTGACAACCCCCTGTACCTGTGACAAAAGAAAAGATTCCCCAGGTCTAGAGTCTCAAGATGTGACAACCCCCTGTACCAGTGACAACCCCCTGTGACAACCCCCTGTACCTGTGACAAAAGAAAAGATTCCCCAGGTCTAGAGTCTCAAGATGTGACAACCCCCTGTGACAACCCCCTGTACCTGTGACAAAAGAAAAGATTCCCCAGGTCTAGAGTCTCAAGATGTGACAACCCCCTGTGACAACCCCCTGTACCTGTGACAAAAGAAAAGATTCCCCAGGTCTAGAGTCTCAAGATGTGACAACCCCCGTGTGACAACCCCCTGTACCTGTGACAAAAGAAAAGATTCCCCAGGTCTAGAGTCTCAAGATGTGACAACCCCCTGTGACAACCCCCTGTACCTGTGACAAAAGAAAAGATTCCCCAGGTCTAGAGTCTCAAGATGTGACAACCCCCTGTGACAACCCCCTGTACCTGTGACAAAAGAAAAGATTCCCCAGGTCTAGAGTCTCAAGATGTGACAACCCCCGTGTGACAACCCCCTGTACCTGTGACAACCCCCTGTACCTGTGACAAAAGAAAAGATTCCCCAGGTCTAGAGTCTCAAGATGTGACAACCCCCTGTGACAACCCCCTGTACCTGTGACAAAAGAAAAGATTCCCCAGGTCTAGAGTCTCAAGATGTGACAACCCCCTGTGACAACCCCCTGTACCTGTGACAAAAGAAAAGATTCCCCAGGTCTAGAGTCTCAAGATGTGACAACCCCCGTGTGACAACCCCCTGTACCTGTGACAACCCCCTGTACCTGTGACAAAAGAAAAGATTCCCCAGGTCTAGAGTCTCAAGATGTGACAACCCCCTGTGACAACCCCCTGTACCTGTGACAAAAGAAAAGATTCCCCAGGTCTAGAGTCTCAAGATGTGACAACCCCCTGTGACAACCCCCTGTACCTGTGACAAAAGAAAAGATTCCCCAGGTCTAGAGTCTCAAGATGTGCCAGCAGCGCAGGGTCCATCTCCTGCAGCAACATGCGTACCAGATCTGTCAAATGGTGACACAACCATTACATGGTGACACATCTATCAAATGGTGACACATCTATCAAATGGTGACACAACCATCACATGGTGACACATCTATCAAATGGTGACACAACCATCACATTGGTGACACATCTATCAAATGGTGACACATCTATCAAATGGTGACACAACCATCACATGGTGACACATCTATCAAATGGTGACACAACCATCACATTGGTGACACATCTATCAAATGGTGACACATCTATCAAATGGTGACACAACCATCACATGGTGACACAACCATCAAATGGTGACACAACCATCACATGGTGACACATCTATCAAATGGTGACACAACCATCAAATGGTGACACAACCATCACATGGTGACGAATCTATCAAATGGTGACACAACCATCAAATGGTGACACAATCATCACATGGTGACACAACCATCACATGGTGACACAACCACACAACCATCAAATGGTGACACAACCATCACATGGTAAACACATTTATCAAATGGTGACACATTGATCAAATGGTGACACATTGATCAAATGGTGACACATTGATCAAATAGTGGCACAACCATCAAATAGTGACACAACCAACAAATGGTGACACAACCATCACATGGTGACACATATATAAATGGTGACACATATCAAATGTAGTACAATGATCAAATGGTGACACAACCATCACATGGTGACACAACCATCACATGGTAAACACATCTATCAAATGGATTAATGATCAAATGGTGACACATTGATCAAATTGTGACACAACCATCAAATGGTGGCACAATGATCAAATGGTGACACAATGATCAAATGATGACGGAAAGATCAAATGGTAAAAGAACATAAAATGGTTACACCACCATTAATTTGTACAAGCTTTTAGTTGACAATAAACTTTACTGTAATAGGTTAGGTTTAGTCAAAGCCACACATTTAGTAACAGGTTACAACCACACATTTAGTCACAGGTCACAGCCACACATTTAATCACAGGTCACAGCAACACATTTAGTCACAGCCACACATTTAGTCACATGTCACAGCCACACATTTAGTCACAGACACACTTTAAGTCACAGCCACACATTTAGTCACAGGTCACAGCCACACATTTAGTCACAGGTCACAGCCACACATTTAGTCACAGGTCACAGCCACACATTTAGTCACAGGCACACATTTAGTCACAGGTCACAGCCACACATTTAGTCACATGTCACAGCCACACATTTAGTCACAGGCACACATTTAGTCACAGGTCACAGCCACACATTTAGTCACAGCCACACATTTAGTCACAGGTCACAGCCACACATTTAGTCACAGCCACACATTTAGTCACAGGTCACAGCCACACATTTAGTCACAGGTCACAGCCACACATTTAGTCACAGCCACACATTTAGTCACAGGTCACAGCCACACATTTAGTCACAGCCACACATTTAGTCACAGGTCACAGCCACACATTTAGTCACAGCCACACATTTAGTCACAGGTCACAGCCACACATTTAGTCACAGGTCACACATTTAGTCACAGGTCACAGCCACACACTTAGTCACAGATTTAGTTTACCTATTTTGTAGGTCATTCCTTCCTCCATAAAATCATTCCAAATGGTCTCCATGTAGTTCTTAAAGCACCAGTAGGCTTCAACCTAAGGTCATAGGTCAATTAAGGAAGGGTTGGCTGACTTCATGTCAAAGGTTATGAAAGAAATGGCAGATGATGATATACTATGGGGGTGGTAGATGGCTGTAGAAAAGGTAGATGTAGAAAGCGTTATCAGATGTTGGTAATGATGGAATACCTCAGACCTCAGAACATAGAGGAACCTGGAGAGAATGTCATTCATGCCCTGAGCATAGCCCAGCTTGTCGTGGTAGGCAGAAAAAGTGATCAGGATCTCCCGTAGTTCTGTCAGGTGAGGGTTTCCTGACCCACTGTAACAATAGCAGACTTTAGGTACAGTGGCAGACTTTAGGGACAGTAGCAGACTTTAGGGGCAGTGGCAGACTTTAGGGACAGACTTTAAGGACAGTGGCAGACTTTAGGGACAGTGGCAGACTTTAGGGACAGACTTTAGGGACAGTGGCAGACTTTAGGGACAGTGGCAGACTTTAGGGACAGTGGCAGACTTTAGGGACAGTGGCAGACTTTAGGGACAGTGGCAGACTTTAGGGACAGACTTTAGGGACAGTGGCAGACTTTAGGGACAGTGGCAGACTTTAGGGACAGTGGCAGACTTTAGGGACAGTGGCAGACTTTAGAGACAGTGGCAGACTTTAGGGACAGTGGCAGACTTTAGGGACAGTGGCAGACTTTAGGGACAGTGGCAGACTTTAGGGACAGTGGCAGACTTTAGGGACAGTGGCAGACTTTAGGGACAGTGGCAGACTTTAGGGACAGTGGCAGACTTTAGGGACAGTGGCAGACTTTAGAGACAGTGGCAGACTTTAGGGGCAGTGGCAGACTTTAGAGACAGTGGCAGACTTTAGGGACAGTGGCAGACTTTAGGGACAGTGGCAGACTTTAGAGACAGTGGCAGACTTTAGGGACAGTGGCAGACTTTAAGGACAGTGGCAGACTTTAGAGACAGTGGCAGACTTTAGGGGCAGTGGCAGACTTTAGGGACAGTGGCAGACTTTAGGGAAACAACGCCAACATGAAACTAAACATGAAACTAAACATGAAACTAAACATGAAACTAAACTAATAGCATAAGGGGATAAAAGCACAATGTATTGATTATTGATGGATATAAGCATGTTGCTTCTTTTGTTTTCCTCAGATCACAATAAGTGCTACCATCATAGATTGATCAACAATTTCCTTCTATCAACTTAATAATGTTATTTTCTTACTTCATTTGTGAACAAACTACTTGTCAGTAAATATTTTGGTTGGTTTTATAACTTTCTTTTTAGAAACTTTTTTAGTTGCCCTTTCTACCAAGTTAACGTAAAAATTGTCTTGTAGGTGTCAGATTGAGGGGCTTATATCAGTGTCAGGACATCATGTCTGTGTCAGGACATCATGTTAGTGTCAGGACATCATGTTAGTGTCAGGACATCATGTCTGTGTCAGGACATCATGTCTGTGTCAGGACATCATGTCTGTGTCAGGACATCATGTCTGTGTCAGGACATCATGTTAGTGTCAGGACATCATGTCTGTGTCAGGACATCATGTCAGTGTCAGGACGTCATGTCTGTGTCAGGACATCATGTCTGTGTCAGGACATCATGTCAGTGTCAGGACGTCATGTCTGTGTCAGGACATCATGTCTGTGTCAGGACATCATGTTAGTGTCAGGACATCATGTCTGTGTCAGGACATCATGTTAGTGTCAGGACATCATGTCTGTGTCAGGACATCATGTCAGTGTCAGGACGTCATGTCTGTGTCAGGACATCATGTCTGTGTCAGGACATCATGTCAGTGTCAGGACGTCATGTCTGTGTCAGGACATCATGTTAGTGTCAGGTTGAGGGGCGTATGTGGTGTATGTACGTGTCAGGTTGAGGGGCGTATGTCAGGACGTCATGTCTGTGTCAGGTTGAGGAGCGTATGTCAGGACGTCATGTCTGTGTCAGGTTGAGGAGCGTATGTCAGGACGTCATGTCTGTGTCAGGTTGAGGAGCGTATGTCAGGACGTCATGTCTGTGTCAGGTTGAGGAGCGTATGTCAGGACGTCATGTCTGTGTCAGGTTGAGGGGCGTATGTCAGGACGTCATGTCTGTGTCAGGTTGAGGGGTGTATGTCAGGACGTCATGTCTGTGTCAGGTTGAGGAGCGTATGTCAGGACGTCATGTCTGTGTCAGGTTGAGGGGCGTATGTGGTGTATGTACGTGTCAGGTTGAGGAGCGTATGTCAGGACGTCATGTCTGTGTCAGGTTGAGGGGCGTATGTCAGGACGTCATGTCTGTGTCAGGTTGAGGAGCGTATGTCAGGACGTCATGTCTGTGTCAGGTTGAGGAGCGTATGTCAGGACGTCATGTCTGTGTCAGGTTGAGGGGCGTATGTCAGGACGTCATGTCTGTGTCAGGTTGAGGGGCGTATGTCAGGACGTCATGTCTGTGTCAGGTTGAGGAGCGTATGTCAGGACGTCATGTCTGTGTCAGGTTGAGGGGCGTATGTCAGGACGTCATGTCTGTGTCAGGTTGAGGGGCGTATGTCAGGACGTCATGTCTGTGTCAGGTTGAGGAGCGTATGTCAGGACGTCATGTCTGTGTCAGGTTGAGGAGCGTATGTCAGGACGTCATGTCTGTGTCAGGTTGAGGAGCGTATGTCAGGACGTCATGTCTGTGTCAGGTTGAGGAGCGTATGTCAGGACGTCATGTCTGTGTCAGGTTGAGGAGCGTATGTCAGGACGTCATGTCTGTGTCAGGTTGAGGAGCGTATGTCAGGACGTCATGTCTGTGTCAGGTTGAGGAGCGTATGTCAGGACGTCATGTCTGTGTCAGGTTGAGGAGCGTATGTCAGGACGTCATGTCTGTGTCAGGTTGAGGAGCGTATGTCAGGACGTCATGTCTGTGTCAGGTTGAGGAGCGTATGTCAGGACGTCATGTCTGTGTCAGGTTGAGGAGCGTATGTCAGGACGTCATGTCTGTGTCAGGTTGAGGAGCGTATGTCAGGACGTCATGTCTGTGTCAGGTTGAGGAGCGTATGTCAGGACGTCATGTCTGTGTCAGGTTGAGGAGCGTATGTCAGGACGTCATGTCTGTGTCAGGTTGAGGAGCGTATGTCAGGACGTCATGACCACCTAAAAAATGCCTGGTCCCTATCTGTACGAGGGACATCCTTGTCCACCACACGTATATTGGAGCGCAGCTTGACCACGTCAATCTTTTGCCGATTGACTTGAACCTGGTAGGGTGGAGATAATCCTGACTTAAACAATTGTTGACTAGCTAACGTTATGATAAAAGTTAGGGTTATGATAAAAGTTAGGGTTATGATAAAAGTTAGGGTTATGATAAAAGTTAGGGTTATGATAGATGTTAGGGTTATGATAAAAGTTAGGGTTATGATAAAAGTTAGGGTTATGATAAAAGTTAGGGTTATGATAAAAGTTAGGGTTATGATAGATGTTAGGGTTATGATAAAAGTTAGGGTTATGATAAAAATTAGGGTTATGATAAAAGTTAGGGTTATGATAAAAGTTAGGGTTATGATAAAAGTTAGGGTTATGATAGATGTTAGGGTTATGATAAAAGTTAGGGTTATGATAAAAGTTAGGGTTATGATAAAAGTTAGGGTTATGATAAAAGTTAGGGTTATGATAAAAGTTAGGGTTATGATAAAAGTTAGGGTTATGATAAAAGTTAGGGTTATGATAAAAGTTAGGGTTATGATAAAAGTTAGGGTTATGATAGATGTTAGGGTTATGATAAAAGTTAGGGTTATGATAAAAATTAGGGTTATGATAAAAGTTAGGGTTATGATAAAAGTTAGGGTTATGATAAAAGTTAGGGTTATGATAGATGTTAGGGTTATGATAAAAGTTAGGGTTATGATAGATGTTAGGGTTATGATAAAAGTTAGGGTTATGATAAAAGTTAGGGTTATGATAGATGTTAGGGTTATGATAAAAGTTAGGGTTATGATAAAAGTTAGGGATATGATAAAAGTTAGGGTTATGATAAAAGTTAGGGTTATGATAAAAGTTAGGGTTATGATAAAAGTTAGGGTTATGATAGATGTTAGGGTTATGATAAAAGTTAGGGTTATGATAGATGTTAGGGTTATGATAAAAGTTAGGGTTATGATAGATGTTAGGGTTATGATAAAAGTTAGGGTTATGATAAAAGTTAGGGTTATGATAGATGTTAGGGTTATGATGATGTCTACTGACCTGTGCCTGGAGCCTCATAAAGTCCAGTTTCTGGGCCATGTCTGCTGAGCTGTACTCCACCTCCAGGTCAGGGTGACCTAGGGAACTGAAATTGATTCTCTCTGAAAGTAAGACAAAAATGACTGGACATTTGGACATGGGACTGGACATTTGGCACATGGGACTAGACATTTGGCACATGGGACTGGACATTTGGCACATGGGACTGGACATTTGGACATGGGACTGGACATTTGGACATGGGACTAGACATTTGGACATGGGACTGGACATTTGGCACATGGGACTGGACATTTGGCACATGGGACTGGACATTTGGCACATGGGACTGGACATTTGGCACATGGGACTGGACATTTGGCACATGGGACTGGACATTTGGACATGGGACTAGACATTTGGACATGGGACTGGACATTTGGCACATGGGACTGGACATTTGGACATGGGACTGGACATTTGGCACATGGGACTGGACATTTGGACATGGGACTGGACATTTGGCACATGGGACTGGACATTTGGCACATGGGACTGGACATTTGACACATGGGACTAGACATTTGGCACATGGGACTGGACATTTGGACATGGGACTAGACATTTGGCACATGGGACTGGACATTTGACACATGGGACTAGACATTTGGCACATGGGACTGGACATTTGGACATGGGACTAGACATTTGGCACATGGGACTGGACATTTGGCACATGGGACTGGACATTTGGCACATGGGACTGGACATTTGGACATGGGACTGGACATTTGGACATGGGACTGGACATTTGGCACATGGGACTGGACATTTGGACATGGGACTGGACATTTGGCACATGGGACTAGACATTTGGACATGGGACTGGACATTTGGCACATGGGACTGGACATTTGGCACATGGGACTGGACATTTGGCACATGGGACTGGACATTTGGCACATGGGACTGGACATTTGGACATGGGACTAGACATTTGGACATGGGACTGGACATTTGGCACATGGGACTAGACATTTGGCACATGGGACTAGACATTTGGACATGGGACTGGACATTTGGCACATGGGACTGGACATTTGGCACATGGGACTGGACATTTGGCACATGGGACTGGACATTTGGCACATGGGACTGGACATTTGGCACATGGGACTGGACATTTGGACATGGGACTAGACATTTGGACATGGGACTGGACATTTGGCACATGGGACTGGACATTTGGCACATAGGACTGGACATTTGGACATGGGACTGGACATTTGGACATGGGACTGGACATTTGGCACATGGGACTGGACATTTGGCACATGGGACTAGACATTTGGACATGATAGTGGACATTTGGCACATGGGACTGGACATTTGGCACATGGGACTGGACATTTGGCACATGGGACTAGACATTTGGACATGGGACTAGACATTTGGCACAAGGGACTGGACATTTGGACATGGGACTGGACATTTGGCACATGGGACTAGACATTTGGACATGGGACTGGACATTTGGCACATGGGACTGGACATTTGGACATGGGACTGGACATTTGGCACATGGGACTGGACATTTGGACATGGGACTAGACATTTGGACATGGGACTAGACATTTGGACATGGGACTGGAATTTGGACATGGGACTGGACATTTGGACATGGGACTGGACATTTGGCACATGGGACTAGACATTTGGACATGGGACTGGACATTTGGCACATGGGACTAGACATTTGGACATGGGACTGGACATTTGGCACATGGGACTGGACATTTGGCACATGGGACTAGACATTTGGACATGGGACTGGACATTTGGCACATGGGACTGGACATTTGGACATGGGACTGGACATTTGGCACATGGGACTGGACATTTGGACATGTTAGTGGACATTTGGCACATGGGACTGGACATTTGGACATGGGACTGGACATTTGGCACATGGGACTGGACATTTGGACATGGGACTGGACATTTGGCACATGGGACTGGACATTTGGCACATGGGACTGGACATTTGACACATGGGACTAGACATTTGGCACATGGGACTGGACATTTGGACATGGGACTAGACATTTGGCACATGGGACTGGACATTTGACACATGGGACTGGACATTTGGCACATGGGACTGGACATTTGGCACATGGGACTGGACATTTGGACATGGGACTGGACATTTGGACATGGGACTGGACATTTGGCACATGGGACTGGACATTTGGACATGGGACTGGACATTTGGCACATGGGACTAGACATTTGGACATGGGACTGGACATTTGGCACATGGGACTGGACATTTGGCACATGGGACTGGACATTTGGCACATGGGACTGGACATTTGGCACATGGGACTGGACATTTGGACATGGGACTAGACATTTAGACATGGGACTGGACATTTGGCACATGGGACTAGACATTTGGCACATGGGACTAGACATTTGGACATGGGACTGGACATTTGGCACATGGGACTGGACATTTGGCACATGGGACTGGACATTTGGCACATGGGACTGGACATTTGGCACATGGGACTGGACATTTGGTACATGGGACTGGACATTTGGCACATGGGACTGGACATTTGGACATGGGACTAGACATTTGGACATGGGACTAGACATTTGGACATGGGACTGGACATTTGGCACATGGGACTGGACATTTGGCACATAGGACTGGACATTTGGACATGGGACTGGACATTTGGACATGGGACTGGACATTTGGCACATGGGACTGGACATTTGGCACATGGGACTAGACATTTGGACATGATAGTGGACATTTGGCACATGGGACTGGACATTTGGCACATGGGACTGGACATTTGGCACATGGGACTAGACATTTGGACATGGGACTAGACATTTGGCACAAGGGACTGGACATTTGGACATGGGACTGGACATTTGGCACATGGGACTAGACATTTGGACATGGGACTGGACATTTGGCACATGGGACTGGACATTTGGACATGGGACTGGACATTTGGCACATGGGACTAGACATTTGGACATGGGACTGGACATTTGGCACATGGGACTAGACATTTGGACATGGGACTGGACATTTGGACATGGGACTGGACATTTGGACATGGGACTAGACATTTGGCACATGGGACTGGACATTTGACACATGGGACTAGACATTTGGCACATGGGACTGGACATTTGGACATGGGACTAGACATTTGGCACATGGGACTGGACATTTGGCACATGGGACTGGACATTTGGCACATGGGACTGGACATTTGGACATGGGACTGGACATTTGGACATGGGACTGGACATTTGGCACATGGGACTGGACATTTGGACATGGGACTGGACATTTGGCACATGGGACTAGACATTTGGACATGGGACTGGACATTTGGCACATGGGACTGGACATTTGGCACATGGGACTGGACATTTGGCACATGGGACTGGACATTTGGCACATGGGACTGGACATTTGGACATGGGACTAGACATTTGGACATGGGACTGGACATTTGGCACATGGGACTAGACATTTGGCACATGGGACTAGACATTTGGACATGGGACTGGACATTTGGCACATGGGACTGGACATTTGGCACATGGGACTGGACATTTGGCACATGGGACTGGACATTTGGCACATGGGACTGGACATTTGGCACATGGGACTGGACATTTGGACATGGGACTAGACATTTGGACATGGGACTGGACATTTGGCACATGGGACTGGACATTTGGCACATAGGACTGGACATTTGGACATGGGACTGGACATTTGGACATGGGACTGGACATTTGGCACATGGGACTGGACATTTGGCACATGGGACTAGACATTTGGACATGATAGTGGACATTTGGCACATGGGACTGGACATTTGGCACATGGGACTGGACATTTGGCACATGGGACTAGACATTTGGACATGGGACTAGACATTTGGCACAAGGGACTGGACATTTGGACATGGGACTGGACATTTGGCACATGGGACTAGACATTTGGACATGGGACTGGACATTTGGCACATGGGACTGGACATTTGGACATGGGACTGGACATTTGGCACATGGGACTGGACATTTGGACATGGGACTAGACATTTGGACATGGGACTAGACATTTGGACATGGGACTGGAATTTGGACATGGGACTGGACATTTGGACATGGGACTGGACATTTGGCACATGGGACTAGACATTTGGACATGGGACTGGACATTTGGCACATGGGACTAGACATTTGGACATGGGACTGGACATTTGGCACATGGGACTGGACATTTGGCACATGGGACTAGACATTTGGACATGGGACTGGACATTTGGCACATGGGACTGGACATTTGGACATGGGACTGGACATTTGGCACATGGGACTGGACATTTGGACATGTTAGTGGACATTTGGCACATGGGACTGGACATTTGGACATGGGACTGGACATTTGGCACATGGGACTGGACATTTGGACATGGGACTGGACATTTGGCACATGGGACTGGACATTTGGCACATGGGACTGGACATTTGACACATGGGACTAGACATTTGGCACATGGGACTGGACATTTGGACATGGGACTAGACATTTGGCACATGGGACTGGACATTTGACACATGGGACTGGACATTTGGCACATGGGACTGGACATTTGGCACATGGGACTGGACATTTGGACATGGGACTGGACATTTGGACATGGGACTGGACATTTGGCACATGGGACTGGACATTTGGACATGGGACTGGACATTTGGCACATGGGACTAGACATTTGGACATGGGACTGGACATTTGGCACATGGGACTGGACATTTGGCACATGGGACTGGACATTTGGCACATGGGACTGGACATTTGGCACATGGGACTGGACATTTGGACATGGGACTAGACATTTAGACATGGGACTGGACATTTGGCACATGGGACTAGACATTTGGCACATGGGACTAGACATTTGGACATGGGACTGGACATTTGGCACATGGGACTGGACATTTGGCACATGGGACTGGACATTTGGCACATGGGACTGGACATTTGGCACATGGGACTGGACATTTGGTACAT